TAGAGCTAGAAAACGCATGCGTTTTCGGTATACCGATTTTTCCAGGTCCGGGCCTCCTGGGACCTCTATTCTACCCAAAAAGAAAAGTGGGGTTTGCCATATATAACCCTAACCCTTAAGGAGCTTGGCGTCTTGGCGGTGTCATGATCCTTTCTTTTCAGTAAAATTACTGTTATTATACTATAAATTACTGTTGTCAGTAAAAATCCGCCATCCCTAGTTCGAAGACTGGATGGCCCCACTGCAACCAGCAGCCACGATACCGAACGAGGTTTAGCTTGAGTCACTGGCCGATCGAAGGTTGACGCCTCACTCAGGCATCAAGGAGGATCCACTGAGCGCCACAGCTCCTAGTCAGCGATAAAAGGCTTTGCAAGGCGAAACCCCTCCCGGGTTCAACACCCCACCACCAATTTTGAGAATTACCAAGTTTCTAAGACAGGCAACCTAATTCAAAAAGAAAACAAACGCGCTCTCCGTTTCTCCCTTTCTTGAGGAGGTGCTAGGAGTTCCTCTCCCTTTTCCTATACCCGCGTTCTTTCCTTTTAGTTATATCAGTCATTCACCATGTCCGACCCGAACGCCAGTGAAGCGGAGAAGAACGTGAGCCGCACATCCAACCTTCTTTCGCAGACTTGCCGTGTCCGCTGACAAGGATACTTGCACCAGATCGAGATATGGAAGGTTAAGAAGTTGATCAAGCGGCTTGAGGCTGCGCGTGGAAATGGCACTAGCATGATTTCCTTGATCATCCGTACGTCTCTCCACCCGCCGCTGGTCGCCGGGCACGGCGCGTCTCGCTGGCCTCGGACCGCGTGACGGAATTTCACTGATGAACCCCCTCAGCGCCCAAGGACCAAGTCTCCCGCGCGGCCAAGATGTTGGCTGAAGAATACGTAAGTCTGTCTTGCAGCACAACAAGCCCCTTGAATGGGTATAGTCCGCAGCGTACCAACACAGTTGATAGGGCACCGCGTCGAACATTAAGTCGCGTGTCAACCGACAGTCCGTCTTGTCGGCCATCACGTCGACGCAACAGCGCCTCAAGTTGTACAACAAGGTGCCCCCTAATGGCCTTGTCGTCTACTGCGGTGAAATCTTGACGTCAGAGGGCAAGGAGCGGAAAGTCAACATCGATTTTGAGCCGTTCAAGCCCATCAACACGTCGCTCTACCTCTGCGACAACAAGTTCCATACTGAGGCTCTTGCTGAGCTTCTCGAGTCGGACCAGAAGTTTGGTTTCATCGTCATGGACGGTAATGGAGCGCTCTTTGGCACGCTCAGCGGCAACACGCGTGACGTGGTCCAGAAGTTCTCGGTCGATCTTCCCAAGAAGCACGGTCGTGGTGGTCAATCTGCGCTGCGTTTTGCCCGTCTGAGAGAGGAGAAGCGGCACAACTATGTCCGCAAGGTTGCCGAGCTGGCGGTGCAGAACTTTATCACCAACGACAAGGTCAACGTTGCCGGCATCGTCCTGGCTGGTTCTGCCGACTTCAAGAATGACCTGAACGCATCCGACATGTTTGACCCGCGTTTGCAGGCCAAGGTCATCAAGGTCGTCGATGTCTCGTACGGTGGCGAAAACGGCTTCAACCAGGCTATCGAGCTGTCGTCCGAGACGCTCGGTAACGTCAAGTTCATCCAGGAGAAGAAACTGATTGGCAAGTACTTTGAGGAAATCAGCCAGGATACGGGCCGTGTCTGCTACGGCGTGGAGGATACGCTCAAGGCACTGGAGCTCGGAGCCGTTGAGACGCTTATTGTTTTTGAAAATCTGGAGATAACCCGCTGGACCCTGAAGGACAGCAACGGCAGCGAAACCATCCTGCATACAACCAAGCAGCAGGAGCAGGGCAACCGTGACAAGTTTATGGACAAGGAGACCGGCCAGGAGATGGAGGTGGTCTCGCAGGAGTCATTCCTCGAATGGATTGCCGAGCACTACAAGGATTTCGGTACCACGCTCGAATTCGTTTCGGACCGATCCACTGAGGGCAACCAGTTCGTGAAGGGCTTTGGCGGCATCGGTGGCATCCTCCGGTACAAGGTCAACTTCGAGCAGTTAGCTGACGTGGACGACGATGATGACTACTACGACGATTGACAGTTTGATTCCCTCGTCAGCAACGAGGGACCCCAAACCGAAGCCATCACGTCCGAGCCGACGGCACTCCGTGGCGACCAGGCAGCCGCCACGCCACGGGGGTCCGAGAAGCTCCCGCCCGCGCAGCGTCGCCTGATGAAGGGCTTCTCCCACAGCCCAGGGCAAACCCACCAGGTGGCGCGTCCCAGCCCGCTTCGCTCTGTGATGACGGCTTCTTAAGCTCAAGACGGCAGATTTGAAGGTGTGTATCTGACACTGAATCGCAGCATACACAGCTTGCTTACCATAATGCAGGAAAGTTACCCGTAGGGATTGAGAAGTCGGATAAGGTCAGAACACTTCATTGCAGGGCTTTGGTCAGGATGATAGACTGAGATTGTTGGGGACAAGGACCAGCTGGTGATGACGGCCGTCCTGGCATGCGGACAGCCGTTTCGAGCCATGCGTTGTCTATCCAGTCATTACTACGATTCTGGAGGTTATCAAGACTTTAGATAGCTAGTTACAGACCAACACTCGTTCATAAATGTGCTTGCAAGTTGATCTGGCTGGTCCAATTGGACGGCCTTTCAATGGCGTGATACATGTTACAGTCAGGACACTGGCTATTAGGAGAGATATATGAGAGGAAAGAATAGAACTAGATAGATCTGTTGCCGAACTCGGCGGAGCCCATGAGGCCTTGCGGGGTCTGGGATAGGGTTGAATCAACCGAAGGGCGGACGGAAAGTATTGTACCTGAACAGTTCTTAGCTGGAGCAGCCCATCAGTCAGCTTTCGAGCTCTCCCCTCCTTTTACACATCGATGGCAAGCTCTCCCTGAATTTAGTCCTTTTAAACCCGGCCATTGAGCCTCTATTTCCAGCTTTCCTTCAACTTCAGCGAATCACGGTGTTCGGTCGCCATGGAATCAGTCACTGCCCGGGCTGACCAAGATGGAGATGCCAACTGTTCGGTTGCGTTTCTTGGGCCTTTGAGCTCTTATTCACACCAGGTCAGAATTTCATGGAGTATCTCATCGCCCTTGACTACAATATTACTTTTGAAACATATGGGTTGATATTGTCCTAACCAGCTGGGTATCTAGGCCACAAAGCTTGCCTTTCCCGATCCAAAATGGGTGCTGGAACCAACGGGGACAATCAAAGGTTCATTCACTCTTTCCTCGCTTCACTCACTCCGAGTCATACCGTTACTCACCCCCTATCCATTCATTCCATTCATGACCAGTCCTCCTTTCTTTTTTTTTTTTTTTTTTTATCTCATACCCTCCTTTCTTTGCATAAACATGTCACTTACCACCCGCAATTCTGCGAATGTCTTTCTTGAACAGAAGTCTTTGACCGCGTCCAATCAGCAAGCATCACCACCACCACCGGCCACTACTACGGCGTGGTGCCCTTTGAGAACTCAACCCACGGCACCGTCACCTTTACCCTCGACTGCCTGGCCGACCGCGCCAACGAGTACCCGGACATTGTAGTCTGTGACGAGGTCTACCTGGACGTGCATCACTTTCTGCTCGGGCGATTTCCCCCTTCCCCTTCCCCTTCCCGTTCCCCATCCACTGTCCCTCAACTTTCTTCTTCTCCTTCTGCTCCCCGAGCTCAACCCTTGGTCCCGCTGTCTCACATCCGGCGTGTGTATTCCCACCCGCAGGCGTTTGGCCAGACGGCCGCGTTTGTGGGGCGTTACCTGAAAGGAGTTGAGACCATTGAGGTCAGCTCGACCAGCCGCGCCGCTGAGCTGGCGGCGGCTGATGAGACGGGTGCTAGTGCTGCTATTGCGGGAGAAATGGCTGGCAGGGAAAAGGGGCTGGATATCCTGGCGAGGTGCATAGAGGATAGGGAGGATAATACGACGCGGTTTTTTGTTTTGCGGCGGGGGCGGATGGTAGAGAAGAAGATTACGCCCGGCAAGATTGCTGTTTATGAGCCGCCGCCGCGAGGGGATGTTGGTGTTGGTGGTGGTGGTGATGGGGATCCATATGGCGGGCAAAGGTACAAGACGCTGGTGTCGTTCACTGTGGTGCACGGCAGGCCGGGTGCACTGGCGGATGTGTTGGACTGCTTTAGGGGGAGGGGGCTGAACTTGACGAGTATCAACAGCCTGCCGAGCTTGGTCAGGTCGTTTCAGTACCTGTTCTTTGTCGAGTTTGAGGGCAGCAGGTTTGACGATCCCGATTGCAGGGTCGACGGGGTGTTTGAGGATCTTGAGAGGGTTACGGAACGGTGGAGGTGGTTGGGGAGCTGGTGGAATCGGATGGGGAATAGGTGAGAACGGCAGAAGATGGACTTGTGGCTAGGGGTATACTACTGCTATGGCTGACCTGAAGTATAAAAGAATTAGCGTCTGTTTACCACCGATTGCCACGCCAAAGCGAATACTTCATTACCTACTCATCTGTCAAGGCCAACCCCCCTGAACTGGCGCCAACCCTAACCCTCCCACGATGAAACTACGATAGAGTTCATATTGCGAAGCTAAACAAGATCATACTTCACGAAAGTCTCAACATCAATCAAGCAGCCCTTCCTCTCACAGTCAACTTTCAGATCCATGCAATATTCCCCTCTCATTGCTTTCCAATCAAGCATGTCATGATGCGACCACCGATCCCTACATGTATCAGGCCCCCTCTTCGCGGCCTCAACCCCAATCAACATGCCACCCTCTCCTTACCCTCAACAACCACTACTACCATCACCACGATTACATACCCCGCCATGACAGTCACCCGCTCCTCATCCTCCCCTCTCCAATCCCCCCCCGGATCCCAACCATTCAACCCACAAACCTACCTCGCCGCAGCAAAACAAAAATTCGCCTCCACCCCACCGTCTCTGATCCCCGACGTCCTCTCCCCAACCCCTTCCCGCCTCCTCACCTTGTCCCTGGCAGACCACATTCCCTCTCTATTCCCAACACCCACTCCATCACCACCATCATCACACGATGATAATGAATCACCGATCCTCCCACAAGGCCACCACCTAGTCTACTTCCCCCCCCAACTGCCTCCCTCCAAGCTCTTACCGGACGGGACGGACCCCGCGCACAGCCCCGGCGGGCCGCCCTTTGTGCGGCGCATGTGGGCTGGCGGGGAGGTGGTCTTTCATGACGGGTGGGAGAGGCGGTTTAGGGTGGATGGTAGGCCGGTGGTTTGTGTCGAGACGGTTGTGCCGGAGTCGGTGGTTCTTAAGGGAGGGGCCGCGGCCGGGGTGGGTAATAATGAGAAGGTGTTTGTTGATGTGAGAAGGGAGTACGGGCTGGCTGCTGGTGGTGGTGGTGGTGGTTGGGGGGGTAGGGAAAGGGATGGGCTGGTGATGGGGGAGGGTGGGGCGGTGGTGAGTGAGGTGAGGAGGTTGGTTTTTTTGAGGGATCAGGAGAAAGTGGCGGATATGGAGAGGGAGAGGGAAAAGGAGCGTCCGAGAAGGGGTGTGAAAGGTGGGTTTTGCTCTTCACTTCCCAGCGTCATATCTCCGGTCTGTTTTGAGCCCAGCTGGGCAGGTCAAGGTTATAAAAACTAACTTCCACAACCCCGTCCGTCCCGCCTGGTCTAGTCCCCTACACCCCCGAGTTCACATACCCCCTCCGACCAGACGCAATCCTCCTCTTCCACTTCAGCGCCCTGACCTACAACGCCCACGCCATCCACCTGAACCCGGAGTACGCCCGCGGCGTCGAAGGGCACAGGGGGTTGCTTGTCCACGGCCCGCTGTCCCTGGTGCTGATGCTCGCCGCCTTGCGGGCCAGCCTGATTCAGATCCAGCTTCAGTCGTCGTCGTCGGCAAAAATTGCGGCGCAGTCTGCGGGGTGGGTACCCATGACCAAGTCGATCAACTACAGCAACCTGGCTCCGCTCTACGTGGACGAGGAGATGAGGGTTTGTCTGCGCCGCGCCACCAAGCCCCCCGACTGGCCGGATCTGAGATGGGATGTTTGGGTCGAGGGGCCGGAGGGCAGGCTCGCCGTGAAGGCGACAGCCGTTACGACGGGCAGCACACCGTAAGCGAATAAAGGGTATGCGAAGCAAAGTCTCGAGAAAGGAGTGTCGATCAACCGCGGATCTCGTATCTTCCGATCGCTTCCCACGCGATTAATACGCATGATACGCATGTACAAGACGTAGGGCGTTCGAGGCGGAAACATTTCAAAGCGAAGGAGGAAAGAACCTAGTTATTGTTCTTGCTCGGTTGGGTATCTCAAATCATCCAGACCCAACGCCGACGACCCCCAGATACCCCGTATCTACTCAATGTACACATATAGACAATCAACCCTGCCAATCTCGCCAACCATCGTGCCAACAGGACCCCGCACGCCGAAAGTCACCTGTACCGTAACTGATACCAATGACTCCGCCGTTCACCGTTCCCTACAGAGCATTCTTCGCAACTCCAGCCGGCCCATTCGATCATCCCCCTCTCGGGAGATTCGTTCCCAGCCTCCGATCGGCCTACGTGACCCCGCGAGCATCCTAACATCTGAGCCACATGTTCCATCTCGCCAACGGCACCTTCCCTTTCAACCGGGCGGTTACCCCCCGCTACCCCCTGCCGCTCGCACAATACCGTTCCTCCTCTCGTTCGGCTTTCGGCTAGCGCTGTGGCAACAGCTGCGAGGGGAGACGGCTGTAATGGTAATCGTCGTGGTGGTGGTGATGGTACGGAGTGGTACTGATCAGGGCCTTCTCCTTCATGTCGTCAAATGCGCGTCGCCAGTCCTCTTGTTCCTGTTCTTGTTCCCGTTCCCGTTCCCAAGAGAAAGAATTGATGGTTATTGCACCCCGTTCCGCAGCCTCCAGCCGGGCACGGTTCTCACGCAGGCGCCTCTCGAGGGCGGTGAATTGGGCGTTGACTGCCTCAAGGAGGAGCGCTTCTTCCCTTGTCAGGGGATCATGGTGCGTCGGGGTGTTGCTGCCAGAACCCGAGGTGGTAGTTGTGGTCATGGTGGTTGTAGCTACTGAAGTCACTGACGTTGTTGTCACCGCGCGGGTGGATGAAGCGGTTGTTGACAAGGCCGATGACGATGGGGTGCGGTGCAGGCCGCGAAGGATGGTTTTCCAGATGGCGCGGCGCTCCTCCGAGGGCAATGGGAATTCGATAATGGATGTGTTGGTCCTGAGGCTGTCGACTAGAAAGCGGAGACTGGTCAGGTTGAGATTATTGCCACTACAGTCGACCATTCTCAGCGTGTTGTTCTTGGCGAGTGCCTGGCCGAGCATGCCCACGTCTTCGTGCAGGTTTTGGTTTCGTATCCGCAGGTGGGTTATAGTCTTGTTGTGGGCTAGTCCGCTTAGTGAGCGGCCGAACCCTCTGCCCAGCTGGCTGTCGTCGAGTTTGCCGCAGAATCCTGAGAGGTCCAGATACCGAATGGACACGTTCCGGGCGAAAAAATCGTGCAGCTTTGATACCAGTTCCTGGCTACACCGCCCATGCGAGGGAGGTGATGGTGCCGTGCCCGCGAGACTGAGCCGGAGAAGACGCTTTGTCTCCGTCAGCGCCTGTATGAGAGATATATACTTGTTCTCGTCCTTGAATTCTATCATCTCCATGTCAAGACCCGCAGGGCCCTTGTGCTGGCGAATTGCGGCTGCTAGGTGCTCTATGCCATCTTCAATTGGATTACCGCTCAGGCAGAGATGGATGCCGTCATCCTCGCCAATTGCGTCAAATAGCGTTGCAGCTTGAGCGCCGGTTATGCGACAGTGGTTAAAGGCAAGTTTGTCAAGTCCGTGATCCATCATCCGGCTTCTATGCCGCAGGAACTGCTCCAGGTCTAGGAATGTTGCGTTATCGATCTAACAGCGAGTTAGTGATGTGACCCTCTCAGCCGTAAACTAATACTAACCTTGTAGCCCGAGATGTCAAAGCTCTCGAGCATGTGCAAGGATTCGAGAGTGGAAAAGGGCAGAAGCGGGCCCTCAAAATGGCTCTCGGCCTGGATGCTGCCACGAGCACTCAACTCCCGCAACTCTGGCAGATTCCGGAGCATACCGGGAACGAGGTGGGCAGGAATGCGCCCAGGGTTTCCGGATATGGACAGAGACTGCAGCGGGCTCGGACCATCTAACAGAGTGTTTACGACCATATCCCGTAGGCTAGCGTCGTCTAGCCCGCAGGAGGAGACATCCAAGGCGTGAAGTGTTCCGGTCTTCATGGTCTCGGCTGATAGGTGAAAGTCGTGTTAGAGCCATGGGAAGCAATAGGGGGCTTGATGCTTACCAAGGTCTTCAATGTCAATGGGAGGCAGAGGATTGCTGCTGAGTATCAGTCGGCTGCATTTGGTGATGCCAGACCTCAGAAGGCTGAGGATTGGCGTAAGAAACTGCAGGCTAAGGCCTTGATCCCCGTGCTGTGCCAACCATTTCGCAAGCGACCCGCTGCAGTTGGTGAAATCGATTTGCCGAATGGTCTCAGAGCAGAAAGCCAGCGCATGGAACTCCTGATGGAGCACAGGGCTGACCCTAAGCGCTTCAATCTCCTCGGGGCCAAGGGCGACGCCTAGGAGATACAATCAGAACACAAGAGGCTAGGTAGGGTGAGAACACAACGCTTACAAGTTCGGCTCAGGTATGCAACATTGGTTTTTCGCGGAGTGTTGTCCTTGAGCCCGTATAGCACAGACAAGTCCACGTCCCTGAAACACAGTGACTGAAAGTAGTCATTGTACCGCAACGCACGCAAGACGGCTAGAAGTTGCAGTGGCGAGTACGAGCCACGCTTCGGAGGCAACAGGCGAAACTCGGGAGCAAACCGCGTCTTCCAGTTGATTTCCCAGTCAACAGATCCACAGCGGTATGCGGCTTGGTAAGCTTCAAGTGTTCTTTTGAAACTTCCATAGTCTTCTCTGGGCACGAGATATTGCGGTTCCTTGAGGCCAGGGATACGGAAAATCTCCATTGACTGCCATAACTGTGGCCAAGCAGGCTTTATGAAGCGGTCGGCTGTGCCAAAGACGCGAATGATTTCTCGGCAGTAGCGGCTTGCAAGTTCAAGCGTCACAGGTGGTTGAAAGGGCAGGCTGGCAAAATCAGCTTGAGAATGAGTGATATAGTCGGGGTATACAACGCCTTACCGGAATGTGATATTGAACCGCTCTTCGTGTGGGATCCATTCTGCCTTGAATCTTTCGAGGCTGGCCAGCCAGTACGTTTTATGTTGACAGACAGGATCTCCGCCCTTACTCTTTTGGATCTCGACTAGATGGCAGGCATATGTCCCGACTATGAGGTAGAACGAGGAGCTTTCCTGCGGCTTCCTGGTTGCATCCTCGAGCTTGGGCAGGCACTCCCTTCTTGTATTCCCCCGCGGTACAACTGGGAAGATGTCAGGCTTGCGGTGGGCAAAGCAAGGTTCCTCATTCTCATGTATCCTTCTCAGCATCCTCTCAACATCCTGGCCCAGGACAACAGTGGCGTTCTCTTCCTGTTGGCTCGCCCTCACGGCTCGGATTATATCGTGCACCTGCTCATTCCGCTGGGCAGGATGGTTGAAGAAGAAATCCGAACGGCAGAACGCCTGGCCGCATCCTGGGTTTCTCCACCAGACTTCTAATCCGAACGATGGCCGAGTGCTTTCCGCAACGAAAACCGACACGATTGACGAGATGGGAATCACGAGCAACGGCTCGGGGGTTTTGATGCTGGCTTGCTGCTTTCCTTCGTCCGTCGCAAGTCTTCGTAGCAATGGGAGCGGATCGCAGATGCTCTTGACCTTGATGAGATAATCGGCCGTCACTACAAGGTAAGGGTTCTTGGTCTTGGGCCGGTGCGTGTCTAACTCGAGCGGCGCAACTCCCTCGATCTTTTGCGACTCCCAGTTGATGGCTGCGGGCAAGATAGGGCTGCTTAAGTACGTGCTCTCGCCGGTGGATAGGGAAAGACGATGGTCCGACGATACGAATGACGGGCGGCGAGTGGGTGTTTCAAACAGGGGCGAAGACAGAGGCCTCGATCGGGACAGCTTCCGTCCATGGTTGCGAAAGCTTCTGCCACTCTCCGAGCTAGAATCCCGCTCCCTGCTGCTGAAGGACTTCCAAGCTCGCTCCTTGATGGAGCTAAGCGAGAAAGTCCTGTGATCGCCGTCAAAGCTGGCCGGTGAGCTCGGGGCGGTTGTTGCCGGACTCGATATAGAATCAGACGTGTCGGACTCTACCAATGCCACGGGCATGGAGCTCGCCCGTTGTTTGGCCCCTTGTCCGGGGGCAGTCATCACCCTAGACATGGCAGCATGTGTCGCTGTGCTAGAAGCTCGTCGTATTCACCGTCGCCCGGATCACTCCGGATGCCGCTTGCGGAAGCGCGGATGGTCCTGTCTAATGTGAAGTGAAAACCACCAGGGTTGGATGCCAGTGTCTGTGATGTTCGAATGATCGAGTCGGGAGGATCACACAGCGCAGACGTCAAGAAAGGTCAGACAACAAAGACGAGGTAGACAGCAGAGTTGCCGGCCGGATGCGACCCGACTGGATACGAGTCTCGAATAGGGACAAAAACCATCAGCCGATTGACTACTTCAGATTTAGAGTGTAGGAACAGAAAGAAAACACGCGAATAGATCAATCAATTGGTGTACTAGACAACAAGATAGCGGGGCCGTTGATCCCATCACGCTTCTGGCCAGCTTCTGACAGCTTCTGGCGCCATGTCCAACTTGTGCTTTCCCATATCAGTGCAGGAGCTTGGAAGAATCTGGGCGAAAGCGGAAAGTGTTGTCGCTCGATGCAGGATGACGCTACCATGGCCGGGTTCTAGGAGGAGCCCGTCCAATGGCGTTGCCGTGTGGCGCCCATCGGCAAGAGTCCCGCCATGGCCCTGCCCGGTGGGACGCCAGTGGGGAAGCCCAACGACTGTGGTGCACTGTATCCAACCTCGCCAAGTGCACCACCACACTCCCAATGCACGAACCGGACAATTGCCTCGGCGATCAATGAAGCCCCGGGAAACGTGTGTCGAGAGGGAGCGACTTCGTATGTGTACAAAGTTCGTACGTGTACAAGGATACCATCTGTTGGGGAACGCGTGGCGGATCTTGGCATGGCTAAAGACTCTGAAACTGAAAGCTTGAGTCCCGTCTGCTTGAATGGGCCTTTTGAATTGCTCAAATATCGTATTAATGTTGTTATGAAATAACGCTCAGGTATGTATGCACTCCAACCAGAACAAATTCCGAAAGCAAGCAGGGCGCGTTCTCACAATCACACAAAGTCTTTGACGCCTACCAGTGCTTGGAGAAAACCAGTTCAAAAACAGAATCAGCCAGCCCACAATTATCAGAGGGTCATATCATGTCTGCTGGTTCGATATCTGCTCCTCAGGGCATGTTTACTATTTTACTGTGTACTTCCCTTCAGAATCAGTATCCTCTGACGTTACCGAAGGGAGATCTCACCCAGCACAGCAATGATCGGTCTTCAGAGGGGTAACAGTTTGCCAAGCGAGCCAAGATACCCTCTCACAGCCGCTTTTGTGGCGCAAGCTAAGAAGAATGGAACAGAAAAGTGTGGCTCAGCCCAATAAATGTTGCGGACGATCCGATCTCAAGCGGGAGTGGCGTTTAAGTTATTTTAGAAGGTTAAATCCCACCATCTCCAACCTGCTCGCTGTTGTACACTCGAATGTGTTTTTCCCTGCCACTGGGAGTTTGGGATATCGACAAAACTAAGAGTACCCAAGGTATTTGTAAGGGGCACGTGCTTGTACCAGTAGCACCGCCTCTGGCCTGCCAGCGTCTGCTTCAAGCGTACAATACGCATGTCAACTGAATTGACAGGGACTTGAGGTGCCGTACTGTACTTCGTATTTAATATCCTGCTTACATACTGCGCCTTACACCGCTGGGGTTGCGGCCCAAACCCTCGGCCGTGGCCCTTGGGGAAGAGAAAGGGATGACCCGACGTGAGGTCAGCATGGCGACGTAACCACCGGAGACCTAGCCCATGGGGAAGACACGACAAGATGAGATGGCCAACGGGAGCTTTTCTCACACTCTCAAGATACAGGATGTAAATCTCTTTTTACAGGGCAGGAGGGGTACAACTTAAAGACACTGCCGCGGATACTAGGTACCAGGTAAGGTGCCGTCGACCTCTTTAGTGCCCGCTAGAACGATGTGTACATCTGAACTTAGCTATCCTCGCTACCTTATTATTGTGCTCCAACAACCCTGGAAAGTGGAAACCCGGTTCATCTTGTAGCTTCTGAGGAGCGGGGCTACCGCGACTACCTAGTCTAGTCCCTAAGGTACACTACCCAGGTATTGCTCGGGATGGCATCATTTGCCCTTTTATGGGATGGGTTAGTTAGTTAATGCGCGATATGACAGCGGTTGCTAGCCTAGAGGTGAGGAACCTAATACGGCCTGTCTATAGCACATGCGAACTTGGAGCCCCCCTTGCGCGTGGTGGTGGATGAAACAAGCCCCGTTTCATCGCCAAAATTTAGTCCGCTTTATCGCAGGCACTCTTCCGCCAGCCTGTGACGCACCGAAATGTCACGCGGTCATTGGCCCCGCGTCTTCCAGTTTCCCACTAAGCAGTCAAGGCTTGTTTGTCCCACTGCATGGGAAACACGCCTAGATCCCTCAGCTCGTTGATCTTGCGGCCCGTCGCAAGTTGAGCGTCTACGAGAGCGGCATTCCCTGACAGTGGCCGCGCCGCGGAATGTCGTTGGGGCCAGAACGGCCATACAGTGGAGGCACAGATGATAAGGACAACGCCAGGATTCCTACACGGGCGAGATGGGGTCAGCACTGGAAGCGCGCATTGGTGGCTTTGCTCTGTGACGACGGCACCGACGGGATCCACCGAGAAGACGGGGCGATACAGTACGGAGAGCCAAAGCAGACCACTATGAGTGCAGCACGCAGACCGATTGTATGAAACGGATAAAGAACATACGTGTATGTATGTTGCCTTGTAGCTAACCGTCCTTGTGCCCTTTCGAGAGGCGAGCAACAAAGACAAGCTGAATGGCTTCGCTGCCGCTTCTCGGCCGATTTTTCTCTAAAGAATTTGAAGATCTCTAAGGGCCCAAATTGAACGGAGTGTCCATTGTTGAGTTTTCAGTGTCGAACCGACTAAAACGACGGCCTCAAATGCTAGGACGACGGCCTCAGTTTTGTCACCCACACCAAATTTTCGCGGCAAAATACATCCAACGACAAGCGCTTGAATGCACTCATGAAAACTTAGCAATTCAGGTGCATAAGGTGATCTCAGGTAGAGAGCATACTTCTTTCCTTCGTGCATCCTGATCATTTTGTATAAGTGCATAGTTTTAATGGGCAATATGGTGTCCAACTGTATAGAGTAGCACGGGGAAATTGTAGTTCTCTGCGAAGTTTTGGTGTGGGTGACAAGACCGTCGTCCTAGATTTTGAGGCCGTCGTTTTAGTCGGGTCGTCCAGTGTCATGTGTTTCCAACCCATTTTGTCCAAAATATCGCAGCTTCTCCTCACAGACGCCCGATTCTGCCTAGCGTAGCGAACTTCAACCCTTGCTGGTTTGGCACCTTCAAAGAAGCGCCTGTCTTGGCTCGTGCTTTTGTTTCATATCAGGGGCCGCCTCAAGCGATTGGTGAAGCCTGTGGGGCGGACTCGAACCGCCTGTCCAATCCTATCCAATCCGACACTCGTGCAACCGCAGACCCCCTCCGCCAGAACGCGCGCTGCTCCACAAAGCCATGTTTGGGTTAGCACCCAGCGGCGCCCACCGAACCACTGCAACCCCATCAGCCTGAATTGACCCATGCAAATGGCATCCCCCTTCGATATCCGCTAAAAGTCGTAGTGCGGCGTGCCTCCTAACTGCTCCGGTACTACCATAAGCAGTCCCTTTTCGACTGGCAGTTGCGACGGGACGCCTCCTGTTTCCCTACCACTACACAAATTTGGGGGATTACCTTTCCGTTGAATCTGGAATCCAGACACATCAACAGCATCACCTGACGTCGCCGTTGCCATCTGCCGTCTCGGCTCGCTCAGCTGCGTCTTATACAGCGAATCTCTCTGCCTACCGAAGAGATTAGAGTTACCTACCCTCGGTCGCCTCGGGATTGTCTTCCTCGCCGGTGAAGCAGGCATCCCCGCTGTGTCGTACAGCACGTCGAAATCGCTCCGCTACCCGTCCGTATTCATTCTGCCTGTCTAACAACAAGCGAAAACTGCAATTCAAGGACCCGGAACGCATTTCATTTGCAGCGCAACGGACCGGAGGAGAAGATCAGGTCCTCGGCCCTGAGTTTGCCACACCGACTTCAGACGGCTGTGGTAGCTTTGCCGCCCTTTTGGCCATTACGCAGCCAACGATTACTGCTCCTCCAGCCACCAACAAAGCTCGAATACCCGTGTCGCCCATGCCATCGTTGAGTTGATCACTTGGTCGCAATGGCAATGCTAGCCTCCAAGGCGTTTCCGACCGGACTCGGTTCTCAGAGCTCGGGCGTAATAATGCCTACGCAGTCGGCCGCATACCCTCCCAGCAGGCGGGTTCACACGATTCCCACGACGAGTCAAAATTATTCCAGCCCGACCGAATCCGAATTTGAAGACGTCGACGGGCCTGACTCTGTAAAGAATTGGGACGAGGACAGAGTATGCGAGTATCTCAGAAGCGTCAAATGCGGCGAGTATGAAAAGCTGTTCCGCAAGAACCATATCAATGGCGAAAACCTTTTGGAAATGGACAAGGAGGTCCTGAAGGAGATGGGCATCGAGAAGGTTGGAGACCGTGTGCGCTTATTCTTGAGCATCAAGAAGCTACGGACAAAGACGTTTGCCAGCCAGCGACGGCGCCAGAGGGTAGGTTGGCTAACAGTCGGGTGTCAAATATGGGCATGTCACTGACCATTGCCAAAGGATTCTTTTGCCGCGCTTGAGACGCAGTATATCCCATCGTCATCGCCGAGACCGACTGGCGGCCGCGCCCCGGCCATGACGCAGTCGAATAAGAGGTATTCGCGCCAGTATGATTACCAGACTGCTGCCGCACTCGCAGACAGTTCGAAATCGTCATCAAGGCCTACCTCCCCACTCCCGAGCTCGGATTATAGGACTGCCACCCGGCAAAGATATGTACAGCCCCAGGTATATAGCGGCCAGCCAACACCTCCGTCCGCAAGGTTTCCCATGTCACCACCCGAGCAGCCGCACCCCGCCCGACTGGCAGTGTCGCACACCAGGAACCAGTCAAGTATGGATGGTTCGTTAATGGCTGCTCTGCCGCCCGGGCAAGACGTCATCCGTGTTATATCTACTGGTGGGGTCACCAAAGTCGTCAAGATTGCCGATTGCAACACTTGCGAAGAAGTTATGCGCGTCACACTACGGAAGTTTGCCTTGCGGGAAGATCACGAGAGGAACTACTGCTTTTGGGTTCTCACTGGTGTTGATCCGGACCCGAACCAGTGCCGCCGCCTCGGCGACACAGAGCTCTGGAGAGTTATCAAAGACCACACGCGGCCAGAGCGAAACCGTCTGATCCTGAGACGTGTGCCTGCAGGAGAGCCGGGCCAAGCAGAGCTCGAGCGAGCTGCCGCCATTGCTATGGAAGAAGCTCAACAGAACCACAACCGCGCCCTAGAAAACATGGACAAGCGAAGTCAGCTGAAGGCCCAAAAGATACTCGGCGAATCCTGGGAGACGATGCAGCCGCCTCTTTCACCTGTCTCATACCAAGACCGGGAAAGAAACGTGTACAACACAGCCAGGGACCTGGAGCGACCAGCGCCGGTCGAGACAGCCCGTGCAGCACCCCGTCGCAAAGGCTTACTGCGCCAGTTTGGCGGCCTGAGACCGCCTAGCGAGCTGATCGCCTCCGACCTTACCAGCTACTTCTCAGACCATTCTCGGGAGGCCATCGACAGGATAGCACGCATGTCCATGAGGCGGTCGCAGCGCCTCAGCAGGGTGAACCACCGCTTGAGCGTAGCAAGCACGCTGAGCTTCGCCTCCAGCGTCCAAGATGCACCGCCAATCCCTACCATCGCCGACAGCTGGCTGACCGCTTCCAATCAAATTGCCAAGGTCCGCCCTCGCGAGCTACAAGGGCGGGTCCCCCACGGGTACCGAGATTCGGTTGCTTCTTCGGTGCTCGACACGCTACAGGAGGAGTCGTCCCCAATCGAGCCGAACCGGAAGTCCTATGTCTCTTTTGCCGATAGTGGGTCAGAATCAGCTGCAATAAGCATTACCGATCCTCACGGCAATGTCGTTCGGCACAGTTACTTTGACGGGGACAGCACGACAGGGTCAGGCGGCTCGCTGCAGGATGTCAATCAAGCGCTGACCGAGGATGGGGAGGACGCCGACGAAGAATTGCAGAGCTTCCTCGCAGGCGAATCGTGGGACGACAGCAAGTGGATGAAGGGCGATCTCATTGGGCAGGGCTCTTTCGGTTGCGTTTATCTCGCGCTTCACGCCGTCACGGGCGAGCTGCTCGCCGTCAAGCAAGTCGAGACCCCCTCACCCGGCGCAAACAGCCAGAGCGATGCGCGCAAGAAGAGCATGATCGAGGCCTTGAAGCGGGAGATCAGTTTGTTGCGTGACCTACGCCACCCCAACATCGTACAGTATCTGGGCTGCGGCTCCTCGGCCGAGTACCTCAACATTTTCCTCGAGTACGTCCCCGGCGGCTCGGTCCAGACGATGCTCAACTCGTACGGCGCGCTACCCGAACCGCTCGTGCGCAGCTTCGTCCGGCAGATTCTCAACGGCCTCTCGTATCTCCACAACCGCGACATCATACACCGCGACATCAAGGGCGCCAACATCCTGGTGGACAACAAGGGCACCATCAAGATCTCGGACTTTGGCATCTCCAAGAAGCTCGAGGCGACCAACATACTCAACGGGGCCAACAACAACAAGCACCGGCCATCGCTGCAGGGATCCGTGTTTTGGATGGCGCCCGAGGTGGTCAAGCAGACGTCGTACACGCGCAAGGCCGACATTTGGTCGCTGGGGTGCCTGGTGGTGGAGATGATGACGGGCACGCACCCGTTCCCGGACTGCACCCAGCTGCAGGCCATCTTCAAGATTGGCGGCGCTAAAGCGACCCCGACCATCCCCGACCACGCGAGCGAGGAGGCCAAGCAGTTCCTTGCCCAGACATTTGAGATTGACCACAATAAGCGGCCGAGCGCGGACGAGCTAATGTTGAGCCCGTTTTTGACGCCGCCGGCTTGATTCTCACCCACCTCAGTATAATTTTCGGGTCATCAATTTCATGTGTTGTTTAATTTGGCCTGTATTGATGGCCCTTCTCCTGTCAGGTTGTGGATTTTTTCTCCCGCCTTAGGGTGTATATCAGCGCGGGGTTTGCTATGTAGGAAAAGGAGTTGCATCTAGTTTTATTTTCTGTTCATCATGAATGTCACGACTGATTTGAAGACGGTGGGGGTTGGACGTATGTGAGGTTAGCTGGTGGATAAATTGGGGTTGGCATTCGCGATGATGATGATGGCGGAGGAGAGAGACTTGACGGGACAGATGGGGAAGGTATCCTTCACGGCCGTGGTATGGTGATGGGCTGGGAAAGGTTGAATCTTTTCATCCTCTCTGGCTTTGCTTCTTTTCGCTCTTCTGACGATATGATATACGGCGCACACACGTGGATAATAGCTCATAGCTCATACGTTCAGACGGGGAGGCAGGCAAGGCAAGGCAGACAAGACAATGTGTAGGCGTAACAGTACAAAAGAAGCATTTACTGGTCTCTTGGGTGTTTTTACTGATTTGCTGGTTTAGATGTTGAAGGTAAGACATCCCGTGATTGTGCGCCTCATGGGTTTGTCCGGGTCTCATTCATGCTTGCCCGGTGAGCATCTACCTATCCGCTTCTTGTCCCGCGCAGGACATGTAAGACAGTATAGTCCATACTTCCCTTCCATCCTTGCCATTGATCCCTTCGCCCTCGGAGTAAGTTATGACAATGTCTGCTAGTGTGTGTATGTACCGGTGAGGAGGCCCGGGAAGTCGGATGTACAGTTCGGGTCGATCTTTGCCACGAGACAGCGGGAAGGGATCGTCCGCGGGTGCATTCGGAGCGTTCATTACCCAGACACGTGGTAAATTGTATCGATATAGTATTTGGCTCCTATATATAGCGGTTGCTTAACGTGCTTTCACTAAATTGCTTGCCGCAGCGTCGTATTCTCGGCTGTTACTGGATGTTCTAGACGTGTACTGTAAAGTAGTGAACGGGAGGGGTTGTCTTGGGTTAATAAGGGGATTAATTCCCACGTGGAGGTGGAAGTACTGAGTAGTATATTGCATAGGGACTAAGGGGGTTGGACTCTTTACACTACACTGCGTGCCTGTTCCGTGGAAGCTGAGATGACATGCCAGCACGTCGTCGTCTTCGTGGCAACGCTGCATGATGATTCCCGTGACACTGGCTCAAAGCTTATTATCATCCTCACTCATTCTCGTCAGGTAATCGCCTAATCAAAGCAATACATGGCAGAAACCAGCAACCAGAAGCCATCAACCTTGGCATCCTCGTATTTTGTTTCTCAAGTAAACCACTGGACCAGACTTGGTTTCCCGCGCCTCCAACAACCATATGAAAGGACACCACTGGCAGATGGCACACCCCAGACCCGTCAATGCCTTTAGGAGGAAACACTAGGCTTATGAAGCTTGGCCTTGATCTTGTCTTTCAGGCTGGTCTTCTCGTGATGCTCTCCTCCATTCTTGCCGCTAGTATGCTGCTGCGGCTGTTGCCCATGGGCTGAGTGGTGGGTGATTCCCCCGTCCCCTCGTTGCACGCCCTTTTGCTCCAACAGGCCTAGACGCCAGTGTTAGCATTTCCTCAAGGAACAGTAAGAGGTAGTGATGAAAGAAAGGGGATAAACTCACGATCAGCCTCCCTAGCCGCTCCAGGGCGCGAGGCATCAAAATCCCCGCCCTCGGCCGCGAGTCCACTCGACTTGACGTAGGCCTCCCCGGAGTCGCCTTTGCCTGCGCTCCGTACATCATGGTGCTCTTCCTCAAGCCCCTTGGCGCTGTCCCTTCTGGTCTTATCACCAGTACCAACACTCTCAACAATATTCTGCCCGGCACCAGCACCAGCAGGTGATTTGGTCTGAGCCTGAGCCGAAGGAGCGCTATTACCCGCATCTCCGCCGCGCTCGCGCGCAAGCTCCTCGATAGGCCGAGGGCCGGGACCCTCGACGTTGACGGGGCGATTGGCTATGTCCTCCTCCTCCTTGGTCTTCTCCTTCTTGTCGTCATCTTTTCGCTCGCCCATCTTGGGTCCTTCTTCTTCTTTCTTGCCAATTCCTTCGCCGGCGCCGCCGTGCGTCGTCTGCTTGTTAGCCGCAGCAGCGATGTCGGTAACCTGCGGGGTCAGGGTGGTGGAAGGAGCAGTGGGAGGGGGAGGAGCGCGGGTGTCGTTCTGGGCCTGGGTCGAGTCGTCGCCCATGCCAGACGCCGAGGGCACGGCCGAGGGGTCGACTACTCTCTTCTCGGGCTGTTCTTTCTCTTTCTTCTGCTGCTCTGGTGCTGGGGTTGGCGGGAGAGGGGTCGCTGCTGCTTGGGCCTGCTCGGCCTTTGCACGGCTGTCGCGTACTGGGAGGGTTGTTGTTGTTCCAGTTCCAGCAGGCTTGGTTTCGCTGCTTTCCTCCTTGTGTGGTTGCTCGGGTTTGGAGAGGGCTTCTTCGTTGGATTCTGCACAGGTTTCAAGTCAATACGCTGGTGAGGAAGGAGCTTAAGTGGTAGGGAAACTCTGCGAAATGGTAAGTTAGTCAAGACCAGGCTCATGGATTTGTACTGGTGAGAGTGGGAAGCGTGCCACCAATGTTGCCGGCGTCGTAGGGCTCCCCGGCGGCCACATCGCCCATCTTGCCCGAGACGGGCTCTTCGTGGGACTGGTTTTGGTTCTGGTTCTCACCCCAGATGGCCTTGGTGGCGGCATTCTTAATGCTACTGATGGTCTCCATGGTAAAGGCTAAGATGGCACTGGCTTATTCGTGTAGGATTCTCAGCGTGGTAGTTGGTAAGCGGTAGATGTAACAACGTAGGTTTGCATTCCTCGATTCAGGAAGGAAGCGGTGCCAAGATATACCCAGCTCCTTTTGCATTACGCTTCTGTTTCTGTCTCGACGTCCAACACAGGCTTGAACAACCGTAATAGTTGTGGCTGGTGACGTAGGAGGGGATCCTCCAGCCGTCATAGCCCAACCGTCTGCCAATAGTATGAATTACACAGACCTCCAGATGCCCTTCATAGTCCCATCCCCAATGGAAAGATCAAGCCTGTCTCTGGCCGGCCAAGGAAATCCCGATGATGCCCAGGCATGTCGCTCCCTTTGTTCATGACAGGTCAGGGCTGGTTACGGTACTTAAGCCTTGAGCTGAATACAGGTCCCCTAAGCGATTAATCATATATCGCACAAATGCGGTACCGACCATGGTGGTGCTGTACCGCAGCATTAAGTTCTCGAGCAATGGCCATTGTGACAGGTTGGGATGACATGACGTTGGGCGGGATGATTGTGCTGACGTCATGCCTGGTGCTAGAACATTGCGAAGGGGGTGCCACTCACTCAGATAAGGGGGCTTCTGGCGCAAACTACAATTCGGTTCAGTAGCTTCTAAAACGCTCTAGCTATGTTGCAGACCATAGCGCATTCCATGAGTTGGAGCTAAGCTACGTAATATCCTAATGTCTACCGTATTGTGGTGTAGGTCAGTTAAGGCAGTGGGAAAAAAAGGTTCCGCAAAAGTTTAGGTCCTACCCGGAATCGAACCGGGGTTGCCGGAAGTCTGGTAATCAGAATCCGGAGTGATAACCGCTACACTATAGAACCTTCAACTGTTGGTATTTTTTATTCAAGGTCCCTTCTAAGTGTCTCCCAAATCCACATCTGTCGATCACCTTGACAACCGTGAGGTCTTATGGACGTATCCTGAATATGGTCTGCGGCGAAGGCGTTGGGTTTGGTCATTACCGCAAAAAATCTGCCAAAGGAGTTATCGTCAAGTGCTAGTGTCTGCCGGTGATGGTACAGGGCGAGGAGTGATCAATGATGGCCTCAGAAGAGAAGCTGGAGCGAGGACGAGAAACTACGGGGCGCTTGAGCGGTGTAATATGCCTGCAGAATAGGGGGTTTCGGCAAAGGCAAACAGGGTGTCTGCTAAAGTGTTTACTGCATGCAAGCCAGCAAGGGGCTGCAGCGTGCATTTCTTTCAACCACCAATCTACCTCTCTTATAGTTTGACACTCTTGACCAGGCCCGTCTTGATACCCGACAGCTCTCCCTGGTAGCCTCCCGGGCCCTCGCCGCCCTTGTATACAGCCTTGACGCTCCGCAGCTTCTTTTGCTTCTCGGCGAACTTCATCCGCTTCTTGACACGCGGGTTGCGCACTTCCTTCTTCCGGTGAGGTGTCAACCCCTTGTTCTTCTGGATCTGGTACGAGATCTGCCGCTTTCCGTCCGGCCCGATCTGCTCCGTCTCGACGACGCGCTCTCCCTTGCGCGCCTGCGCTATAGCCTCGTACCGCGCCGCCTTGTCGGCCCGCTTCCTTTGTGCCGTCTGCGCCACCATGTCGTAGTACTCGTCCTCCTCGCCACGGACCTGCTTGGCCACGGCGTCCTCGCCATCGCTGTCCTCGCCGCCCAGGTCGGCGCCGAACTTGCTGCCCTTCTTGCCGCGCCGTTCAGCCTCGGCGTTCAGCCGAGCTTGGCGGTCCCTCTGTGGAAACGGTTAGTGGCACGTCAAGGCAATGTGTAGCTGTGGCATGGCAACTTACAAGTCGCTCGCGGTACGGGATGTCCATGTCACCACCGGCGTCGCGCCCGGCACCGGCCCGGCGGCTAGCCTTTTGGACGATCTGGGATGTGTAAAACTTAAGGCTCTTCTTGCGACGAGCCTTGTCGGCGGCGGTGCGGGCGTCAAGGGTCTCTTCCTCGCCGAAGTCGGAGCGGTTATCGTCCATTTCGACATTGTTCGCGGAGACGGGCGCTCCAGTTGTCCTGCTAGCCTTCTTGGTGCTTTTGAGCAGTGCGGACAGCTCCGCGAGAGACTGCTCAACCGCTTTGGCCTTCTCGGCCTTCTCAGACGCCTTCTTTTGGTTGGCCTTGATCTCGGCCTTGGAGAGTTTCTTCTTCTTTGCCTTCTGCTCCGGAAGCGGTGCTGCGTCGAGCATCTCCAGATCCTCCTTGTCGGGGGGTGAGAGCATTCCGGTGCTAGCAGCAACTGTCTTGGTCGACTTGAGCTGTTTGACCTTCAGCCACGCCTCCCGACATTTCACCAGAGTCTCCATGACCTCGTGGTCTCTGAGTTCTGAAGGGCTCAAAGTTGCGGCTGAGCCATTTCCGTCTCGGGAGGGAGACATTAGGATCGCAAAGTAGCTCGCCAAGGAAGCAATATAGCAGCTGAGAAGCCAACACTTGACCACTTCCAGTGATTTGGCAGGTTTCCCCTCTGCTTCTTTCTGTAATGCAGGAAGAAGTGGCTGCAGCTCCCTGAATTCGTCCACCAGGTACTCAAACTCGGGATACCTAGCCTGCAAAAGCCTGAGTCTTTCCTCAGGTCCCATATCGTCGGTTACCTCCACCTCCTTCAGGACTTCTGTCGTGATTTCTTCATCCTCCCCAGTTTGCTCCTTGGGCGCGAGCCATTCGCTCTCGTCAAAGGCAAAGTCGGCCTCTTGCAATTTGGCCAGCTTCTTGGCCTGGAGACGCCGCGCCTCTGCCTCCTCTTCCTGCAACGCGGGTTAGTCTGTGAGGCCTAAGCAGCACGGCACACGGCAAACCCACCAGGGCATCGGCCTCCGTCTCGATGTTGTCAGCATTGTAGTACTCCTTCCTCGAAGAACCCCACCAGCCCTCATCACCCTCTTCTACCTCGCCTCTCCGCTCTCCACTCTCAGACACATCATCGTCCGGCGCCGCAGAGGCTTTGGCTCCTTTTCGTTTTGGTGGCACCTTCTCCTCTTCGCTTTCCTCTGATCCGTCCTCCTCCTCAAAGACCTCCTCGTCCGAAGCTTCTAGGAAAGCCTCCTCCCTGTCCTGCCTCTTGAGGCGTTTCGAGCGCGGCTCGTCATCATCGTCAAAGTCAATGCGGTCCTGGTTGGCGTAGTACTCGTCCTCCGAATTGGCGACGTCTTCAAACGTCTTGATGGTGAGGCGGGCGTCCTTGACATCGACTTCCCGCGGCCCGCTTGGCTCCGGCTTGCGGGAAACTTTTCTTTTCCTGGCCATTTTTGGAAATTCTTCAACCAGCACGGTTATCCAAGGACTGAGAGACAGCGGCCGACTCTTTGCGTGGGCGATACGATTCAACCACGTTGTATCGTCCGTGTGGGGTCCTGCTGAAGTTTTACAGGGCGATCTTCAGATAAGACGGTGGCAGAAAAAAGTTCTGGCTGTTTCAACGCTCACCGACTGCCAAGGGCGGGCGTTATGGCGGCCCCACCACCCGGCTGCACCTGCATGCACTTAGTGCAGGCCCCACTGCACTTACAGCAATGGTTGACCCCTGATTCCCGACACTATCAACGGCATCAGTGAAGCTCCCACTAATCAACGCAGCCGCTCATGGATATCCTGCAAAGACTCGGCATTCCACTGGCCATTGCTGCCGCCGCATTGAGTACCATTCTAGCCGTGATCGCAACCATGGGTTGGTTCAGCAGAAAGAACCACATGCCCGTCGAGGGCCGGGTATGTCCAAATGTCCAATTGTCCATTCTCTCTCACCTCATGAGTGAACTTGCAAACCCGCTGATTAACACAACACCCAGACGGTTCTCATCACCGGCGCTTCAGAGGGCATGGGCCGTAGTGCCGCCATTCAGCTAGCAGCCAAAGGCGCCAACCTCATCCTCGTGTCTCGCAATGTGGGCCGCCTCGAAGAAGCGCTTGCCAGCGTCAAAGTAAGCTAGCCGCTGTGTTCACCGTGATTATTTCAAGTTCAGCTCCCTGACATAAACCCTCTTCCTCTCACCCTCAAATAAAAGGCGGCCGCCAAATCCCCCTCCACCCAGCGGTTTACCTACATCTCAGCCGACGTCGCCGAGCCCGACTACGCGGGGCGGGTCATCGCCGAGGCCGTGGCATGGAACGGCGGGCAGCCGCCCGACATAGTATGGTGCGTGGCGGGCATGTCGACGCCGATGCTGTGGGCCGATGAAGGGTCCATGGCCGCCGCGCGGCGCAACATGGACGTCAACTATTTCGGGTCGGCCGAGATGTCCCGGGCGATCCTGCGCGAGTGGCTCAACCCCGAAAACAACAACAGCAACAACACCACCAAAAAAAACGCAGAGCCAAAACACATCATTTTCACGGCCTCGGTGCTCGCCCTGTTCGCCATTGTCGGCTACGGGCCCTACACGCCCTCGAAATGGGCGCTGCGCGGCCTGGCCGACACCCTGGCCATGGAGCTGAACCTGTACCCGGACACGCCCGTCAAGGTGCACGTCGTCTACCCGGCCACCATCACCAGCCCCGGGCTGGAGAGGGAGAACCAGACCAAGCCCGAGATCACCCTCCAGCTGGAGAAGGACGAGCCGCCTGAGACGCCCGACACGGTGGCGAGGCGGGCGATCGAAGGGCTGGAGAGGGGCGAGCATTTTGTGACCGTCTCGTTTCTGGGGAATCTGATGAGGTGCGGCGTCCTTGGCGGGTCGCTGCGGAATAATTGGGTGTTGGACACGCTGCTGGGGTGGATTGTGCCAATCATTTACTTTTTTGTCATCAGGATCATGAATGCGCAGGTGTTGGGGTGGGCAAGGAAACATGGGCACCTGGCGAAAAACGTGGAGACGACATGAAGTCTGTTAGGGGTTAGGAATCGGGTGTATATGTACAAGGGCAGGAAAGGGAAAATAACAGTAGGGAAATCGAGATAATGTAATCATGTCCTGTACCAAAAGAAGTCTGTCGAGTCTTGGTATCAAACTCACCAGAGCACCTCGCCAATGCAAGCATATCCCTCTATCACCCTTCCCAAGGAACCCTTTTTGAACGCCATCACAACCAGCATTACCATCCGAACCCACCCTTCACACGTAATACATAAACCACCCCGATTCGGGTTGTATAGTATCGTACCCCTCCCGGCCCCGTCCCCTCCCGGCATCTCCATCTCCCTCCAGCCCCTCCTCCTCCCACCTCCTCGCCTTGATACCCAGCGAGCCCGCAACCATTTCACAGCTCCGCCCAACCCCGCTCTCTACCAGGGTAACGGGCACCTTGACGAACCCCATGGGCACCTGTCCCCTTTCCAACCTCACCACGCCACCGCCCCTTTGCCCGGCAAGCTGATGTTGATCCCATAGACACCTCCCCTTCTCGTCCCAGTAGGCAAACGCCGTGACCCACCCGGAATACGCCACCTTCCCGCTCCCGTTGGGCTCCTCTTTGTCCACTACACGACTCCAAAACAACCTAGCCTTCTGGCCCCCGGGTTCACGAAAACTCTCCTCTAGCCCGTCCAGCACGGGCTTTAGCGCAATACGGTACCAGCGCTCGGCTTCCGCCCCAAAAACGCCCTTCCCGAGATAGGCGGCGCACCGGCCCGCGAGGTTGGCCCAGTCCTGCGGGGTGCCCAGCAGGCGCACGGCGGGGATCCCGCAGCGCGTGCCCCACGAGTAAACAAAATACTCTTGCATGGTGCCCAGCAGGGCGATGCTGGCGACCGCCGTGTCGGAGGGCAGCGTGGTGGAGAAGGCCGGGAGGATAAAATCCTGCAGCAGCGACGGGTCCCGCAGGTGCTGCTGCTGGCTCACCAGGGCCGCCATCCGCTGGGCGAGCTGGGCGTGGTCGGTCTTGGGGGACAGAGGCGTCTCGATGTGCAGCTGATTTAGTGTCCTTTGCTGCGAGTGGAGTAAGAGGGGCTGCAGGGAGGACGAGTTGCCGTTGACGTAGGCGCTTAGTTGAGTGAGGATGGCCAGCCATATGTCGTCGGGCCGCAGGACGAGGTTGTGGTGGTTGTTGTAGGCCTCGAGGCAGGCGAAGACGAGGCCGTTTTTGGCGGCGTAGGTGGTTGACGTTGTGCGAGAGAGCGTGGGGAAGGAGGATTGGATGATTTGTTTCTGGCTGGCGGGCTGCAGCCTGGTTCTAGGGCTGCCGCCGTCGACATCGTCGTCGGTGGTTATGCTGGCGAGGAGCTGCTCTGGGGATGTGGAGTGGGCATAGCCACTTAGCCGTGCGGGTTCAGGGTTTCGCCGTGAGGGATAGATCGTCACAGGCATTCTTGGCCGCTGGACGATATTTCTATCTGGCCGGGGAGAGGAGAAAGAATAACAATCTGTCGGTTGTGGGAGTGTGCCTTGCTCCTGATGAACGGATCAGGAGAACGGCTTAGATTTAAGTCGGAAGCATTGAACCTACCCTGCCAGTGGCATGTAACTCTACATGCACCGCTAAACGCGTCTAAAAGAAATTCGAACCTGCTCATCTGAGTAAGAGGTTGCGGGCTTGCGATCCGGGTAACGTAGCAAGCGATCATAACATTCTCAGAGCAAGTCCAAAGTCCGTGTAAGTGACAGATTTGGGCGGTCCACATCGGTGCCAAGGAGCGCCGCCGGAAGTCATCCGACGAGACTAAGCCCTATCGTTTGACCGAGCCCCTATAAGACCATGTTTGTATCGCCAACCGCGGGCCGCCGTCACCTGCTGTTCAAAGCAGGCAAGTTGGTTACCGATTGTCGGGATCTGGGGCTGCTCTTAACCCAAAACAATTGGCTCTCTCGTCGAGTCAGTGAAGCTAATTGGAGCCGCAAGCGCAGCGGCCGGGAACAGAACATGGCGACCGTTGCGAAGTGCTACCTCCGTACCCAGCTCCTTCCCGAACCATCTTACCGATCTCGGCCTTACGGCTCGCTCATTCGTCCCTCCGAGGGCTTGAGGGACAGAAAGGTTGGATTGTGACCTGCCCTTCTTTGCGATGGGGGCCGCTGTGAGCGCGAGGGTGCCTAGGCCAATGCAGCCGACGCCGCAACCAGAGGAACATGAGCGAGATGAGCGCGACATATTAGCTGATTCATAGGCCTGATTTGTTGGCAAGCGAAATTTGCCATGTTTGTTGCTCCGTAAGTGCAGCCAAAGGCACGAGCAACGGTGCTGGCAAGGTGTGTTGTAGAGTCATCGATGAGTTGGACAGGAACGGAAAACACTCTTCAAGCTGAAAGAGCTTGGGTGGAAGCTACACCTCTGCCGGGGTTTGTTTTCGAATATTTGGGTTTTGCGACCCAGGGCAAATCTTGTTCGCAAAGACGTACAGTCACCAAGCAGTTACGTGCTGCGAGAAACAAGGAACAAGAACTGTATCATGACCAAACAGCGTATCCATGATATATAAAGTAGAAGGGAGCAGAGAGCAGGTCCTACATGGTGATATTATACATGTTTATTAGTGGATTGAATGATTGCAGAAGTTTTGACCAGGTGCGCGATAACTTTTAGGCGTGCACAGACCCCTGACTTCCTCCTCTCCAGCGCTCTCTGATTGGGCAATCGCATCAAAATTCTCCGCTACAGTAGCAAGGCAGCGCCTCTGGCCTTTCCCGCTCAGCTCTCCTTTAATCCTCACGTCCCCAAAAAAAAAAAAAGTACTCATCCAGCTTAACAGCTGACGACAGCTGTTCAACCATCAGCGATTCCTCCCGCGACGAAGCAATCCAACACTGGGCATTTTATTTTCCTCTTGGCGGGCTCGAGCATGAAATCGTCGGCCGTCCGGTCACAGCGAGGTCGTCCGAGCAAGGTGACAAAGCCGGCCGCCCCGACACGCGGTCGTCCCGCGCGCCAGGCTGCAGCACAACTGGCCGCCCACGACGCCCACGAAGCCCACGCGCTTGCCGAGGGGCTTAAGAACGAACCCGCCACGGCTGCTTCCGTGTTCGACGACGTCGGCATGGGCGCCGAGGAGTATGCCGCTGCCGCCGCCGCCGCTGCTGCCATGGATACCGACCTGACCGAGGACGCTCATGGCGAGGCTGAGCCCGAGACCGGCATGGACGGACAAGACCCCACGGGCGCCACATCGGGACTACCCCCCCACGTTGACCTCACGGCCGCCAATATCCTCGCCAACGGCGGCGCCAGCAACCCCGGCAACGCCCTGTCTCAGCCCGTCCCGGACCAGCTGCAGGACATGCAGCAGAGCCTAGCTCACGCGCACCAGCACCAACACCAACACCAACACCAACAGCAGCATCAGCATCAGCACCACCACCAGCACCAGCATCAACATCAGCCGCCGGCCCAGATGGGTCCGCCGCAGCAGCTGCAACAAGGCCATCAGCCGATAGACTCGTCAATGATGAAGACGACTGAGGAATTGGCGATCGAGTCAGGCTACGGAGAGCTCAACATTGAGAGTGCGCTTGCTAAGAGACTGGCACGCGAGCCAGGCCAACGTCTCGCGCAGCAGCGCCGGCCGGAGCAGGTCCTTAACCTGGCACGACGGAGCAACGTCGAGGCGCTGTTTGCCCACATCGCAGGCGAACCTGCGCGTGTTCCGTGCAAGAACTGCCACAAGGGCCACGGGCCCTGGACCAGCTGTATCGTGGTGGACGGCCAGATGTGCGGCAGTTGCGCCAATTGCTGGTTCAACGCCAGCGGTGCGAGATGCAGCTTCCATGGTAAGCGGAAATCAAAGTGTTGCGCGAGAACTGAACCGCTGCTGACACCCTTTTTGCAGAGACCCGCAATCCCCAAGCCGTCCCGCAGCATCCATCCATCATGCCTGCCAGCACCGCCGGCCTCGCGGCCGACCCTTCGTACCGCTTCCAGGCGGCCCACCCGCTCCTACAACCGCATGGCGCGGCGGCCATGGGAACCGTCGGCCACGGTGGAACCATGCTGACTAACAACCCACTGTTCCAACAGATGCTCACCAGGGCCATGGGCGAGGTACGGGCAGCGGACAAGGTGACTCGACAACTCATCATGATCGACATCACCGCGAAGCAGCTGGCACTGCAAATTGCCGAGTACGAAGAGATGGTTGGCGGCAACCAGGAACAACCGCCGAGCGGGCCTGTCCCGGGCCAGCAAGGTATGGGGGACGAGGCAGGGCCTTAGCAAGGCCCCTATTTCGGTATTTTACCTTTTTTGGACTTGTCCTTCCCGCGAGTCGACACAATGGACGGACATGGCGACGGAATTACACCCAACGGTGGATGGCAGGTTGCCGGGACGAAAATAGTTTGACTATTACTTTTCTTAGGTTGAGCTAGAGGCTCTTCTGACATGGATGCAAGCGATACCCCGTCATATTTCATTTTTCGCCCGCTTAAGTTGCAGGATACGCAGTAGTATTGTTATTGATCCGCCCCATACACGGCTTGAGATCTTGTGCCCTGATTCACACCCGAAGAACGGGGATATCCGATGCTAGCGTATGGCTAGCGAGGACTAGAGTCAGATAAGATATGCACATTGGGTGGGAGGGAAGGAAGAAAGCATAGGCATTTCATTGAGTTATTGTCGCCGAGATTTTTGCAGTGGAATTGGGTGGGAGGCATTCTCATATGTGATATGCCTCCGTTTGGGCTGCTTGGCCGCGATCTGTCACGTTGTTTGGAGTTGATAGTTGATGAATGGAAGACCGTTATGAGCCTGGTGGCATTGGTATGCCGTTCTCTCTAGTGTAACTGGTCATTGACTAGTGTACTACTTGGAGAAGAAGGATAAATCGCCCCTTGATTTTGGATAGTCGAGCACAGCCATATCTATGTTCCATATCACAGCGTCTACCTAAGTAGGCAAAGGCGGACACAGAACCGATTATGATGTAAAGTTCTTTCCGAGCTGTATTGAACATACACTTCTCTCACAAAGCTGCTCTCACCACAGAGTAACCACTCCGCTCATAAACATGACTAATCCTATAGTTCGCCACCGCAGCGTCGTCTCCAAACTCGAACCCTCACTCTCTCCATACACGGTCTGGTTATTCGTCATGTTGCCCTGGTCCTTGAAAAACCACATGCCGTCCCGTATCCCGCACACGGCATTGGGCGCTGCAGGATCGCGACACCGGGCTGCCCAGTCCTGCTGCCTTTGCGACGAGGACGAGTTGAAGTAAGCCTTGACATATCTGACCATCAGCGTCGCGTCCTCGGCCGGCGGCCCGCCAGACCAGAACTTATTCCCGTTGCTCCAATGCTGCAGGATGAGATGGCCCGCCGTCGAGGGGACAGCGGGGCCGTCCATCTCGGCCAGCCTGCGCCCGTCGGCGTAAAAGAGAACCTTGCCGGGGGTGTAATCGATGCGGTACTCGTGGAAATCATCCGTCGGGTCGAACGGCAGGTACGCCTTGGCAAAGTTGCCCGTCCGCGACGCGTCGTAGCCCGCCAGCGCCGCCTCGCGTGATTGTAGGACGAGGTTGACTGGGTAGCTGCTGTTGGTCGAGTTGAAGTCTTTTGACAAAAACTCCATGTCGATCTCCTGCGTGTCGTTGAGATACTACATAGGCTCAACCGCATGGCATTGATCGTCAGTAAGCAACATCCCTCCCCTGAATCAAACTTGCAGCAGAACAAGCAAAGCAAAACCCATACCCAGAAGAAGGCCGCGCACGTGCCCGGAACATCCGTCATCTTCATCGACGCCCGGTAGGTGCCCCAAAGCAAGTCCAGGCGGCGGGTATCCATCTCGGCGACAGGGACCATGCCGTCGACAGACTTGCTCCGCACGACCAGGCCCAGCCCAGCGCTTTCTCCTTGACCTTCACTGTAGGAGGAGGAGGAGGAGGGATTTGCAACGAAGACGTTCTCCACGGCAAACATCTCACCGTAGTCGCCCCTTGCCCGCTCCCGCGTGAGATTGAACGCCTGCGGCGCCCAGTCGGTGTTTAGTTGCGCAACATGATCCTGCGCAAACCTCGTAAAGTCGGACTCGATCAGGTCGGTGAAGACAACTGGGCTGCCGTCGATGCTTGTTGAGTAGCCACATTCACAGTCGGCGAGAACCGGGTGGGCAAGGAATAAAAGTGGCCAGGGGTAACGGAGAAGGAGGCTGACGGTACTGACGGGGGAGGAGGAGGCAGATCGATGACGATGGCGAGAGCGAGAGCGAAGCTGTGGTAGACGGATGTTCGGCGTGGGGAACTGAGAGTGAACCTGAGAGATGAATCCGTCCCAGAAATGTCGCCGCGCAATACTACTAAGTTTCGCCAGCCGCCGCGCGGCCAGAACCAAAACCAAGACCGGGATCATGACCATGACCATGACCATGACCGAACCCATGGCTACGGCAACCAGTCCATGATCCATGGCCCTCTGCCCGGCCAGCCAAGCGATTGAATGGGTTTCTTTTTTTCTTTCCGTGCGGCCGCGGACCAAACGGAAACTCGAAACGTGATCGCGTTGCCCTGGCTGTATCTGAGCGAGTGTGATAGCCACTTCACCCAACGGCAGCAAGATACAGACAAACGCAAGAGCAAAATCCGACTCATGACCCGGATGTGACAAACGAAAGACAGCGGGGAGACAGCACGACAGCAGTATATGGGGTAGGGGTACATCGCCTCCGCGTTCCTACATCCTCCCTCCCCCTTCGTTTTCTCTTGCTCATTTTCTCTCCCTCCAGTGCCTCCCTCTCAGTGTTTCTTCAGGGGTCAAGGTAAGACAAGACACCCTATAGGTTATAGGTCAAGTAGGTACCCGGGTGCTCGATACGTCCGGATCTCGTTCCTACGGAGTAGTACGATGGGACGAACTGCAAGCACCCGTCCACATTGATGTGTAACCCAGGGCAAGAACGAGCGCAGTGACGGCGGCATACCGGAGGTACCTGCCTACCTACCTACTGGTTACCCCAGCGTAGGCAGAACGGCGGATTCCCTGCTCGTTTCGCTTCCGAGCAAACTACATGTCTCACGGCACGCACTCGGTGCCACCGTCCCCAATCACTTCCATGGAAAGCTGCTGGTTTGGGGGGCCGTCGTCGTGTAAAACAAGCACTCATACTAATAATGCTATAGAAGTCCTGCGGCCATTGTTAGAAAAGAATACATCATATACATGACGACTGCACGGCCAACCACCACAACACGGGTTAACTTACCATCATGATTGATACCCCCAACAGATCCTGCTTAACTTGGGCGAAAATAGTGGAGTGTTGCACATTCATAAACTACTGACTACTGGCTGACTGACTAGGCTGGCAACCGCAAACTTAAAAAGAATCCAAACTATCTACCCCATCCATCTCCATCAACAATCCACCGAAATCAGAGCAGCTCAAAAACAAAAACAGAAATTACCAATCTTGTGTGTATGTATCTGAGTGCTCCTCTTGCTGAGACGACTTCACATTCGAGCACCCAGCCCCCAAAAATCGACAAGGAAATCAAACAACCAAAAGCCGACCCCTTAGCCTCATTCACCAGTACCAACCTCTTGAGCCTCCCCTCCCCTCCCTAAATCTCCGCCCGTATCTGGTACAGGAACTAGGACAGGTAGGACTGAAACTCACACCAAAAAGCCTAGAGGAAAAATAAATGCGAGGAAAGAAGAAATAGTATATTGAACAAGGTATCCGACAGACCAACGGTCGAGAGAAGATCAAATTGTGAAGGTCAGATTAAATATTGGTAAACGGTGTTAATGAAACACGGAGAAGAGACGAGGATTCCTCCACATGGACCAGCCAACAGTGTGCAGATATTAGGTTTGCGGGAGCGTTGGTCCTCCCACTGGACCACAATGCGAAACCGTACCAAACCTGCCCCCCATTTGCCGAGACCACAACGATAGTATGCAGAAGCGAAATGCGAGTAAAGGACAAACATCCACTGCAACACAGAGACCCAACACCATCCCCAGGCGCCCGAAACCCGACCAACCAAGGGATTTCACTCAAGGAAACAAGGAAAGCAAGGGAAAAAAAGGAAAATCAACGGGAAACTATGAAATAGACGCAAAGAGGTATATGCCCTAGGAAACACCACCCCGTACTTAATAGGCAAAGGAAAGACAAAGGAAATCGTCAACGTCATCACACTAATACACGCTGTCCTCGTCCGCGCCCTGCGAGGTCATGGACGGCGTCGAAACGCTAGAGGATGCAGCAACATCGTCCACGTAGCCCACAAGGGCCTGTGAGTGGAGCCGGAACGATTCACCCATGAGGCGAGTGATTCTATCCAACTCGTTAGCACATATATACCTTCGAATCGACGAGAAAACGGAGAAGGAAAGACTTACCCCCAGACAACCACCTCATCCAGCATCGAGCCCCACAGACGGGCCACGACGGAGCTCAGCTGCGTGACATACGTCTCGTCGAGATCCTTGTCAAACAGCTGGCGGACACGGTTGTACATGACCAGTTCGTCCTCGCTTGCCGGCTCCTCGTCATGTTCCAGACGGTAGAGCCAAAGGCTGAGGATGATCATGAGATCCATGCCGCACAGCGGGTGCTCAATGCTCCAGTTTGTCGGCGAGGTGCGCGCCACCCAGCGGACGCCTTGGAGAACCGCAGTCTCAATGCAGTTATAGCACTCCTGAATGACCTTGATCATCTCGCTTGAGCGCTTCACGCGGTCCCGAGCATTCGACATGGCCGCCGCCACTTCGTACGAGTCGTGATACCGAAGGGCCTCCTGAACCGTCTTCAGATCCACCTCCAACCGAGCACGCGCGTTGCGGAACATTGCCTTGGCGTTGAAGATCAGCGGGTGTCCCTTGTGAGGAGCGTTAAGCGGCACCGAAAAGACTTCCGGCTCGCAGAGATCCAGGGACTTCTCCCAAGTCTCGAGAGCAAGCCTAAGCTTGTACTCGGTGACCACGTCTTGCAGCGCCTCGGGGCTGCGCTTGTGATACCAGACTTCGAGGAAGAGCGCGTTGATCATGACTCGCGTCGCAAAGGCGCTGTACTTGAGTGTCTCCCCTTGGAAAAGGTTGTCGTGAGCCTCCATGAACGTGACGCTCGGAGATACCCTCAGGTGATCCTGCCAGGCGTCATCGGCAACCTTCAGGTTCCAAAGAGCCTCAGTCGAGGGGAGCTGCAGGTCCTCAAACTCGTTGAAGCTGATGGCCGGAGTGTGGTTGTATGTCAGTGTCAGAAGACCAAAGAAGATGTACACGGCGTAGTACGTGCGCCGGCAACCTTCGTCCTCAATCCACTCGGCGCGGGTAGGCGCGCGGCCTTCACGAGCTTCCTGTCGCAACTTCAACTCGTAGCGGTTCCCGGCAACCATGTTGGCAAGCAGACTCTTGATCGAGCACGCCCATTCAAGGCCCTTCGGGTCGCCGCTCCAGCTCGCAAAAATCATGTTAAGCAGCGAGCTTTGCATTGTCCAGAGTGGACACTTGCGCGAGCTGAAGTTTTCCTTGTGCTGCAGGAACTGATTGACAAGCACCTTGGACCCGATGTGAAGTGTATAGGCGGGCTCCTGATCGAAAGCATACAAAGCGCCGATCGAAAGGACAGCGAGCAGGAGCGCAGGCGACACCCGAGTCGGCTCAAACGAGGCAGGATGCAGGAATGGAAGGTGGTGATGGAACAGGCCGAAGTAGGTGGCAAGATAACGATTCATGGAAGATAGGCTAGGGACGCGGAAGCCTTCTGGGATGGCATGTTCGCTATCTGTGCTGCGGATATGGTCCAGGATCATGTTCCTTTCTTCATCATTGCTGACCTGAGGGGCCTTGAAACTCCCGCTGGGCTGAGCGGCGTCAACAGGCGTGTGAGAGCGGTGCTGCATGAACGGTGACTGAGGTCTTGGAGTGCCTGCGGCCGAAGGGGGAAGCGAATTGATCATGGCCTGAAGTCCTGGGGCCAGACCGTTGACATTCTGGCCGGCAAGGGGAGGCAGCTGACTGGAGGTGTTCTGAGCATCGAATGCTGCCGAGCCGCCTGAGCTGATCGAATGCGCCTTGGGCTCTGACTGTGACATGAAGCCCTCCCACTGCGGCAAGCCGATAGCGCCGTTGGGGTATGTCACGGCAGGTTCCATCATCGCGGATCCATGCTGAGAGAAAGCCATGCCAGGACTGCTGTCGTAGTGGCTGCCATTAGCACGAGCCGCTGCGGTCGCTTTTTGATGAAGGTCAGCAACGAGCATTGCAGCGGTTTCCACATCGAAAATACCGTCGCTACTGGCTTCGAATTGCTCAAGAGCCGAAGTATCGATGGCGATTGCAGACTTGGAGGGACCGCTGACAGGCCGGGCAGTCTTGGGGCCGCCTCGGCGCTTGCCGTCGCTGTGGAGAGGGACACCTCCATCTTTAGCATGGACGGTGCGGTCATGCCGGAGAAGAAGGTCGCGCCGCACGAAGGTGCTCCGACACTTGAGACACTTGAACGGCCGCTCTTTTGTATCTACAATGGTTCGTTAGAGGGGATGGCAAGACCAGATCAGAGATGGAAAAACATACGGGATCGCTCATGTCTGCTCCGATGCTCGCTCCTGCTGAATGCTCGGTTGCAGAACTGGCACTTGTACTTTCTCTCTGGGGCGAGTGAGGCCTTTCGTGCCGGTGTTGATGCTGCCGAAGATGGCATTACTGCCACGCTTGCGCCAGGCATCTTGGATATGATTGTCGCGTCTGTAACCTCGAGCGAGACTCGGTAGGCCACAGTGTGCTTGGCGATGACGACGACAATGACAACGGCACTCGGGAAGTCGTTGGGGGCTCCCTCACAGAACGATAGTTGAGATCGCCTGACTCCTCGCTCGCTCGCTCGCGCGCTCGCTCCCGTGGGATTTAAAGTGTGTCTGCCGGACTTTGAAATGTGTAGCTGCTCATTTGTGATATGATCATGGAAAAGGATTGTCGAAGGGGGGTATTGGGAAATGGCCTGTTGCCAAATGGGATCGTCGATGTCGTCTCGCTGCAGAGAGCGAAGACTATTACACGTGCGCAAGAGCTGGGTGCTATCTGCCCGGTGGGTGCGTTGAAGGTGAAAAGTGGGAGGGGTTTTCTGGAAATGGCTGATGACGGGAGGAAAGGAAGGGGGGAATTCAAGAGGGGAAAAATGGGCTGCGGAGGTTCGCGGAGGGGAAAAGGGAAACTGCCAATGCAGGTGGGGGTGCTTTCCCCGGCGACCCGCAAAGCAAAGGGTGGAACAATTTTGCTTTGTCCCAAATAGGCTTAGCGACTCGCATCCCCAGTAAAAGGCCGGGAACGAAGCAACTCCTGGACCCACCGAGAGGTTGGGAGCTCAGAACCACACATCTACCTTTCCTTTCCAAGACGCCATTGGATTCTGCGACATACGTATCAACCATCTTGCTGTCCTCTCAGGGAGCGGTGTGAATACCTTGACGTGATTTTACAAAAAATTTCCCCATATTTTTCATTCTTTTGTTGCACCAACGGGTCGCAGCCGTCGAGGGGCCAGCTGTCCTCGATGCATCGAGTTCCTAACTCAACCTTTGAGCACTCGAATGGCATGGCGGGGTGAGAAAGGGGGTGGCCGCGGGGCAAAGCTGTTATCAACATAATAACTCATATCCTCTCATTTCCTAAGCGGGATGGTGTAGCTAAGGCGCAACTCCTAACTCGAGACACCTATCCAACTAACGTCTCACTAGGGATGGCTGACTTTCCTTACCCAATTACAGTAGGCTCGCGTTCGGGGGCCACGTTCTCTCCTTAAAAATTTTCATTCCTGCCGAATTACATACTTAAGTTACCCCTCAACCTCAGGAGTGGTTGCTTTTGGCAGCGGCTGTGCATCACTCATAAGCTTCGCTGCTGCTTCGAGCATCTGGTCTATCAGAAAGGACAGTCAGCTGCTGTTTGACAGCAGTCACTGACCGCCACATGGTGACTGCTCTGGCATCGAGGTCACAGTGGAGTTCGTAGCTGCAAGAGCTCGGGACGCAGTGGGTCTGCTGTGTGTTGCAGCGTTGCGCTGGCATCGCGGGGCGAGCTTTTGACGACGAACGCAGGCCTTGGATGCTCCTCTTCATTAGAGAGGTTACAATCCAGTCCTATAAGTGTATTCATGCCTTAAAAATAGCGGTCTCCTGGGTGGATAAACATATGCACGGCAATGCCGCAAGTAAGGCTGCAGCGGCGGATGATAATAGCCAATACTCGCATTGTCAAGAGTGCCAACTTCAGCAAGAAATCCCGTGACCATCGCGCAACCTCCAAAGTCACGAAGACACCGCGGCCTCCCAGCGGACCTCAATCGAGATTGGACGTCGAAGCGGAGGGATCAACATGGACGCCTCCCCAGTCAAAGCTTAGGCGATGTCTCCCAAGCCCCTCCCCCTCCATTCCTTTAGCTTCGCGCTTGTCAGGCCATTCTGTTCATGCTCTGACACTTGACAGCGTCGGACAGAAAGCTCTCGCAGGCGTTGACCATCCAGCAGTCCCATCTGTGTGGCAGCTGCGCTCCGCGTTCCGCTCGAGCGGAGCGGGGTGTGCGTAGTGTCTTGGCATCCTGGCCGTAGCACGCTGTAATACCGTAATATCCGTGGTTAGTGTATGTATTCAATAACGTGACCTCCGTATCACTACGAGGTAATGGCCCCCTCATCCGCCCAACTTGATGACAGTGAGAGCGGCTTGATGAATCGAAAGTGATTGCAAGTCAAAACCAGGTGTGCACCCCTCAGATGAACAGTCAGATGAGATTTCTCTCCAACCCTAATAATTTGGATTTGTGCGCACGGTGAGAGTCAGCATGCCACGAAATTTGCGCTAAACCGAGGCGGAAATTGAGCCGGTTTCCTAGCCACATTGGCGTTCCCACCGAATGGATTAGCCCCTCCCGAGGAACCTTCGATAGGTGAGCGATCCCACTTTACTCCCCACTCGCAGCCAACCGGCCTACTCGAGTCTCGTCACAGCCGATCGGGTCGTTCGGAGGCGGGTGCAGCTTCCTCACGCTGACGGGAGAGGTCGCCAGAAACCGAGCCGCAGGCCAGTCGGCACCCGCTTTCTCGATTTGCATTCAGCAGCATCAAATGCACCGAGTGCCAAAATCGGGTTAGCCAGTGCTCGGGAGCTGGCCCGGCTAGTGTACGAGTAAGGATCCCATCGCTGATTGCCCCTCCCCGTTTGGTCAGGGCTGTTCACGTTTTCAGCCTCTCGCAATCGTGACTTGCTTTTTCTGGTGCCCACGATGAAATCCCGGGTGCTAGGTTAGTAAGCAAATCCTTGGATCGATATAACGTTATGTACTAAAATCCCGGACAGCGACGGGGTGGCTTTTCCCCCTGCATTCATCGACTGGAACTGGAACCCATTTTCGAGACTGTTATGCACACTACGCACACCTCTGCCAGGGTTTGAATCCATACAACAAACTTGGAGGTGAACTGGCGGGCCTCGGCGTGCAAAGTGTGGAAAAACAGAGGCCGGCAAGGTAGCTGGGGCATGATCCTAACCAAATAGGCCCTGTCAAGATCGAACCATTGGCGCACAAAATTTTGACCAAAAATCCTTGGACAATCTTAAAAATGGCGGGCCGGCTCTCTGGAATACTGTATCGACAAGATGGGGGCTGTTTCCTTGGACGAACGGCGCGGTACGGCGCGACGAAAGTAACTATGGGCCAGCTTGGTATTCGACGCGTTCGGCGACCAATGACCGACGCTAGGTGAAAGAACATGCGGAAGAATCGTTGGCTAATCACTCTCCCCAATACGAGGAATCAAGATAGGTATTGGGAGCTGGGCCCACCACCTACTTCCCACATCCTTTAAAAATTGAGTATTTTCCTCCAACCGCTCCTCTCCGCTCCTCTCGGACCTCTCCTGCAACCAATATCACTCGTGGTGTTTCGCATGGCTCTTTTGTGGAGACCTGTCTCCATCCGGGTCGCACCCGGGCCTCACCGTGGCCCAGGCCCGAGGATTCGGAAATTGGCCGCGCCAACTTTCCCTCCAACTCGCCAACACTCAATGCTTGGGAGTGGAAGTTCTCTCTTGCGACCATCTTGATGAGCTCAGAAGCGACCTTCTCCAGCAGGAGTTAACCCTTTTGAATAGCCAAGCAAAAATCCGGTTTCCTGATATTTCAAGCGACAGGAACCGGCCCTCGTTCAAGTGCCGTGTCCACTGCTGTTGAGACAAGAGACGACGACTTGCTCCTTTTGGGAACGTCCGGCGCGTGTCAAGGGGCGGGTGAAGCGAGGAACAACCGGTGCCAAGTTTCTTCAAACGGCGGTGGGCCTTGTTTTCAAGCCCGCACCGGAACGGCTGGGCATTGCCGTCCACCGCCGGACTGCAAAAACGACCTAGCGTTTGTCAAGGTACTGTGCATACACGTGGTCATCAGTTGGTGGATATGCCGTGGCATGCGGTCCGGCCTGCAACGCGTTTTCTCGCCTCCGATTGCGAGGCCCGACCGCGAACACTTGTTAGGCACCCGACGGAGCTGACGCCATTCCGGCACGCGGCATCTTTCACAGTCTTTTCAGATTAAGTTAGCGACACAGCCGCGGCAACCTTTGATTTTGTTCGCGTGCAGGCACACGCTGATTCTCAGACTTCCTTTGCTGCGCAAGGATAACACAAGGTAGTCCGGCCGTTCAGCGCTGTATCCCGTCGGTTCTTCGGCCGTGCCACGGAACCAACTGTCTGCTCCAAATGCTCAGGTCGTCAACAAAGTTTGGGTGACTACGGCCGTTACTATGGCTGTTGAGCTTCCTCTATGGGCGCCACGTTCATTAATGTCTCGCTTTTCAATCCATGAGGCCATCTGGAGCGTAGAGGCCCTCGAGGACGTCGACGCCATATGTCTAGCGGGCCTTCAATGATATGTCCCACCACCGGTTCGGCCTTGGCCTCATCCGGTTGATTTTTTCCGGCTAGCTGACTGGCTGAACAGGAAGCCGATGATCTCTTGAGCTCGCTAGGCTCTACATAATTGCGGGTTCTTGGTGAGCCCTATCTTCCTCCATTGAGGTACATACGTGAATGCAATATCTAGGACAACAACCCGAGGTATTCGCGTCAGGTCTGCTTCCACCAACATGTACCATTCCTCAAGCCGAGGTTATATGTGAGCTAATACGTGTCAGCCGTTGGCCTGCTCATAATCCGTTGTTAGTACAGAAAGCAAGAAGATTGTCTGAAAGAAGGTCATATCAAAAGTTAGCCGAATACAGGTCGAAATAGCCGGGAGCAGTATTTGCTCGGGAGTCCATCTGGAGGTGATGAAACCGGGCTTCAGATATCGAACGCTCGTTGTTCCAAGGTGAGGACGAACCTACGGACGATGTGATAGAGTCTACTCTCTCTTGTCAGAGGATCGGCCGGACTCTGGACGACGTATTGGGTGCACAGTGAAGCCGTCTGAGCCATTGGAAGCGATGCTCTCTTTGTTACACTCGAGCATGCGTCAAGCTCGGATGTGGTGACGGTAACACATTTCCGCTATGTGTAACAAGTACCTTATCACCAACAGTGAGTCTGAAACGGCCAAAGCCCAATCCAGACTACCATCTTGGCAAGATGGCGCGTGAGGTTAGATGCTTCAGCAAAAGCGGCTTTGCTGGCTATTGCTTCTGCTGTCAATCGCCGATATGGGTGATATGCTCTAGGAGAGTGCCTCGGCTATTTGCCAAACACACTCTGTCCTGGTGGAAAGCCGATTCAGTTTTCGCCGCAGTTTTTGCCCTCCAACTCCCGAGGACCGGCAGGGCACTCTAACAACAAGCCGCGTTGCGCCAGGTATCGGTACGACCGCCAGGACTGCATGAAAAGAACGCTGTAGGTCATTGCCAAGACTTGAAGGTTCCACCTGCAATTCCGAAGGCCAGCGCGTCAGACAGGGACCGCACAAGGCATTTGAGCGCTAGGGCCGCGACTAGGTACTCTGGCACCTGCTACGGTAGCACCAGAGGAAAATATTTTGCACTTGCCATTCCCTTTGTTTTTGAGAAGAAGCAAAAACAAATATACGATCATGATGCTGTCAGGTGCTACTAACGACCAACGAAAGTCCTATCAACTGCTTTGGTTAGCAGCGTGCTAGGGTTTCCAATTGAGAGCGCAAGAGTTCAGACGTACGGTGGGCGGACAGACCTCCTTCCCCGTCGAGCGAAGAGCGCCCCGCATCCCCTATGCGGAACAGCAGAGGACCTTGTTCCACCCCGCTCCAGGAGACTTGTGTGGCCAAGGGACAGACCATCGCCTGCCAATCCCAGAACTCGTTCTCTTTTATTCAACCCTACCCTTAAACTTCATCCGACCTCTTTGGCACCTCGACGGCAGGCAAGTCCAGGAGACTTGAGAGTGTGGACGGTAGAACAAGACCCGATCTTTTGATTTGTGAGAGCAGCGGGTTTGCGGGGCACCAAATACAGCAGGAATTCGATTAGCGGCCGCTGCGTTTGACCAAAATTTGGGCGAATTGCACCTCTCCCCTCTTCGCAGCGCAACCTCCCATACGCGCACACGGTCAACCCCGTCGGCCAGTCAGATCGCCCATCGCTATACTCTTCGCTCCTTGCGAGGCTATCTGGCGCCTACACGAGCAGCTGGATCCGCCTTGGCGAGCAGCCGTCCACGGTGACGCCAAAATCCCATCTCGAATCACGTTGTCGATCTGTTAAGCAATACGGTCTCAATTTACCGTCGGCTACACGCACGAGCAGACTAAATAAGACGGTGTTGAGGGGCATTGGGCTGGACGAATGACGGCCATCTAGCTCTTGACACCCTTGCTCCATGTGGCTCTGCCCGTCTCGAGGACAACCTCAATATGCTAATGACGCAGACTCGTGTGTCGGCACTCCAGGGTCAGAATACTAAGACAGCCTCCTACGCGAACTCGGACGTTGCCAGCCCCCTCACTGCACAATCGCAACGCAGCTATTCCACCGAGCCGGTGTCAACGGACAGGTATAGCGCCGGACGTGACAGTTCCTATACCACTTTTTTCACGACAGGCTCAACCTCAGCCATGAACGGGATTGTGAACACGGCGCCCCCTGGTGCCATGTATGTGCGCGCCCTATACGACTACGAGGCAGATGACAGGACCAGCTTAAGCTTCCACGAAGGCGATGTCATCCAAGTCATCACCCGGCTGGAGAGTGGGTGGTGGGACGGTGTAATCAATGGTGTGAGGGGCTGGTTTCCAAGTAACTACTGCCAGATTATTACGAGCCCGGACGAACTCCCGGAACTAGAAGAGAGTGGGGACGCCGAGCAGGTTGACGAAGAGAACGATGACCAGGAAGTTTACGAAGAGGGGTATGAGGATGATGAAGCCTCTGACCGTGACGATGCCGACGGGGCGCTTGACGCGACCGAGGGCGACAGGTCTAGGGCCGATTTCTGGATCCCGCAAGCCACTCCGGATGGTAGGCTCTATTACTATAATACCATGACTGGCGAGAGCAGCATGGAGTTGCCGCTCGAATCTCCCTCCTCGGTCACCGAGACCGGCCCTAGGGATCGCATGAACGTTAGCATGCCAGACCGGACACGGCCACCTCCAGAGATGATTGCCAGGGGCCTAACTCAAGAAGAAGAGGATGAATCCGACGTGAATTCTGCATCTGAGCTGGAAGGCGAGGCTATTCTCAATGCGTCACGGGGCTCAATGGTATGTTCGCTCTGGGATCTCTTCTCTGTGTTGGATGGTGTAGGTTGCTTACACCTACTATCAGGCTACGGCTCGCCGAGCCAAAGCGAGCGACGGCATCTCGCCCGCAGCCTCTATGGACTCGATGAACGGCCAGTCCCCTGGCACAAGGGCACGTGGAGATACCTTTGCGAACGGCAACCTACATGCAGCGCCAATGATTGCATCAGCTACTTCATTCACCAGCGCTGCATTCAATCTCCCAACCGCTGCAACAATCCCGCGCTCCTTTTTTGATGATGGTACTACTCCGCCTTTGACATGGAGCCGGTTGGTTTCGAACATGAAGAAGGCAATCGATCGCTACCGCGACGTCATTCAGAGCGGCAACCGATCGGAATATGTTGCTCGAGCGGAGGATATCTCCGATCACCTACGTTTGCTCCTGGCAGCTGGTTCAGGCACGACCGATAACCACTCCGGCCAGCCATCCATCATATCCACCAACAAGGCTCTCTATCCACATTTCCGTGACATGATGTCCAAGTTTTCCAAGCTCGTGATCTCCTCGCACATTGCAGCTGCGGACTGGCCCAGTGCAGAGTCTATCCAAAAGTGTATACAAGAAGCGGACGGTGTTCTACTCGGGGTATTCAGCTATGTTGAGGTCGCAAGGCAACAGCGCGGGGAAGACATTCCGCGACTCTTCCCGGGATTCGTCATTGGGTCTAGCGCCGGCGGAAGCTGGCAGAACAACGGTCTCACTCCTCGCGATCCCGTCACCTCCAACTTCCTCGATGACGAAGAGGGTATTGTGGACCCCAATGCCGTTCTCGATGGCAAACTCTTGGAAAGGTTGGACGAGTTAAAACGGATGTTGGTGTCCAGCATTCGTGAGCTGGACAAAAACCTCGTCATTTCAGACAAGCTCATCACCCCATACAAGCACGAAGTCATTGGCAATAACGTTTGCGCCGCCGGAGGCAAGGTTCTGGAAATGTTCAAGCCCTGGATCGCCATGATTGAGTCGATTGACCTTTCCATACTTGGGAACACCTTTCAGACGCCACAGCTCTCCGATTTTAGCACAAACAAACAAAGCCTCTATGACAACATCTCAGATTTGTTGTTGGGTTGCCAGGCAGTCGCTGGACCCCTGGCCGATGAGTGGTCTGAAGTAAGAGGCCAGGCACTTGAGGAAAGGCTCGAATACGTCCGGCAATGTGCGCGAGCACTGGAAACTAACTCATCACACATCGGATTCTCGCTTCAACTCCTCTCGGAGCAGGTTTCTATTGTTCTGCAGCAGCAAGCCGAGGTTAATATGCGAGAGGAGGTTATTCAAAGAGAGCAGCTGAGGAGGACGGAGACGATGCCATACGAGCGGCTACACCAACGGACAGAATCAAGAGGGTTGGTGAGACCAGGGTTGCCGATAGGATCGCATTCATTCACCGAAGGAGAAATATTGCCGGCCAACTTCCGGAAGGGCGACCCGTCGAAGATGAAGAGGTTCTTTGGAGAGGATCCTGCCCCAATCCAAGCGTCAACGGTCGACGACACTCCCGAGTTCTTGAAGCTGGATCACGAAAACGATCTTTCTTGGGATCTCAAGACTGTGCCTCCGACTGTCAAGGGTGGGTCCCTGCTAGCCTTAGTAGAGCAGCTGACCCGGCACGACAAGTTGGACGCGAACTTCAACAACACGTTCCTCCTCACGTACAGGTCGTTCACCACAGCTAGGGAACTGTTTGAGATGCTGGTGAAAAGGTTCAATATTCAGCCGCCTGAAGGGCTGACGCAGCCCGAGTACGAGATGTGGCGTGATAGCAAGCAGAAGTTGATTCGTTTCCGTGTGGTTAATATCCTCAAGAACTGGTTCGACAACTTCTGGATGGAGGAGCAAAGCGACGAAACGAAGCAGTTGATCCGGGATGTTTACAACTTCGCCAAGGACACAGTCAAGTCAACAGAGACCCCCGGCTCGGGTCCCCTCATGGCAGTTCTCGATCAACGACTCAGCGGCAAGGAAGCGACAGGCCGGCGCATGATCCAGACTGTCAACCAGAACACGCCGGCGCCTATCATGCCCAAGAACATGAAAAAGCTCAAGTTTCTCGATATCGACGTCGTCGAATTTGCCCGGCAGCTCACAATCATCGAGTCCCGATTGTACGGTAAAATCAAGCCGACAGAATGCCTCAACAAGACATGGCAAAAGAAGGTTGGGGAAGGAGAGCCGGAGCCCGCGCCAAACGTCAAGGCGCTTATCCTGCACTCCAACCAAATGACCAATTGGGTTGCCGAAATGATTCTCTCTCAGACTGACGTGAGAAAGCGGGTTGTTGTCATCAAACACTTTGTCGCGGTTGCTGATGTAAGTAATCCCCGTGCCTCGGTCGAAATTGTTGTCTTTGCGATTGGACTAACCGGGAAACAGAAATGCCGGACGTTGAACAACTTCTCTACCCTGACGTCAATAATATCGGCGCTGGGCACCGCTCCCATTGCTCGCCTGAAGAGGACATGGGATCAAGTTCCGCAGCGTATCCACTCTACGCTGGAAACTATGCGCAAGCTGATGGCCAGCACCAAGAATTTTGGCGAGTACAGAGAAGCCCTCCACGCAGCCAACCCGCCCTGCATTCCTTTCTTCGGTAAGTTTGCGTAACCCTAGGTAGCCGTGTCGGGATAACTAATCATAGGTGTGTTTTAGGCGTGTATCTGACGGACCTCACCTTTATCGAGGATGGTATCCCGTCCATCATCAAGAAGACAAACCTCATCAATTTTGCCAAGCGGGCCAAGACGGCCGAGGTGATTCGCGACATCCAGCAGTACCAGAATGTCGCATATTCCTTGCAACCCGTGCCGGAACTGCAGGATTACATCTTGAGCAACATGCAAGCCGCCGGCGACGTGCACGAGATGTACGACAAGAGCTTGATGATCGAGCCGCGCGAGAGGGAAGACGAGAAGATCGTAAGGTATGTGAACTCGTCATGATTTTGCATTATTTTGTTCAACCATGGTGCTGATTACGACGAACAGAGTGCTGGCCGAGTCCGGATTCCTATGAACCTTAACCTTCAGCCAGCTCTTGTTTCCCGCGTCGATGGCTTTCCCTACGCTCCTGAGCCTCCGAGCGGAAGTCGCATATACACAACCTCCTTCGGCTTGGACCTATATACTTGTGTCTCGGGCGCATCGCTGCTCTCTAAACAACGCAATTTTACCGGCGACTTTTGGTCCGATAGAACGAGAGCTTCCGGACGTTACGGTGCGGGCACGAGCGAAAGTCATGAGCCGCTTGGGGAGTTAAGAGGCCGGATGAAAGATTTTAAATGCCCATTATGAGCACGACAGTTCCGCGCCACCGCTGGCTGTATTGCGAGGACCCAAAGGCGGGGAAACGCTGCGCCCGAAGGCATACCCAAGTGCAGAAGCTTCCCAGCATTGCTGCTAGCGTCATGGTCCTAAAAGGACGAGCGGAAAAGAGAGTATGGATCAACACTACACGGCGGAGCGCGGGACAGGACGCGACTCCTTGGCAGATCTCGGATGTCGGGCTGGAACCTCTGGAGTTCACACCTCAGACTCGGAGAATCTCGAGTGGTTCGGCGGTTTGCCCACAAACAGGGACAGTGCCCTACCTACTCATTGGGCATTTGTACCTCGGGAGAAGGGTGCGGCTCAATCTATTTCGCTTGGATAAGTATTCAGGTTTACTCCGGCGGGATGTTCACGTTGGGCTTGATAGCGGTTGCTGGCCTGGGCTGGGATGGGACGGGACTGGAGGAAAGGGAAAGGGCGCTTAAAGAAGGATGCATACTTTCTGGCATCTTTATCCCACCTATATCTACGATCAGTACTTGGTACCTGGTGGCAGGCGTTCTTTTTCATTTGCTCTTATCTTTCTCGTTCTTGGTTTTATATTTTGGCCTTCACCTGTCTATAAGTTTATTGTCTACTCGTTTATGAATGAACGGACTGGGATAGCAAAAAGGCATATTCACGGTTTCTCCTGTTGTCCCATCGCTATATGCATGAATGCTGCTGCTGCCGCCGCTGCCGAGGAGAGAGAACGGGGAAAGGGGGAAAGTAAGAACCCCTGAAGGTGAAGTGCAGAAGCTTGCGGGGATGCGGAATAACGAATCCTGGTCTTTTGTTGACTGGTGATGAGGAAACTGGTCTATACAGATCCATCAGCCTCTGGGTCATCCCCCTCGAACCCCAGGGTGGTCCATCGATCAATGGACGGACCGACGGACGGACGGCTGGATCGAGTGCTGCTACCGAGCCGAGAGGCGGCAGGGCTATAATGGATACCATGTGTGTCTGGTCTGATTTTTACCCCGGATTTTCAGGACCTAATTACCTACATACCTACATACCGCCAATACTCACTCGATAGGAGGAAACGCTAGAATCGGCGCTACTACAGCCCGGCCTCCAACCATTGAACGACAGCCGACCAAAGTACGCCTTTACCCACTTTTTATCGCCGTTGTCGAATGAAACTGAGAGAGGATCTGAGAGCCGGAGAGAGCTTGGCAGAGCAGTCACGCAGAAATCCAGATGTCGCTAGCTAGAATAGGTTAGCGTTTCCTCCTATCGAGTGAGTATTGGCGGTACCTACATACATGATTTCCCGCTCCTGGTGCTATTGTCGTTGCATTTTCTGGGGTTGCGCATATATCTCGTGGACACCACTTCGGCCCAAGCAACCTGGAAGCCAACCACACAAGTACCGTCAACATAGTAATGACGGGTTATGTTGGCAGATTCACCACGGAATCGGTTCATCGCTGGTTGGTACATACAGTGATTACTTGGAGTACCTAGGTAGTCCCGTCTTTGCTCAAACAACAGAGGCCGTAACGCCATCGTTACAACCGAGGTCAGTTCGTAGGGACGTTGTTCAAACTTGCCAACCGAGGTAGTGTACGAAGTACTTGAATATATTCTACCCAGTGTCCTGATTCCAAATCCTTCTCTCTAACCTCAACACACCATGTTCACCGGCCGTTTCAGCCAGAGTTTTCTCCCATGTTATGTAGCGGCGATCATCCGGATCGGATCCATTTTCCTCATCTGGGATTTTCTCCCGCAAAGTGGACTCACAAGGTAACAACTACATAGGTACGTATGTACATCATCTGGACATGATCTTGGGCCCAGTCGCCGGTTTCTTTGCGTGCTGGCTGCAGCCCGGCCGCAGGCGTGTGGATATCCGTTCAGTCGATAGCGGGTGCTACGATGCTACCCTTTCTGTCACTTGGTGTTTGTGTGTTTCAAACTGGGGTATTGTCTCTATCAAGTATCTATCAACTCGGTACCGTTTTTGATCTGGCTTGTTCTGTTACCTCAGGCTGTGTAACCGGAGTCTTACTACTGCTGCTTGTAGGGGGATTCTCGAGAAGTTAGGTGGGATGGGTGCCGTTCTTGACACCATCATCGTAAGCAGCCCGCCGCCCCCTTTTCCAATCCCATCTTTGCTTACCGCGGTAGTGTAGTAAGAATGACTTGTTTGCAACTCGGTCGCTACACAAGGCATAGTCACAATGACACTCTGTGATTACTGTTAGGCTTGCTCTGCCTCACATGTACATCCGCATCGGCTCAACGTTAAGAAGAGATCAAATCAGATGTATCCAGAGTTGCATGTGGTAGGGTACGATACAACACAGGCAGTCTCCACCCCTCCTTCTAGAACAATGACACCTTCCAGGAAAGGAGATTGGGAAACTTGGTCTAGTATCTTGGACTCTGGAGAGCTCTCGCGTTGCAGATATCTTGTCTTTCAGAACAGTGTAATGCGAGCCTGGCTTCATATGCAACAAGAAAACGGTTGTGGGCTTTGGTTGGCGGCTGGCTGATCTTCCGTAGCACCCGAGCACCTTTCTCGTAGTTGCAGGACCAGACTACATGCCGATATTGTCTTGGGGAGGCGTTGGTAGCTAGGGGGTTCGCGCTGTATTCATGCAGTGCCGCTTTATGTACTTGTACCTGTACTCGCATCAACTCATCCGTGCTCACCCCTCACCCACAAGCGGCCGAGCACAAGAATCGAATAAGAGCAAATGTGATGATGAGCATGGCACTTACTTGCAGCAAAAAGCCTGCTCGCCTGTGGCACCAGCTACATAAGCGCTAGTGTTCTGATATGGCCTTATAAACCAGTGGCGCTGTGCATGCCGCATCGTCGCTCCTTCCACGTAGGTAGTCGGCATCCTCTGCCATACTTCTAGAAGGGCCGGGCCGAGATGTCGGTTAATGTTATGCACGGAGCAGCATCCGACCACCGTTCGTAGTTGATCAGCAACTAGACGGTGCAAGTGGTGGAGCAATGCCAAGCTCCATGTCGCGACTATATCCTCCCAAGCCTGAACTTGGCTGTTGAGGAAGAGTTCAGGTCCGATGCCACCGGACCGCGAGAAGCCCAACCTAATGGTTCCGGATGCGCCCAAACACCAGACTCCTTCCATCATGGTAGCCAGAACCCAATGCCAAGCGCCTTAACTCCTTCCCTTCCAATCCCTATCCCAGTCTTTAGTTTTCCACCCGTATCCTTAACCAGGATCCTTCCAACCTCTCTTTCCCCTCTTCCTAATCCTTAGCTCCCTCAGTGTCCTTCTCTAGTGCCTTCTTGAGCCTCTCCTCCTGCCTCCGCCAATGGCTGCCCTCCTCGTAGTCCTTGCTGATCTTGAGCGCCTGCCTCAACCGCTCGCTCTCCTTGATCTTGGCATCGGCCAGCTCATGGACCTGGTGCAGCTTGAAGTTTCTCTTTGGTCCTACCCCGCCACCTGCCCCTCTCCTCGTATCCCCATCCTGATTACTCCGTTCCCTCTCCGCCAGCAGCTTCTTCCGTAGCTCGTCGCATTGTGTATCGATGTCTTCTTCTGGGAGTCTGGACAGAACAAACAATGTTAAACCGACAATACATTCGAGGCGGGGAATTAAGCGCGTACCCCTCTTCCTCAAGCTTATCCCTTAGCTCAAACACCTTGACTTCAATCTCCCGCTTGCGCTCGTGCTCGAGAAGCCCCTTGTCCGGCTGGCGCTGCTTGTGCTTTAGGCTGTCGAGGTCGCGGGGCTGGTATGGCGCCGCCATGTCCCGCGGCCGCATGTGCGCCAGATTGCGCTGAACGTACCCCGAGGTGCCGCTGCCACGCGGCGTCGGGAGGCCGACGTTGTCTGACATTCTTTCAAGGAGGTAGTAGACAGCTGGCGTCAGAATGATCTTGATGGAAGATATGGACGCGCAGGTGGAGGGAAGGGGTGGGATATTGGTACGGCTAGGGTAGGAGCTTAGAGCTTCAAGGTTCTTGGTACGGTAGTTCAAGGCTGGCAAGAAAGAGTGGGGCACGAGCGCTAAAGAGTTCTAGGCGGCAGAGTGCCACGCAGACTTTCCCCCCAAATTCTCCGCCTTAACAACACTATAACCTCCCACTTGCTTGGTGGGGTCTTGCGCTTACCTAGTTCACCACCCAAAGCTGCTCTGTGTGCTCATTCTTTCCTTTTGCCACAGCAACACCACACCGCACACGCAGCTCAGGTACTGAGACCTAATCGGCAAACTGTCAGCGGCAGGTCTTCTGTGGAGCATCACAGCAACCGAACTTAAAGATAGCAACATCGGCGGCATCGAAACCTCCACAATGAAGATCACATTCAAGGTGCGCTTCCCAGTTGCTGCGTCGAGGGCAGCTGCCAGCTCCTCGCCCGAGGCCTGCGACACCCGGCACCGCTCCGTGGCTGCCCTATCCGTCGCATTTTGCCGGTCCTTGTGCCAATCACTGACACACCATTGCTCTTATCCAGGACCTCAAGCAACAGAGGTTCACCATCGATGTCGAACCAACCGATCTGGTAGGTTACCCCTCTTCTTACCTCGAACGCGCCCGGCCATGATGCCTTCCCCGCGACCGATTGGACTGGTGCCTACAAACGTACCACCCGTCGCATGGTTGGCAACAGCAAGAGCAAGCTGCTCAACCACGACTGTTGCATTACCACCACTGTCTCCTTCCACGGTTCCCAGAGCTGAAGCTAAATATGTTTAGATTTCTACCGTCAAACAGAAGCTTTCCGAAGAGCGGGGCTGGGATCCGAAGTCCCAGAAGCTCATCTATTCAGGTACCGCGCCAACTGGGTGACCTAGTTTCTTTGCTTTCATCAGCTCATGCGCATTGCAGGGAAAATCCTTAAGGATGAGGACACCGTTGAGTCCTACAAGATCGAGGAGAAGGGGTTCGTGGTTTGCGTGGTGAACAAGGTATGTTGCCTCTGGATCTTGGCGGGTCTGGGTAGAACTAACGAGACCACCACCAGCCCAAAGAAGCGCCCAAACCCGCAGCGGCGCCCGAGCCGTCGGCGTCGTCCGCGTCTGCCCCGCCTGCGACGCCCGCCCAAGCGCCAGCATCCACTCCGGCTGCCCCGGCTGCTCCCCCGCAAACTTCCAGTTCTGCGGCCGCGGCCCCTGCTACCCCGACTCCGAGCCGGACTGCCGCTTCCGATGCGACCTTCAGCGATCCAAACGCGTTGGCTGTTGGCCAGCAGCGTGCCGAGGCCATTGCCAACATGGAAGCAATGGGTTTCGAGCGTTCGCAGATTGACGCCGCAATGCGTGCAGCATTCTTCAATCCCGAGCGAGCCGTAGAATATTTGTTGACTGTATGCTGCTCCCAGACTACTGCTTGGTAGTTCTAGAAAATTGAAAGGCTAACGGGTACATCCAGGGCATTCCTGAAAACTTGCAGCAGGAGCAGCCGCAAGCCAGTGCGGCTCGTCAGGCCGCCCCGGCAGCTGCCGCCTCCCCGGCTCCAGCTGCTGGTGGTAACGATGACGGCCCGGTCAATCTTTTCGATCTTGCCGCCCAGCAAGGTCGCGGTTCTGGCGCTCGCGGTGCTGGCGGTGCCGGCGCCGGCGCGGGAGCGGCAGCTCAGGCCGCCACGCAACAGCAGGGTCTTGGGAATCTGGAGTGGCTCCGCCACAACGCCCAGTTCCAGCAGTTGCGGCAGGTGGTGCAGCAACAACCCCAGATGCTCGAGCCCATTCTGCAACAGCTCGGCGCTGGTAACCCGCAGCTGGCCCAGCTGATCGCGCAGCACCCGGACCAGTTCCTCCAGCTCCTTAGCGAGACAGGAGGCGACGACGATGCGCCGCTTCCCCCCGGAGCGCAGCAGATTTCGGTGACAGAAGAGGAGCGCGACGCTATTGAGCGGCTTGTGCGACTCGGTTTCACGCAAGATGAGGCCATACAGGCCTACTTTGCGTGCGACAAGAACGAGGAACTGGCCGCCAACTTCCTCTTCGATCAGCCAGACGATGATGATGACGCCAATATGCAGTAATTACAGCTCTTTTTTCTGAAGTTTCTCTGTGCGCTTTGCTATCCCCGGGCTTGCAATTTTCTCGATTCAGCCTACTGGTGTGGGTGCCAGTCTCGATCTTTGAAGCGGCCATGGGGTCGATGGCACGAGCCGCAAGTACTGAGAATATTCATCGAGGACGGTCACCAGGCGTTGAGAACCGTTGGGAAGCCTGATCGCAACGCCTTCAGGGGTGTCAGGATGTGTGTCTTGTAAACTGGCCGATGGTGGATTTGCCGTACATTCCCCGTCACTGCCGGTAACGACAACGTAGGGAAATGGAGCATTGGAACTGGAAATGGGGCCAGGATGAAAGGAGGGACAAGCGGCATGGACGAGAAAAGCGGATGCTTCTCTACCACATGGGCTATAGGTATGACATGCGGGGACGATGCCAGCAACCCGCGAGCAAAACCGAGAACGGTCGATGTTTTTTTGACAACACGACAAGTTTTTCGAGACAGAAATTGATTTGAAACTTTCTGACAAGTACACTTGGCTGGACGCTGATTCGAATTGACAGTAGTAGTTATGCCTTTTGTGAATGCCGTAAGCTGGTAAGGCTTATGATATGCCCCTATTCCCTTGCCTTTTATTCGGTGATGCCTCTTCGAGGTTTCTAGCCATTTTGCTGTGAACTGCTACTGCTTGCTTGTTCGCGGTATGGGAAGGGGGTATCAAAATTGCCATCCACCGTTTATAATCGCTTCATGTAATGCCCACAGGTTGCCTCCGTAATGCCCCATACGCTGTATCGACCAGGAGCGCCTACTCGTCCCAACCCTTCCTCCCTACCGATAATAAAGTTGAAGTAGAATGGAATGAACAAAGGGGGGGAGAACGGAAAGAAACAGATTAGGCTTCCTGATCCTTCTTCGATTTTCTCCCCCTCCTTTTAGTTCCCGCATCCCCTCGCTCCTTGGCAAGGGAGACCTCGAGCTGCTTCATGGCCTCCTCCTTCTTCCGCCTCGCCTCGTCGGCCTTTTCGTCGTCGAGGGCCTTTTGGCGCGCCTCGAACTCGTCCTGGGCGCGCTTCTGCTCGGCGTAGATGGCCTCGGCCGTCTCGTACTGGTTGCCCGTGTGGGCCTGGTACTCGTCCAGGTCCATGGCGACCGTCTTTTGCCCGACGAGGGCGGCGTTGATGCGGGCCGGGTTGACGCGCTCCTCGCGGTTGAATTTCAGCTTGATGTGCTTGCGCGTCTTGCCGCGGAACATGCGGCATATCGTGTCAAAGTCGGTGCCGAACGCCGCCAGCGCCTGGTAGAAGCGCTCCGTCTCCTCGTCGGTCCACTGCTGCGGCTTGAGGTTCCGCCGGAGGTAGGTCGAGGATGTGACGCGGTACGTGAAGTCGTTCTCTTCGACTTCCTGCATGGTTGCCGCCTCCTCGCGGGCGCGTGCGTGCCGGTCGACGATGAGGGATGATGGGTCGAGGACAATCTCGCCGTTGATCAGCTGGTACCGCTCGCTGAGGGGGGGGCCTGCGCGGGCCGGCGGGGAGCCCGGCGTGTCGGGGTTACTGGCAGCGGCTTCGGTTGCGGTTGCTGCGGGGGTCGCGGATGAGGGAGTGCTGCCGGTGGTGGGCTGTGCGTCTTCGTTGTTGGCGTCGTCGCCGTCCTGCTGCTGCCGCCGTTTCCTCCCGCCATACCGCATGCGCCTGGCTCGTTCGCGCTCCATAAGCTCGTCGTGCAGGCTGAACTTCTTGCCGATGTGCATGTCCTTGACTAGATCCGCCATTTTCACCTGCGTGACGTCGATTTGGACGTTCTCCGCATCTGGTGGCGTGGCTTCACGCTGCTGTCTCGTAGTTCTTCGGGGCCGTTGTCGTGTGGTTCCTTGGCCATCTTCGCCGGCGTCCCCATTTCCGGTTGTGCGCCTGCTGCGCTTCGGGCGTGTTGCTTTCTCGGCAACTCGCCGCTCCTCATACCCTTCTTCACCCGGAAGCGCAGCAGCCCTCTTCCGAGGCCGTTTCGTTGCAGAACCAGTGCCACTTTGTGCGCCAGCGTCCCCGCCAGTGGTGGCATCAGCGGTACGCTTCCGGCCCCGCGTTTGTCTGGGAGCTTGGGAAGGTGTGGGACTGGGTTCTGCAGCGGGCGTGGAAGCGGTCTGTGGTTGCACGACTGGAGCATCCGTGGCAGGCGGTGTCGACGCTTGATCAGGCTGATCTTCCGCGGCTGGCCCCGTCTCAGTAGTCTCAGTTGTTGTAGATGATGTAACCTCTGCAGGACGCGAACTCGCGGCTGGGGTACCAGGTGAAACTATGGCTGGCGATTCTAGCGTCACAGGCTCCTCCACTGTAGGCGTCCCTTGGGCTGACTGATTTTCGGTTTGAGCAGAGGCTGCCAGTTCGATATGAGGCGCCGTTGTTGACAGTGAGCCCACGGCTGTCCCTCCTGCAGCATTGACTTCAGGCTTTGGGGCTGTAGCCTCTCCTGTACTGGCTCGGTCGGGTGGCCCCAACCCGGGTTTGTCTACTTTTTCCTGTGGCAATGAAGGCTCCTGTCCGTCTCCCGACTCATCGCCGCCGGACACAGGGGTCCCGACGTCGAGGGGAGCACTTGAAGTCGGATGCGGGGCATTTTGAGGCTGCGCGGATGCTTCTGGTTGCGTTGCGGGCAAAGCCTCTGTCGGTGTCTTGGACGATGTCTCCTCAGTAGAGGGACGAGAGGCACCCTGGGACGCGGATTTGGGGCCGGGACCGGGGCGGCGAATGCCGACCTTCGGCTTCAGGGCGATGCTCTTCTTAAGCATGGTGTTGACTCAGGCCCCGCAGCAGGGGCTTCTCTACTCCGTGTCAATGTCGAGGTGCACCAAAGCTGTCGCACATTGCCCAGATATGGAAAAGGACAATTGAACCGTGTATGAAAAGCTGTCGAGTCTTTAGTCACAGAGTTCGGGCACTTGACGGTACATCTGATGGAACTGTTGCGGTCCGGATTGATTTCGAGTTTCTTGAAACGGAAGACTCCAATTGCTGCGAAGCCCCCCGGCGTCACGGTAATGTTAGCGGGGATTCGCTGAATGGTGAGTGGGGTGCGCCGAAGGCAGGACGCGACAAGGCAATTGGAAGAGCGGGCTAAGCCAAAACTGGTTAGTCACATTTCGCTCACTGCCTCAGCAATTCGAAAACGAGCTTTCCTTGGTCGACTTGCAACTCGGAAAGGGCCCGTTCTTTCTCTCCATCCTTTCCATCCTCAAATCCCGACGCTCCTTTCGCCAAAAGCATTCGCACCTTTCCTCCTTCATTTCTCAAGCGGGCGTCGCCAGGCTCGGGTCGGTAAAACCGCCATTGTCCCGCAGTCTGAGTAAATCATATTTAATTTCTTACACCTCGATTTTTTAGTCGCCCTCTCATTCTACTCTGTTTTCTGATGCCGATTGCCACACCTCATTCCGCCTTGCCCCGTCCTGCCACCTTCGCCAAGATGGAGGACAGGAAGCGACCGGCGTCCAGCACGGTCGACGACGGCGCCCCTCCAAGCAAGCGACAGGCCGTCAACGGTACTACCAAGTCCAAAGACGACCCCGGCGACATGAGAGAAGAGGCATGGATTGAGGTGAGTGTCACACGACAGTCCCTGCGTCATCGACGTCCCGCATTCCCTCAACTCTTGGCCTGGGTCGGCCGTTTGCCGCCGTCGCGCCCAGCCGCACCCGTCCTGGCCTACAGCCAGCATCAAGGCGGTGATTTTGCAGGGTTCCCTCGCCTTTACCGTCGCTAATGCGCGGCTTGCTGGCAACAGCACGCCCGGCTCCTCCCAGGCCTCTTCCTCTTTTGAATGCCTTCCTGATGCCCACAATTACTCCGCTGCCTCTTCGCTACGATGTATACAGACGCCCTCAGCGCCGGCTCTAAAGCGGTGGCTTGGCTGACATGCTTGGTGTGCAGGAATATCAAAAGGGCGCTATATACCGGCAGATGCTTGAGTACAAGCGGGAAAAGATAAATTTGGAGGGTCGCGTGCAAGAACTCGAGAAAAATTCGACAGACCATGATGACCACATTCGAATAATGGACGCATGGGTCCTCCAGGTACGTTGGCTGCCTCGCGCCTCCATGGACCCTTCGCTGACGGCGAAAGTAGTTATTACAAGAAATAGAGCTGCTTGTCGACGGGACCATATCGTCACGCAGCTCCGCAGACCTGTCACCGGGATCTGCCCTCTCATTCAAGGACAGCAAGGATTTCCAGCGACACCTTGGAGACAAAGGGAAAGCCTTCAAATCCAAGACGGATGCTATTCTTAAGCGACTGGCTGGCGCACGGGGTGAGGTAAAGCCTGAAGTAGCCCAGCTGGAATCGCAAGTGAAGTCTCTGCTTGCGCAGCACAAAGAATTAATCGTCAAGGTCGACAGACTCGAGGCCCAGAACGCGTCGCTCTCGGAGCAGTACGATAAGGCAACCCTGAAGGTGATAAAGGCCGAACGCAAACTGGACCGCGCGCGGAGCGCTCAGGTACAGAAGTTGGAGCAGCAGGCACTCGCTAGTGCTACAGCTGCTCCGACCTCGAACGATGAAAACGGCACTGGCTCAAGCATGGCGAACGGAGATAGCGAAGCCCTGAAACTGCAGTATCAAGAGGCGATGGCCGTGGTGGCTAAACAGAAGGAGCAGCTCGAAGCAGCACTGTCCGAAAACAAGACCCTGGTAGAGGAGAACTCGACGTTCAAGGTTAAGAAGGAAGCCATTTCAGACGAAGACTATGCCCGAACTGAGGTCTTTAAGCAATTCAAGGCCCAGAACGAGGATCTTATCAAGCGGATCAATCACCTGGAGGCGACTAATAAGCAACTCCGTGAGGAAGCCGAGAAGCTGCGCGCAGAGAGGACCGAGTGGAAGACCAAGCTGGAATCCGAGGCGCAAACCGTTACACTGGAACTCGAGGATCAGATTCAGCAGAAAGAACAGGATCTGACGCGCATCCGTTCCGCCCGTGATGAACTCCTTGCCGAAGTTGCTATGCGGAAGGCCAGCCAGGAGCAAGAGAAGACGGCTTTGTCCCAGATGAAGGAATTGGTCGAAGCCAAGGTAGATCGCATTACGCAGCTCGAATCAGAGCTGGAGCGATTACGGCCAAACGAGGACACGCCCATGTCGGATTCCCGCTCAGACCTCGAGGCGCTTTCCGCTGATGAACTGCGGCAGAAGTACCTGAAACTAGAAAAGGATTTTGAAGCCATCAACAAAGAGCTGCCGCTTTTGGAAAGGTCGTACAAAAAGTCGATGGGGCTGGCACACAAGAAAGTCATGGACTTCCACGCGTTGGAGGAAAGAGTCGCGACGCTCACGGCTGAGAAGAGCAAGGCGGACCAAAAGTACTTTGCCGCGCGGAAAGACATGGACATCAGAACGGCCGAAATTCGGACGCTGCGGGCACAGAACGGAAAGAGCTCCGAGATCATATCTCAGCTCAAAGACGTGGAGACCCACAACCGCGCATTGATTAGCAGCCTTGAGAAGCAGATTGCGGCCCTGAAACAGGATATTTCGGCGGCAATGACGGAGAAAAAGAGGCTGGAGCAGCTGAGCACCGAAGCGACTCGGAGGGCAGATTCCTGCAAATCACAGATTGTCAACCTTACCGACCTTGTGAAAGCGAAAGATGCGGCGGTTGTGGCTATGAAGGAGCAACTCGTGAATCTCGAGGCAGAACTTGAGAAATACAAGGTTGACGTCAAGGAGCTCAAGCAGGACTGCAACAAGTGGAAGCTCAAGTGCCAGAGCAACTCATCTGAGGAGGAAGAGGCACTCAGGGTGAGTGGTCCGTCATCACCAAGATGCGAGGCGTGGCTAACATTTTTCAGAATCTGGTGATTTGCTCGGTTTGTCGAAGCAACTTCAAGAACACAATATTGAAAGGGTGTGGACACGTCTTTTGCAACAGTTGCGTGGATGACAGGCTCGCGAACCGCATGAGGAAGTGTCCGAGCTGCAACAAGGCCTTCGACCGCTCTGATGCCATGGCTGCACACCTCTAGGTGAAGGTCGACAGCATCGCTCACCTTCAGCTGGACGAGGGCCAGCTCAGGCAGCTCCGGACACAGGAAGCGCGGGAGCACACCCAGACGTGGACCGAGATGATTCAGAGCCGTCGTTTCCAATTCACCGCATCTTAATCATATGCGGCTACAGCACGAAGTCGGAAGCTGGAAAGGAGCACGAGGCGATATGTGTATGACGGTTCGAGCTGTTGGATTTTATACCAAATGTACCTCTACTGGTGTCAGAGTTCCCTGGCGTGTGACAAGTGTGAACGGATACATGGAGTGTGGTTCGCGTTCGGATACTCAGGTTCCAAGGTCGGGGTGAAAGGGTAGAGCGGCGTCGGGAGCAAAGCAACGAAACGCGCTATAGCACAAGGGCACGCTGTACAAACCACGACTTGAATTGATTCCCCAGCTTTGTTCTTCTCAACCTTAGCGCCGGCTGGTTGACCCGTAGCCTGTGCTTTCGTAGCGCGTGTTGGAGCCAGAGCTGCCAGAACTCGAGGATCCCCCACTGCCACTGCCCCAAGACCCGGATCCAGAACCCCAGCTACTCCCGCCATTGTCTCCCCATATCCCACCTCCCCGTCCGTAATTGCCATACCTATCCCCCCGCTGCCCGCGGTTCCCGGCCATGTACCCGGCCGCGGCCCCGCTCGCGAGCCCGGACCAGAACCCGGGCCTCCACGGTTCCTCGGCCGGTTTCGTACCGGGGTACGGCGGCGGCGGGTCATCCCATCGCCCTCCGCCACCTCCACCAGGCCACCATCCACCACCACCTCCTCCCCACCCATTCCCCCCTCTCCTCCTCGGCCGCGGCTGGCCGTTCTGCCGGGCACCAACACAAGCGCCATAGACAATCCAAGCCAGCACACCAACAAACAGAATACCGAACAACACCCCGGACCAGTCAACCTCACGGGCCTTCTTAGCCAGGTGCGGGTACCGCCGCATGCCTTCCTCGGTCAAACCCAGCGAGTATTCAACCCCGCAACTGCCGCGGAGCACGTAAGGGTCGTCGGGCGACTCGTAGCCTTCGCAAATGACTTCGGTCCGCTCGAGGCGTAAGGTAGATGGCAAAGCGGCCGAGCACGCCCACTCAATGTCCTCGGAGGTGTAGGAGGATCCCTGGTTGACGCAGCGCATGGTGGAGATTTGGGCGTTGGGCAGGCGGCAGAGGGAGGTGGGGTTGCTGACGCATTTGAGTTGGGGGATGGAGGGCACGCGGCGGGATGTGGTTTTTTTGCCGTGGGTGAGGGTTAGTGATTGGACCTGGTGTGGTGATCATATCAGTTAAGGGTTGTTTTTGTCTGAGGAGGGGAGAACCCGAAGGTTGAGTGAGGGAGGAAGGAAGAAAGGTTACCTCGGAGAGGAGTACGGCGTTTTTCGGCCGGGTGTTGGCGGCGGCCCAGGAGGAAGCTGGTGAGAGGGCGAAGAGGGTGAGGATTGAGAGGAGGAGGTGGTGAGTACTAGTGCCAGGCGGTCGACGGCGCATTGTGAGAAGGTTTTGTGGTGGGTTGAAGTTCAAGCGCTTGTGCTGTTGTTGGTGGTTCTTGTGTAGGGTCGGGCTAACGTTGGAACCGAGGGCTGGCGTTGTAACCACTCCCCGATGGAACTTGGACGAGAAAGGTGGTATGACCGGAAATTTTATCCAAGATGGCGTCTCTGAAACTTTGCGAAGGCGAGGCTGCAGAACAAAAGGACAGATGTCAACTTGCCGCTTCAAGTTCGATCCTTTGATTGCTCGCCACTCATTTCAGCAACAAGGCTGGGGACGCGTAAGGTTGAAGGGGTGGGGGAGGTGGTGGGGTGCTGTCACCGAGTGGATGGAAAGAGTTCTTGGCTGCCAAGGACCAACGACAAACGTTGCCGTGGTGGCAAGCTTGCCCCTGGTCTGTGTCAACATTCAGGCAACGGAGCGCTGCGCTGACCACTGCCATGCCATCCCACAACTATACACATAGTGTACTGTCTTCTGGCTATGCGCGATGAGCGGCTCATGTTGACGGTTTCCAATGTTACTGACACTGTACAAAAGGGGTATAAATATTAGACTCTATGTAAATGGTAATTGTACAAGCCATTCAAGCCAAAAAATGTACAACACATCCAAAAATTGGGGAGGGGGATTGCTCTTCAACGAGATGACCCAGACGCCTGCTCCTTTATGAACCATGAATTTTATCCAACCCTTCTAAATCCAACCACTCCTACAACCAGAGTACATCAACCGTGCTTTTCCAGACTTTGCAGATTGACCAGCTCGGCATACCGCCCGTTCCTCTTCATGAGCTCGCTGTGCGTGCCGCGCTCCACCACACGCCCTTGGTCAAACACGTAGATGATGTCGGCCTTTTGGATCGTGCTGAGACGGTGGGCGACGGCAATTGTTGTCCGGCCCTTGGCCGCCTTATCCAGCGCGGCCTGCACGACGTGTTCACTCTCCGAGTCGAGCGCGCTCGTGGCCTCGTCGAGGAGCAGGATTTTGGGGTCGCGCACCAGCGCCCGCGCGATCGCGATACGCTGCTTTTGCCCGCCGCTGAGCAGCGCGCCCTTGGACCCGACGACCGTGTTGAAGCCGTCGGGCAGGGACAGGATAAAGTCGTAAATGTTGGCCTCCTGGCAGGCAAACTTGATCTGCTCGTCCGAGACATCGTGCGACGAGCCGAGGGTGATGTTCTCCCGGATGGTGCCCTGGTACAGCGTGGGCTCCTGCGACACAAGGGCGATGAAGCTGCGATAGTCGTTGACGTTCAGGCTGCTGATGTCCTTGCCGTCGACAAAAATCCCGCCGGCTAGGGGCTCATAAAAGCGCTCCAGGAGCGCGATCGTGGTGGATTTCCCGCACCCGGATGCGCCTACAAGCGCAACGTACTGGCCCGGGGAAATGGTCAGGTTCAGGCCGCGGAGGACGGGCTGTTCCGGGCGTGTCGGGTAGCGGAAGTGGACGTCACGGAACTCGATGGTCCCCTCGACCGACTCGAGCTTGTCACCCTCTGAGGACCAAGTGTCGATTGCTGGCTTGCGGTCGAAGAGCGTCTTGAGATCGCGCGACGCCTCGGCGGCCTTGCCCATGTCCGGAGCAAAGCTGAAGACTGTCCCGGCAGACTGGGCGCCAAAGATGACAGCAGTAAAGACGACAAAGAACTGGAACATGGTGTACTCGTAGTGGCCGATCAAGGTACCGCCATACCAGAAGCCCAGAGCGAAGCAGAGGAACACCAGAGACTGAGAGGCCGCGTACAGAGAGCTAGACTTGAGCACCGAGATGAGACTGGCCCGCTGCTGGGCGGCCAGAGATTCCCTGTATTGCCGGAGCACGTCGTCTTCACGCGTCAGTGCCGCCACGGTTCGCATCGCCGTAATGGCCTCCGAGGCGTAGCTGGCAGAGCTGGCATAGGCCTTCTTGGACCGCCGCTGGAAGTGAGCCAGCATCCAGAAGCGGAAGAAACCACACCCGATAAGGATAGGCATCGTGGCGATGCACACAAGTGCCAATTTCCAGCCCATGGCGAGGGCGAGGACGCATGCGGCGATCAAGGTTGTGAGGACCATGATCAGGGTTCCCAGCGTGGACCCGCTGAGGCCGGCGACGTGCGTCGTCTCGGTGCTCAAGAAGGACGTAAGTGCGCCCGCTGAGTTTTCGTCACGGTCAAAGTATTCAACGTCCTGACGGAGCATGGTCCGGAAGGCCTTATCGCGGACCCGGTGGATAAGACGCTCACTGCACTTGGCAAAGATGACACCTTGGACGCTGAACGAGATAAACATGACAAGAGCCGTCATCAAGTACATGAGGGACCAAAAAGAAGCTTCGGACTGGATGTGAGGTATCGTCTCGGGCGTGACGGGTACCGAACTGTAGCATCCCGTGTTAGCTTAACTCTTCATCGTCCACGGCGGGAGGAGGGGTACATACAGAGCACTAATGAGCTTGGCAAAGAACACGGCTTGGGCTGGGTTTCCGCCGCCGCAAATGGCGGAAAAGAAGAGGCCGACCAGCATGAGGTGCCACTCTTCCTTGTTAAAGCTAGCAATCAGCTTGATCAGGGTCCAGAGGCTGTACTTGGTCTCAGGCGCCGTCTTCCGCCCAGCCAAAGCCATTGAGCTTGCGCTTGCTTGCGACTGACTGCGTTGAAGTTTGGCACGTATGTCATCATCCGGGTCCCCGGGCACACCAGCGGCCGCCTCCTTGTTGTTGAGCGAGGAAGCCTTGCGAATGAGGGCCGCCTCATCCTCTGCGTCAATGGCTTCTTGCTCCTCGGCCGTGGCCTCGTTGATTTTTGCGATGGCCTGTGCTGTAACAAGGTTGTAGTACGCGCCGCGTCTCTCAAGAAGCTCGTCGTGGGTGCCCTGCTCGACAATGCGACCCTGAGACATGACGACAATGTTGTGAGCGTCCCTGATGGTCGACAGCCGATGGGCGATGACGATGGTGGTTCGGCCTTCGGAAGCAACCTCCAACGCGGCCTGCACCACGCCTTCCGACTTGGTATCCAGCGCGCTGGTGGCCTCATCCAGGAGAAGGATCTTGGGGTCCGAAACAATGGCTCGGGCAATGGCAATGCGCTGCTTCTGGCCTCCGCTGAGCAAAAACCCGCGTTCGCCCACGTTTGTCTGGTACCCTTCCGGGAGGGAGGTGATAAAGTCGTGGGCGTTGGCCTTTTTGGCAGCTTCGTGGATGAGTTCCTCCTGCTTCTCGGGGCTCTCATTCTCCCATTTCGTCCCAATCAGGCCGTGGCGAATGTTGTCGTATATTGTCGTGCTGAAGAGGGTTGGCTCTTGGGACACAAGTGCAATTTGCTGACGAAGCCAGCGGAGGTTGAGGGTAGAAATGTCGACGCCGTCCAGGTACACGGCTCCCTCTATGGGCGTATAGAATCGTTCCACTAAGCCGATAATGGTCGATTTGCCGCTTCCCGACGCACCGACGAGGGCAGTCGTCTTTCCCGCGGGAATGGTGAGCGAAACATCGTCCATAACTACAACCTCAGGCCGGGACGGGTAGATGTGCTTGATGCGTTCCAGGCGGATAGTGCCAACCACCTTTTCGAGCTTGGTGCCCTCCTGGCTGGAGGGGTCGATGGGGGATAAGCGGTCAATGGTGCTGTAGATCTTGGCTGCCGCCCCTAGCGCTGTCGTGAAGGCCTGCAGGTTCGGCGCAACATTTCCCAAGTTGAAGGCACCGATCATAACGCTCATCATGACGATTAGCAGGTTGCTCAGAGAAACGTCACGGTCGACGAGGAAGCGAGATCCCGACCAGAAGGCAAGGCCGTAGTTGAGGTAGAGGATGCACATCATACCAGCAACCATGATACCGAGGGTGCCCTTGAGTCGGAAGCCAAAGAATTCGGCGCGGGTGAGGTGAGTGTCGTACTGCTTGGCCAGCCGGTCTTGGGTGCCAAAGGCGACGGCATTGCGGATGCTGCTGATGACCTCCTCGGCAACTGAGCCACCCTCGGCGTATGCGCTGATGTTCTGCCTCGAGAATTTGACGATGAACGTTGAGCCCGTGCCCATGCAGAGAAGCAAGGCAACAACGGTGCTGATCAGGATGAGGGTCAACTTCCAGAAGGTGACGAAGCCGATGACGAAGGCGGCAACGAAGGTAGCGACGGCAGCAAGCGTCAGGCTGACCTTTTCAGAAATGCCCTCCTGGATGAGATTGGTGTCGGCCGTGATGCGCGTCGTGACCTCGCCGGCGCCGAGCTTATCGAAGAAGCCGATGTTCTGCTTCATGCAGCTCTCGAGATAGTGCTCGCGGATCTTGGCGCTGATGTGCTCGCCCGTGTAGATAAAACCGACCGTGGCAACATAGGTGGTGACGAACTCGGCAATGCCAAGGTAGACAAAGTAGAGGACCAGGCGGCTCAGCTCGCCGACAAAGTCGTCGTAGCTCATGGAGCTGTTGGGCGTGAAGTAGCTCTGAAAGGTGCCCTGGAGGTTGCCAAAGACGACCGTCATCAGGGGCAGGGCGGCGCCCGAGGCGATGGCGCAGATGGCAGACACGACCATGATGAGGATGTCATTGCGCGACGAGTAGCGGTACAGCGTCGCAATTCCAACCTTGACGTCGGGCGTGTAGACCTGGTCCTTGAGGATCTTGGCCTCGCGCTCGGGGAGGTGGGCGTAGGGATCATTGTCGGTCTCATTCTTGGCCACCACAACCTTGCTGTCGATTTTGCTGAGGTCTAGCGCACTCCCTCCTCCTCCTGGCGACTTCTCGTTGTTGTTGGGTGTGGGTGCCGCCGAGACGTCCGTGTCATGGCTTGACCCGGGAGCGGATGCTCCCGCCCCCGGTGCAGGCCCCGGCGCCTTTTCGCTCAGATCGGCCATGGCGTTTGAATTGGGGCGGCGGTTAACAAAACCGCGAGGCGCGGAATAGCTCGAGCCAACTCAACTGCGGCCAACCCAGCAGCGTCGGCGCAGCTTAGTGTTGACAGATTCAACTACTTAGGTAAGTTAGACGAGCACTTTTTGCTCAACTCAACATCAAAACAACACCATGGAGTATTAACGATCGGACGAATTGAAATTAGTGCAAAGTTTAACTGAACATGGGGAAGAAACAAGATCATGGATGAGCCAAGAACACGAGGAAGAAGGGGGATGGGAAGATTGGACTAGTGTATGTATAGGGTATCTATGTACGTGCATCTCTGCTGTATCTGTCTCTGCCCGGTATTCTCGAGGCAAGTATTCCGGAGTTAGCAACCCTCCCCGCGGGCTATTTCGCTTCCTCGCATTCCCGGTTCCAACTCCTCGCTCAGGAATACTGGACAGAGTAAGGTGCGGCCCGATGACGCCGAAAACAGACAAGCGCGTGCATTCATGGAACAATGGAAGCACAGGGATTTCCAGCATTGATTACACCCTGTCCTTCCCGCTGGGACCCGGAGTGGGAGTCATCGGCGTCGGCAAATTGCCACCGCTCCGAGTGAGAGGATATGCCGAGGAAGCAATGCGAACCCGAGAGATACAATACGAAGTACGAAGGAAAGGGACTGTTGGACGCGTTCCCAACACAAAAGTTCCAATAATCCCCCACTCAGGCCTGGCCAAGCTCCACCCTGCAAGATTGCAACCCAACCCTGATTGAGACAGGACCCTTTTATTAGTTTGACAAGTCCACTGTCCATCCATTGCTCCTTCCCCAACTCCTATGAACGTCCGCAGATCTTGTTCAAGAGACAACTTGAGCATCTACGACACTGTGAGACCGAAGCAATCGTGGAAACGGTCGATTGAGCATTTTTTCGGAATGAAGTTGGAGGATAGCCATGACGCATTCGCCCAGTGATGAGTGAGCTGGGTGCATTGTCAGACGCGGTGCAACCATCCTTTTTAGTGCACCCTTCGGCCCCACACGGATCGGAGGACGGACAACCTCGAAACCCCGAGCGGAGTGATGTGCCAGGTTCCTATTCCGGTGCGGGTTGCTTCCTGTAACTCGAACTCCCGTACGAATAGGAATCAAGGCAAAACTAAACAAACAGGAAGCCCTGTCAAGAATCCTGTCAAGCTTTCCAGTCAAGCTTTTTCGTCTTTCTTGGCGACATGTTCCCTGACCTGGAGATCCCGCCGTGACGTTCACTCGTTACACATCAATGCGGCTCTCCATCGAGGCACAGCATAGCTAGGGTAACGTATGTACATGCCATACTAGAAATTGATTAGAATCCAGCCTCGTGGGATCTTGACATCTGCCGCACGACTTAGGTAGAGCCCTGATGCTCTTGTCTGTAGTGCAATTACGTACCTTAGCCACGTACTTCGGAACCTGTGAGAATTTGGCGTAGGTTGGCGCACGAAAGTCAACGGAATAAGCGAGTGCGAGGATGACCTGTTGGTGTGTCTTGTCCCGCCCGGGGAGACGCACTATCAGCCCTAGATATCAATCTTGTTCCTCGCCCAGAAGCCGGACCCTCCGTTAAATCCCGGCAGGGCACCGGCAAGTTTCCGATCCGGAAGACTCCGATCCGATTATCACGGCGTGCGCACCCTCCTTACGTTCACTTCCGTGTTTGACACACCCATTCAGTTCATGCTACGGAGCAAGGTTTACGAGATAGATACGTAATAGTAAGGTCTCTTTAGGGCACCCAAAGGCAGGAGGTACGAAAACGTCTACTGATATGCTTCTAGGTAATTCCAGGCTCTAGGTAATGCTGGCTGTAAGGAGACTCTTCATCAATGATCAAACAGTTGTTGTCGTCTTCTACACATGTAATGTATGTAGGTAAATACATTAACGTTGCACAAGTTGCAGTCAAGATAACGTTATCGAAGGAACGCCCAGGTCGATCAAAGCGGGGTCCCGCCCAATTCATCCAATCAAACCAGGGAGCATCAACACCGCCCAAAAATTCAGGTCGGCAGAAAAAAATATCCCAATCCCAGCCTTCAGTCAAGACATGCGTGCTTGTTGATTGTCAGTGGTTACAGGAGAGAATTGATTGCATGAGGTGAACACACCCTCACCCCCCCAACTCCATCGCACCAAACACATCCGCCCCCGTAAACCACACAGAACACCAGCCCAAAATGCCCAAGTCAAAACGAGCCAAGGTCTACCACCTGACCCAGGTGACCAAGAAGACGCGCGAGCAAAAGGACAAGCTCTTTGCCAACATCCGCGAGTGCATCCCGCAGTACCAGCACTGTTTCGTCTTTAGCATCGACAACATGCGCAACAGCTACCTAAAAGATGTGCGCCACGAGCTGAACGACTGCCGGTGAGGAGCCCCCTTTTCCCACCCCCATCATCAACCCATCTAACCAGCCCGGTTCAGCATCTTCTTCGGCAAAACCAAACTCACCGCCCGCGCCCTGGGCACCACCCCCGCTGACGCCCAAGCCGACGGTCTCGACCAGCTCTCCGCCTACCTCTCCGGTTCCGTAGGACTCCTCTTCACCAATCGCGCCCCGGAGGCCATCATCTCCTACTTCGCCTCGCTAAGCAAAGTCGATTTCGCGCGGGCCGGGAGCGTCGCAACACGCACCTTCACCGTACCCCCCGGGGTAGTCTACTCCACAGGGGGCGAGGTGCCCCCGGAGCACGACGTGCCCGTGGCGCACACGCTGGAGCCGGAGCTGCGGCGCCTGGGGATGCCGACGCGCATGGTCAAGGGCAAGGTCTGTCTGGGCGGGGATAATAACGGTGAGGGCGGGGAGGGGTACACGATTTGCAAGCAAGGGGAGGTGTTGGACTCGCGGCAGACAAGGTTGCTTAAGCTTTTCAGCGTGTGCATGAGCGAGTTCCGCGTCGCGCTTTTGGCTTACTGGAGTGCGGCCTCGGGCGAGGTGACTGAGTTGGAGGGCGCTAAGGAGAGGAGGATGAATAATAAGGGAGGACAGGGGGAGAAGATGGATGAGGATGAGGAGGAGGAAGATGAGGATGAGTGAGAATCTTTCTCTGTCTCTGGCTGAGCTTCGTTTTCACTTCGGTGTGCATATACGGGAAGTCTATCGGCATGATACCATGGCTTTCGTGGGACTGGGTTAGTTATGGCATGCTTCACTGGCGTCTGGGAGTTATTGAGGGATAGAAAAACTGGACATGCGGGAATATATTGAGGCTACTATTCTGACCTTGGCATGACTTAACGCTTGAACTCCCAGTTTCAATTAAACATTGTTCTGGCATGCTTTCTGGGGGTCTCTTGAAGGTTGCCAGCTACGTCCCTGGATGAAAGGCTCGCTGGAACTGAATATCCCAGGCGAGACAGATAGGTACAGTAGGAAATGGCAGATATCCCTTACCTCTGCCTTACCTTCCCCTGTTCTCAATTTGCACGCACGCTATGACCTATGGCCGTTCCCTTTTTGCTCCTCTTTTGTACAGGCCACGGAGTAATAAAATACAACGAAAGAAGCTTTACCTTCCCTCGGACGCTCTCACTTTGAAAGTATTATGGTGTGGAAAGCCAGTGGAAGGACGGACGGCCGGATCCTATTTGCTTGCTTCAGGCAGCTGCGAGAGGCCAGACAGGATTAGACGTTCCGGGCTAGCCTGACGCCTAGAGTGCTGGCCACAGCCTGCTTGGCCTGCTGGAGGCAAAGGTTGTGTTACCTTGACCCAAGGGGATGGATCCTGGCCGAGTATTCCATTGGACTGCTGGTTGGCTGCTGCGCTAGGATGTTGTGTCCTGGTTGATGGTTTGCTTTTTGACGACGAGATATCGGCTTACCCTCATTGTCGAGATGAATCGGGAAGACGAGGAAAATGACAGTGAGGAAACTGCAGTGAGGAAACTGATTACCCACCACAAGACGCCGCTGGGTAGTCTTGTTAGTAGCGTCGCAGCTTTCTGGGATCTTCGTAGCCTCCCTCGTAACGGCGCTTGCGGGAATCGTCGTAATCATGGTCTCTGGGCCGGTCGTAGTCTCGGCCGCCCTGCATGCTGTTGCTGCCCTGGGCATACCCACCATTCTCGCCGCGCGGTCGGATGGGCTCCATGTTGCTGCCGGTCTGTCGGGCGTTGCGGTCACGGTAGCCTCCGCCAGATCTGTCATCATATGAGCGTGAGCCGCCGCCCTCGCGGCCATACCCACCGCCTCCGGGACCTCCGGCGCCGTCCCGTCGGCTGTCGCGACCGCCGAAGCCTCCACCGAAGCCTCCGCCGGGTCCACTAGGCGCATTGGGGGGACCAGAAGAATAACCACCGTTAGGACCGCCAAAGCCGCGGTCACCTCCCCGGCCGCCATAGCCGCCACCCCGGTCGCCGCCAGAACGGAATCCGCGGTCGCCAAAGCCTCCTCCGCCACCTCCTCTGAATCCACGATCGCGGCCTCTGAAGCCGCCTCCAAATCCACCACGGAACCCACCGCCAAAGCCGCCGCTAGGGCCCATCGGCCTATTCATCGCGGCCTTGGTGTATCCGCGACCGCCAAGGCCTCCGCCGAGACGGCGAGGCTTCCAGCCCTTAACTGTCCTGCCCCTCTCAACGTCGACCTTGATACGGCGGTCCTTGATGCGGATGCCATCACATCCGTCCAAAGCAGCTATTTGCGCACGCGCCAGATGCGCACTTGTCAGTAACGCCTTACCGTAGAGATACTACCTGTGGGGTGTAAACTGGAGGGGGGGATTGGGGGAGGGGAAGAGAGGCAAAAGCGCAGGACTCGCAAGCCGGAAGGCCATGGGTGTCCTGACGAAGCGACATCGGCGGCGGTAGGGTAACAGGATCAAATGGATAGCTTTACCTCTCATATCTTTCTCACGTTCAAAGACTACAAAGCCGTAGCCGCGGTGAGGTTTATGTTTTTTGTTTGGTTTCTCGTGGGCATGTGTATCTCGAATGATGCGGATCTAAACCAGGTCAGCGGATGCAAACTGTTCGGGAGAGGTCGACATACGCGCTCAATCGGGCCAAAGCGCCCAAACTCGCGTTCGAGATCCTTTTCATCAGCATTGTAGTCAAGACGCGCCACTATCAGTGTCTTGAAAGCGTCACCGCGGATGTTGGGATCCTCGTGCGGGTTAACTAGCAGAAACAAAGTGTGTTAGCAAACGGACAATATGTGAGATATGCAACCCTCAAGGCTGCTCACATTTCTTTGGTCCCTCTGTGAGAAGCTTCTCGACCTGGGCCTGCTTCTCGCGCTTCTTGCGATCGCGTGCCTCAAGCCAGCTTTCCGTCGGATGATACTCGTATTCGCGCTCGTACTGTGCCATAGCGGGTAGGAACTCGGCGAGACCAGAAACCGCTGCGGTCTTGCGTTGCTCAGGAGGATGATCGCAAGGCGGCACCCAGCGCAGCGGTGGCCGGGGCGCGAAGAGCGCAAGAAGGTTAGGCGGAAGTCGGTCAGTCATTGCGACGACTGTCGACGGCTGTCGGGTTTAGTTCTGATTCTCGGGGTGCGAAGTCGGTCGATTACTCATCGACGATGATTAGATTAGGTTTCGGATTGGATTATATCGCAGGATCACGAAATAATCGACGCGGTTGCCGACGACCCGCAACCTGGGATTCTGAGGGTATTGGAAAGTTGGAGGTTAGGTTGATTACGTGCTCTCCGCGAAAATGGAAACGCAGAATCGCGAAGCAGCGCTACATGCCTGTCAGCCCAAGTTCCCTCTGTTGGACCGTGCACACGCCAGCGAAGCGCCAATCAGCGACGTATGTCCCACTTATTTTGGCGCAACAACTTCGGGCCTGGACGTCTCCACGAAATCAAACTCGTGATTTGAGACCATGCTTTCAGGACGACGGCGGCGACGATGACAATAAGGGCATTACAACAGGTCTCCACGGGCCGGGTGAGAACGAAACCCTTCCTTTGACTCTACCATACAAAGACTAACATTATCCCAGAATGGCGTCGGCGCCTTCATCCTCCAGTGCAAGAAGATGGACTTGCATTACTGCGACTGGGCGGGCAGTTCAAAGGGCATGAAGTATGTAGCTGTGTCTAACCCGTCTGCATGATACTGGGCGATCACTCTGCTCACCATCCACAGTGGCTTCATCAAGTCCCTCCTCCCCAAGTTCGCCGCCGCCCACCCCCAGATCGAATTCACAGTCTCCCCGCGGCCGTCCAAGCATCCCGTCATCATTGGCCACTACATCAATGGCCGCCAAAAGGCCATCTGTGTGCGGAATATGGAGCCCTACGAGATCCTCAAAAAGGTCGAACTGTTGAGGGACGCCAGCGGCGAGCACCTGAAGAGGACGACAAAGCCGGTGCGGAGTATCAACGAGTCCGTCAGAGGCATCTGGTCCCCGTACCACGGCAATGGAATGGTGGTATAGGAACAACAAGGCAGCGATGCTATATATGGGTTGTATGACTACGAATATGTCACATTTCACAAGCGGGTTCAAGACGGGGCCGCTTTGTACAATACAATGATGGAATGCACTACATCGGCGGTTGGGAATCACAGTACAGAGTGCTTGTGCCATGAAGAGCCAGATGGCAACTTGGAAAAGATTGAGTGAACTTTCATCTATTGCAGGGATTCTGTTTCATAATCTATCCTCGCAGATGCAGCAGCTTTTGTATTACCGATCCCAAGACGAGCCCTTTAGTCCCGACGTCTCGGCAAACCAGACTCACAGGTTGGAGTTGATGATGTCGACGACTGCTTTAGGTCAGCCTCCGCACGATACATATCAAACCTGGGGCAAATAAAAAAAATAATAATAATAAATAAACTCACATTCGGGCTTCAAGCTCGCCCCGCCGACCAGGAATCCGTCAATGTCCTTCTCCTTGGCCAGGTCCTTGCAGTTCTTGCCATTAACGCTGCCGCCGTACAGGATGCGCGTCTCGTCAGCAACCTTCTCGCTGACATTCTTAGCCAGCCACTTGCGAATGGCCTCGTGTACCTCCTGGGCCTGCTGCACAGTGGCCACCTTGCCCGTGCCGATGGCCCAGATGGGCTCGTAGGCAATGACAATCTTCTTCCAGTCATCCTCGCCCGAGAGCTTGGCGGCGAGGGCCGCGAGCTGCTTCTCGACGACGGCGACCGTGTTGCCGGCCTCGCGCTCCTGCAGGGACTCGCCGCAGCACCAGATGACGCTGATGCCGCCGTCGACGGCGGCCTTGGTCTTGGCGGCGACCACCTCGTCCGTCTCGCCGAGCAAGGTTCGCCGCTCTGAGTGGCCCAGGATGGTCCAGCGGATGTCGATGTCCTTGAGCTGCGCCACGCTGATCTCGCCCGTGTAGGCCCCGTTGGGCTTGTCGGAGACGTTCTGAGCTGCGACCTTGATGTTGAACTTGTCGACCTCGTCGCGCGCGACCTCCAGGTACAGCGCAGGAGGGGCAATCACGACCTCTGTGGAAGGCAATATGTTTAGGTTCTTTTCTTTTCTAACGGGGTCGTGCAAACGACACCGGACGATAACATACCAACATCGCCATCCGTTTTCGCCTCGTTCAGGTTGTTCACAATGGCCTTGATGGACTCCTTGGTCCCGTTCCTGGAAACCCGGTCGCGGTCTGGTTAGCTTTCGGAGCTTCGCCGCGGGGCATCTCTGTCGCCATAGCGGGGTATCGCAATACAAGTCTCTACACTTACATTTTGAAGTTGCCGCCGACGAAAAACCTGCGAGCCATGTTGGGCGATGCTTTATATAGCCAGACGAATATACAGGCGTCGAAGTCAGTATGTGAATCTGCGGGAGCGCCGAGTTTGTGAGTCGTGAAGCTGGGAAAGAGCGTGATGGGGAGCTGCGGGACTTAAAATGCGGTGGTCCACAGAGGTGCACACAGGTGAAAGTTTGGGATTGGAATCGATAGTCTTGGCGACCCCGGATTTCAGTGTGACCACTCCGCTAAAGCATCTGGCCGCACCCTCCGAGTTCTCTTCCATCAGATATATGTTCCGGAACAATGACTAGCACCTGAGATCGGCCTCCCTGCGACAGATGACTCCGTTGACACATCCATTTTCCATTTTCTGTTCCAGCCATTAACCATCTAAACCCTTCCCTTTCTCCCTGATTCTACCTTCTCCTCCAGCCTCAGAATATCCGTTCACAGAGCCCTGGCCCAGCATTGTCATGCAGCACATGTTTTTATATCTCCTTGCAGAGAGTTCGTATGTAGTTGCCTATCATCCTGCCCTCCAGCTCAGCCCGCATGTTGAAACTATACAAGGAGCCAGACAGGCCCAGTCCATTGAAATGCCTGGTCTTGGTTGTGCCGTCGTCTTTCCGTCAATATCCCTGCGGCTGCTGAGCAGACTCAGCGCTTCTTGACAAAGAAACCTCCCCTAGCCTGAGGTACACGGTCTCTTCGTAGGAGCGTTTCCTTCAGGTTGCGGGCTTGTTGCCTCGCCTTGGGCGCTAGTGTTGCGTTGCCGTTGCCAGCCACGACCCGGAATACTGTCGATCCCACCCTCTGATCACGAGGTAACCTGGGCTCGCGGAGCAAGCTCTGCTCTGGCCCGCCCAGCTTCATTCGCTTGTGCTTTCCGTTTAGAGCAGGGCTGGGTCGCTGAGAAATATCGTCCTCGTCATCTGACTCTAAAAGTTCAAGAGGTAATAGCTTGGGCAAACTTCTTTTCCGCTTGTCTGAGTGCTCTTCCGTGGCATCCTGCTCGCTGGGCCCGGCGTCATTAGACGCGTCTTCTGGGCCAGCCGGTCTTTGAGCGCGTTTTCTCTCTTCGGCTTGCCGCTTGAGCAAAGCATCCCGCGCTTGCCGCTTCCGCTTCAATGCGGCCGCTTGCCTGTTCCGCGTCAGTGACTGGTTCCAAGTTGGCCGGATATCGGGACGTGGCTCACTGTTCGGCCGCTTTCGCAGCAGCTTCCGCGGCTTTTAGAGTTTGCTCTTCCGCAGCCCGTGTAGAGACGGCTTCTGGCGGCGCATCGTCATCTGACTCGTCTTGTTCCTCCTCATCCTCCGCGTTCTCAACCTTCAGCCCGCTTGAGCGCCCGATACTGCTGTCCAGGGGATTCCCGGAAGGATTTTCCCTGGGTGTGACAAACTCGTCGTGATCGCTGTCGTCAAATGTAATGTGCTGCCTCTTCTCCTTGGGGGTCTTGAATACATCTCCCTCGTTCTTCTCTTGGCTGCTTGAGGCGGACGCCTTTGCCTGCCTCCGCCGAAGTTCTGATGATGTGGGCAACGGTATTTCAATACTGACGTGTCTGTGCTTGACGGACCCCGCATCTTTGACCCTCACGGCTATGCTTGAGCCTTGTGGCAAGGGCTCGTCATTCTGCTGTGGCTCCCCATCCTCGACTTCGTTGGTTCTGTACCTTATGCCGGCGGCCTTCAATAATGGCTGTTCATTGACATCGGGGCTGCTGGGAGCCTCCTCTGGCTCCTCATCCGCCTCATCCTCAATCTCAAACACCTCGGGTTCTGAGTCGGATGACAATTCTATGACATCGGGACCTTCTTCTGTCGTTTGGGTCCCCTTCTGGGGCGATTTGCTCGGCGCCATGTTCTCAGATAGTCACCAGCAAGGTGGTGTTTCCTAGGATACACTGTGACTGATAGTGATGTTCGTTCCTAAAACAGTGTTCATTCCAGGTCAACAGTTATTTTGATGAGGAAAGCTTCGTCTTCGCGGGCAAAGAGACGGATATGGCAGGGGCGGTCTTCCCCTAACCGAAACTTTTTTTGGGCTCGATAGATCGGCCTTTGATTGGTCGCTTTGCTTCACAGGCCCACTTCACAGGTCCACCAAGACCCTGCAGCTCTTTTGGTTGATATTCACTTGCTTCATTCACATTGAAACTTTGAAAGCTCTCAAATCTCAATCTAATTGTCCTCACAGCTCATTCTTGTACATTATTGGAACCACTCATCATGTAATGGCAACGGGTTGGCGACTTATAGGTATACCTTGCTGTTAAGGCTCACTCCCAATTTTGTCTCCCAATTGTGTCTCAGCCGGCCATGTTTTCATCTCGGGCTTTGGCGCCAATGCGACGTGCTTCACAGCTCGTTGTGCGCAACAGCACGACAGCCCGCCCCTTCCAGCCTCCTGTTCCTCAACTGTTGCTTGGGAATGTGAACGGTGCTTCCTCGCTCTCGATGCTCAGACCGACGCCTTCGAAGCCATCGACACAGCCTCGCCAGAGATTCAACAAACAGCAGATCCCGCCCCTTTGGTGGTGGCAGTCTTGTGTCTCCTCGCAGGGTCCTAGCGACTTGACAGGAGAGGACCTCTTCAACGCAGCAATGCGATACTGCGAGCTGGCAACCGACAAGAGCTCAAGTTGGCAAGCTAAGCTTGAGAAGGGTGAGCATTGGCCGTTCTGCGCTCGGTCTTGTATCGAAAACTGAGACGAGCTGCAGATTACAACATTGACAACTATACCCTCCACTACGCTGGCCTGACGCTACTTAATCGACCAGGAGACAGTGGGGGGCCGCTTGGTTTCCACATGCTTCTGACTGCGTCCAATCTGGGTTATACGCCTTCTACGCTGTCTGCGAAGAGGCTTAAGTTGACATCATCCAAAAGGGAAACGGATTACCCTCCGAGTCGCCGCCTCGACGCGCGTTTCAAACAGCTGCTCCAGATTGGCAGTGATCCCGACGTGCTAACTTTGCAGGGCTTCGATTGGCTACGCCAGGGTAATGACGGCTCTGCGTTGAGATACTTCGACCGGGCCATTGCAGCCGCCGCAGTCACAATAAGCAGTGTCGGCACGCCCCAACCTGCCAAGGATCAAGCACAAAGTGGACAGCAGAACGACAATCCGGCCGTTCGCGAACCGCGATGGTTCTATGAAGCGCTTTGCCACCAGAATCGCGGGCTTTTACTGCTGCAGCAGGGCCGCAAAGAGGAGGCAATCGCGGCCTTCAGGATCGTGGCACTCGAACTTGATCTCAGAGAAGGCTATCTCGAGCTGGCCAAGCTCCTACCGCGGGGTTCCCCAGAGCGAGAGACGTACCTTTTGAAGACGGCCCAGGCCGGCAACTTTGAGGCCTGCCACTTGCTTGCGCTCGACTTGGCCGACAGGGCGAACGAGCCCGGTCTGTCCCAGGCTGAACGCGAGGAAGCTGCATATATGGCCCAGGAATGGGCCTGGCAGGTCCCGAACGTAGGCGAGGGGAAAGGTCTGTTGTCTACCATTGCCGAGAAGGTGAAAGACATCGTGAGGTTGCGAAGTGATTTCGCGCCTTACGTGGATGGCCACGGAGAGTCTCCTGTCTCGATTCGGTGACAGGCAGGATGGGTGCCTTCACATCATGCCCCAGCCAACCAATTTTGTGGCCGCCCCCTGCTGTCTGGGCTTTGTGTAAACCCAACGCTGGTCTTTCTTTTTCTGCACACATATATGGTCAGACATGGACCCAGCTAGCGACATTTCTCGCCGGCCTTTACAGTAGTAATATCAATCGAGGTCATCGTTAACGTTCAGGTTAGGTAGACACTGATTGCTCAGCCCGCTATCAAGACAAGTAGGTCTGAAGTACCGGCAACCGTTCTTCGTCGCGATTTGTATCGTGATCGAGCAAGCCGACTTATGATTGTCCGCACGCCCAGGCTCTCGTAAGGCCCCATCCAAAATCGGGGTTGACCGAGGATTTGTCCGGTATCAAGGTTATCCATATGTGCAGTTGATGCATCGTGTCTGGCAGTCCTTGACCCCAAAACCGCGTCCCTCGATCAACATGCTACATACATACCCAGATATCCCTCACCCACCTAACACATCACTAAACGGGGGCATGAACGTTAATGCCCGTGATACCATGATCGGCAAAGATCGACGCATCCATCGTTCTCGACTGCCCGACCCCACAGGATTGGGTGCTTTTTCCGGACTGATGAAGACGCAGGCCATCACCAACGCCGTTGTGTCTCCTTCGGGGGAGAGATTCTTGCGGGGGTTACTCGAGTCCAGACCCTCCGTAGCACCTAGTCAATCTATGTCCCATGTCACGGTACAATACGCTGACGAAAGTGGATGTGTCCTTTTCTCGCTCCCAGCTTCCATCTCGTACACAACAGGGGAGAGGAAGGGCAGACTGCACTCAATACTCGTCCTTGAGCTCCGACTATGTCTCGTCTATACTAGAAACTGTCACACAGAAGCCAACAGACAGGCGGACCGCGGGCAAAGTCAAACCGTTTTCCACCATCCGTTTTCCATACCTGTCCCCATTTTCTTTGCGTAAATCATGCTTTCGTCGCGGAGATGTTTTCCAATAAAGAAAAAGAGAAGGGTATAGTGATATTAACATGGAAGACTTTCCGTTTCCGTTTCCCTTCCGTACTCGCTCCCTGAAAGTAAAACAAAACAGCTACAATCCCAAAAGGGGGCTACTATAGCGGCAACCAAATCTCGCTCCCTGGCGAGAGGATCTCCCCGCGTATGCCCCGGCCCAGTAGGAAGTAGACAACCAAACCACCAGTTAAGAAGGTTTCCATACTCAGACCATATTCCAAAAGTCAGAACTCCTTTGCAAAGCCAGGATGCCACGCGAAGAATTATGCCGTTCTCGAAAAGGCACATTAGAGAATGAGAAAGAGAGAGAGAAAAGGGGGTGAGAAGAAGTAAAAACCGGTCAGCCACTCCTTCTGAGCCGCTTCCTCGGCCGACTCTTGATCTCAGCCTCACCGCCCTCATCTTCCTCGTCATCCTCATCCAGGTCATCCTCCTCTGCTCCTCCTCCTCCTCCCTTACCCTTCCCACCATGACTCCCCTCCCTCTTCTCATTCCCTTTCTTGATACTAATCAAGCATCCCTGCTCCTTCAACCTCTTTGTAAGCAGCGTACTGGCCTTCATACCAGGGAAATCCTTTGCATTATACACCTGAAACACATCACTCATAGCCGTAGCCACAATCGCACTCCGCTCACCCATATGCATCCGCCTAGGATCAAGCACCACCAGCGCAAATTTCAGTCTAAACGACCCCGGCGTCCGGCACGACAGGTCGGGGAAGCAGAAAAAACACCCCTCGGCGCCGTGCTCGTCCTGCCCGACAAAAGGGGATGCCACGAGCGTGCCCATCAGCCGCCGCTGCTGCCGAAAGTCCTCGGGCATGCTTGACATGTCGCGGGTGCCCTTCTCGTCCCAGATGGAGCAGTGAACCACCGAGAACTGGTGCCGCAGCTGCCGCGACACCTCGTCGGCCGCCAGCCCGGGGTCGTGGATGCTCAGCTGCACGATCGGCGGCGGGTCGATAACACGCCGGTCGCGCTCGCCGAACCCGCATGACCGCGCCGCGAAGGGCTGTTGGCGGACTGTGATCCTGTACGAGGAGGTAGTTGGATCCGGGTGGGCGAGCGGCGGCGGCCGGGGCGCTTGTTGCGGTGTGGTTAGGGAGGTGGCTGGCCGAGGTGAGGAGCTGGCTGCTGTCGTGCTGGTGGCTGTTGCAGTGGTGATTGTCGCAGCGGCAGCGGCAGCGGCAGCGTTGCCGTCGGAGGTCAGGAGGTTGGAGATGCTCATGGATTTGGCTTCTTGCCGTGGCGAAACACTGGCTTGCGTGGTGGGTGGGCTCCGAAGCGGGTGTGGTGTTTGTTGTTGTTGTTGTTGTTGTTGCTGGTGGTAAGGGTGAGGGCGGCCGTTTGGTACTATCGAGGGTGAATACGACGGCCCTTTAAATATTGTTGGCGCGAGGGCGGCGTCTGGCTGCTGAAAGGAGTCCGCCCTTGCCCGCGGAGATGGCTGGTGGAAGTAGGGGCGAGGTATCTGGGCTTGTTGACTCTGGGGAAGGTTGTTGTGATGTTGTTGTTGCTCCTGAAAGCTGCTTAGTTGCCTCAGTCGTAGTTCCTGAGACACCTCATCGGACGACCTCTCGCTGGCTGTTGATGACAGGGCTGGGGACCGCCGGAGGTCGATTGTCCGCCTTGACATGGCCTGGACATCGCTGCTTAAGGCTGGAAGCTGAGGCGGCGTCTGCCCAACAGGCGAAGGGGTCGCGTAGTCCGAGTAGTAGCTCGGTTTCCCGCTTGACAACGGAGCGTCGCGGCCATTGGGAAGCACAGGCGAATGGCTCGAACCTCCTGCCGCTGAAATCATTGTAGCCATTGGAGGCAGCCGCGGCAGCGGAGTGGCTTGGGCTGTTTGAAGCTGCTGTTCCTGGGCATAGTGCCCATGCCGGAGGGAATATGGGTCATGATAGTTGTGGTGATGAGGTCGAGCCATACCGTCCAGCAGGGGATGACGGCCAAACTCGAGAGGGGCGAGATCGACGGCTGCAGACATTGGGCAAGTTATGCACAAAAAATGGCCGGAATGATGAGGTTATTCGAACTTTGGGCTTTTGCCAACTCGATCTGCCTCTTCCGCTTGAGCTGTACATAGAACGGGGCTAATCACCTGTTCTGGACAGCCCTATAGGAAGAAAGGCGTTCACTTTTGGGACCCGGTTGTCACAGATGACGAACCCAGCATCCGGGTTTTGGGTCGAGATGCAAAGCAGTGTCTCGGTTGGGGGTAGGAGGCGTCACTAGTGTGAAGCCTCGCCGCATACAGCAGCCAGCGCGCGAATTCCTGTATGTTGAACCAAGCCCTGGGCGGTCTTGACGCTAGGGGAAGACAGGCTCGTTTACGAGCAAGGAACGGGGAATCCCGTGCAGTTGCAGTAAGTTGCAGCAAGTTGCAGGAGGCGCCAATGAGCCAACACTGTCGGCAGCCGACGGGCTCATGCGAGTGTCGAGTTGCGTGGCCGCTCTCGAGTGATCTGGTGAGCATCAAAGAGCCACACAAAGCTTCTGGTGATACGTTGTTGTTGCAGTACTCGGTCGGCGGTATTGCGGGCGGGCAAGGATGATAACGGCGTCCGGATTTGAGCGGAAGAGAACCGGCAGACGGCTCTCGTTTCTCTCCTCCTACTCTGCAAGTCGTCGTTCTGCTTTTCTACTCTTTGGCCGAGGCTTGCCAAGTCTCGGCTCTTGATGGGCGGGGCCGGGGGCGTCCCCCCGAGGAGACTGAGGCCGGGGTAGCAGTCGGCCGGGATATGTCACAGCAATATGGCAAAGCCGGGCTGGTGGGCCATTGTGCGAGATTGGAGGAGACGACAGCAATATCGAGAGAGCGTATCAGTATGCCCCTCCCGGACGAGCCTACCGGGCCACTTAAGTACTCGATGTCCTGACTGGCCGGAACAAGAGATTCTGCAGATTGGCTCGACAGGGATAGCGACAATCCGCCAGGCGGGTCAACGGGTCAGGGTCAGGCAAAAAGTGCCGTGGCCACTGTTCCCAGTCACGCTCCCCCCATACCTAAAACTACGCCTTCAATTGGGTATGGGAAACAAGAGACACCCGTAGGCGTGAGTCTGGAAGATGGCTTGGAAGCCGTGGGAGGACCCATAAGGGAGATCGGGGGGGTACGGGGGGATAGGCAGGGGAGCAATGTATCCCGGGGCGGGTTGAAGGCTCCGCTTGGGAGGTTTGAGAGCCCGTCGGCTGCATTGAACCCACCCGTTCCGCCAGGTGTATGTATGTACACGCTGCGTGCACCCATATCGAGGGGGTACATAGCGCAGCCCAGCCTAGGGATTTCCATTGCATGTCAACGACAGGACCAGCAAAAGCGGCTGCATTCGTCTCCGATGTGGCCGATGTGACCCCCGCAACCGTCCCAAAGACTGGCCCCAGGGTACAGTAACAAGCCGCACCCACATGAGCCCTCACTCATGACACGCACAGCGTGAGATATCGAGGGGTTTGGGCATCGGCGCGCTTGCGCGGACTGGGGCGCGCCACCTTCACCAAACTGGGTGAAGCATGCATGGAGGGTGTGGTGCAGTCTCGCATCCTCGTACGTATGTACTGTTTGTTGGATGTGTAGAGTACTTTTGCAGCGAAAATCGAAAATCGAAAAGATTGGTGAGCCTCAGACCGGCTGAAGTCGAAATCCAGCAGCGAGTCAAGCAACTGGATCCGGGCCTCGTCATCGTCCGAGTCTTCTCAAACACAGCCGGATCTTTTCCATGGCAAGCATGGCCCTTCTGCCTTCTCGAGAAAGAGCCGTAGTATGCCGCGACCGGGAGCAACAGAAAGCTGCGAAGGATCGTCCAATGCCGCCAAGAAGGCAAAGAATGTCGAGCAGAGCCAACACTTCCAAATTTAAGCAAGTCCTTTCTCTCGGCTCGATCTGTGTACGATACGCTGCAATAACTTACTACCTAGTAGCCCAGGAAGGAGCAGTGTGCGGTGCTGCGTGGGACTACTGTACCGCTGGCACCGTGCTGTACTGTACAGTACCTAACTTGTAATCTTCACCTCACGGACTGCGAAGGCGTTGGGGGAGAGACATTCCAAAAGACTGAGAAGAGTGAGCTCGACAACTTAAAACTCAAAAGTAGGTGGACATTGGACCAGGCAAATGCAACGTCCGTTGAATCGGTCGTTAGGATCGGATAACTGTATTGTACTGTACATACATACAGTACCGTACGGTATGGTACTACCCTGCCCCTGGCTCCGGGTTATGGGAATCGCAGGGTATCCACCATTTGCACTAACGTTAGGTTAGTGGGAAGCAGTGAAGACAGGTACAGTAGGTGGGTCTGTCTCGACCCGTCTGCCGGCTTCCTTCCTTTGCTTCTTTCAGCGGAGAATTGTGTGTTGTTCCAGTTCCCGACGCCTCGTCACCAACATCACCTCTAACCCACAAGGAATGCGTCTGACAAATACGAATACACTTCATACACTGCTTTCTCACCAGCCTGCTGTTTGCCGCCCCTCCGCTCCTGGATTTCAGATCGTGCTCCCTCCCTCTCATCGCCTGGAGGCTCTCCGTTGAATATAGCCGTGCCGCGCTTCTCCGACTCGCTGCGACAAGTTCCCTTCCTTCTCCACAGGATCCCGGGATTTCCAGACCTTGGGGGTCGATTTCTCGGTTCCGCCAATATTAACATTTTAAAGCTGTATTGACTGACACACCAGCGCCTCCCCGTCCGGGGATAGATTGGCACGCAGTCGTGTCACGCGAACCATCTGCCGGCTTTACTCTGCAGATGAATATGGTGACAAGCCACGACGCACACCTCGGTCCAAACACGGAGAGAGGAAACAAGGTTCCAAGGACCCGGGCGAAGTACGGTGGTGTCTGTACTGTGTAATGCGTTGTGGTTCTGAAGGGTGACTCGAGCAACCAAGATAACGGCGAGACTTGTCCTCTGTCTGACAAGCCACACCGACGCCATCACGCGTGGTTGAGGGTAGAGTTGATGACCTGGCCTCCTTTCCGATCCTCATCTTGCAGCTCCCTGCGCAGATTTCGCAAGACCTGGAGCAAACATGCACTGATTAACATCATCTTGAAACATGCAATTGGACTGTGGCGCTCTTCTGTCTTTAAAGTCACTTTTTCTTCCTTTTCTTTCTTATTCAGGCGGGTGATATCTGCCACCCGCCGTGCTTGGGGCTTACACGTATGTACTAAAGACAGCCACGACGCCTGGCGGTTCTTCACAACCTAAACATCCTTGTGCTGCTTTCAGATGCATACACCTATGTATGTACAGTACAGTACTGTACATACCTATCATCCCGTTGCCCTTGTCCATCGCTCATGCATGCTCAACGGCGGACTGATGCTCGTGTGAAAGAGATGACTGGCTTGGCTTGCTCCGTCAGAGCCTCCTGAAGCAAAGCGATACACTACCTACAGAGGGTGCATGGGTTTGGCAAAGACCTGGATGCGTTACGGCGTCTCATTTGACCATGGCTGCAGACGAAGGGCATCAACCTGCCTCTGTCATACGCTACACCACACGGCGACGGCAAGTAGCAGATTCGTCGATGGCATGGCGGCACCCAAGATTTTTCGAGGATTAGCGGACAAGAGATGCGGTGCAGCGCCAATCCGACCACGATGCGGAGGGCTTGCAGGGGTCTTGGGCTTGACACCGCTGGGACAAGGGTTCACCGGCATCCATGGTTGGGTGGATGCGACCCTGATTCCCGGTTTCCCACCGTGCCCCACGTTGGGACGTGGTCCGCAGCCGGGAGCTGTTGATGAGGTTGAATGCCGCTTAATAAACTCCCTGGCTAATCAGCGGCCTGGACAAGCCATACAACGACGGGAGCTTGCTGGGCAGAAGAACACTCATCAGAACACCTACCTAACTGAGGTTGAGACAAATTTGAGTCCGGCATTTTATATTGCACGCAGCACCATGCTATATCACCGTTGCCACAGCCGCCACACCTGCCCACAAGGTTCTTGCTGCTCCGGGGAGATCAGAGCAGCAAACCACCCATTAAGCCCTCTGAGGCGCCCACTTATGATATACGAGTTTGTGAGCATACACTGCTCTACTATGGCTAGAGTTGAGAGTTCCCATGGATGTTAGACTACCTAGCTATGTACTGTACAACTTTCTTGGAGGATTCGGTATGTCCACTCCCGTTCTTACTGTGTAGCAGTGAGCCACTGATCTCTGTGGGTGGGAGTACCATACTGTAATATGTAATAATTATGGGTTTGACTCAGACTCGATGCAGGAGCGGTGAGGTTTGTCAACTTAGTGTGCATAAAGGTATGCCCGTTGCACAATGGAACTGAGCAACTCAGATATATACAAGGTACTTATTAGTGATTCACGGGCAGAACGGAGCTGTTAAAGTTGCCTTTTTCGGAAAGGAGATCAGTGTGGGTCCTGATCGTCTCGTCCCGCGCAGACGGACACTCGGCAAGCAGCGCGAATTCGGCCTTGCCCGTTATCGTTGCGGGGAAGGGGAGCGGCTTCCTCTGCACCCTTGCCCCAGTGCTTACACTAGTCTCTCGACTAGTGTACAGTCTAACCTGCACATAAGAATACAAGGCAGAGGAATAACCTGGGTATAGGAATCAAAATCGGGGTTCCCGAGCCATTTTGTATGGGAAATAGGAATAACCTGGGAAACGGACTTATTCTTACGAATCTTGCTTAGTAACCCATACAAATTCAGGTTTATTCTTATGTACAGGTAGGCGAAAGTATGGTTGAGCCCCTAACTGTGGCCGGGGGACCGAACATTTGACCCTGAAAATAGGCATTTTGACCCGATTTGGGCAACTTTTGGTCTGGGTTAGGGTTATGTGTGTACCTGGGAGTTAGAATAACCTGGGTATAAGCATCAAAATTGGGGTTCCGGAGTTGATTTTTTTGTGCAGGTTAGACTGTATGTACAGTACATAAGGTACATACCACTGTCGCCATGTATTCAGTTGATGTTGTCTTCACTTCACTGCTCAACCCAATTCAATCACTCTGACCATACGTAGGAGGTAGGAAGTGGCTTTTACTTATATTTGCTGCTAATATATGCCCACATACTCGTACACACTCCGTACCTTGTAATAAGAAGGCGAATGTCGACTGGCTGCAGAGCGTGTATCTTGCTCTCCTTCAAGTTGTCTGTGCAAAGCCGCCGGCAACGTAAGATACATACTCCACTATACTGTAAGTACCGCACAGAGAACGGGCCGCTCCTTCCATCTTCTTTCTCGAAATGTGAGACTGAGGACTGGATTTCTGCGCACATGATCCTGGAAGAGTCCCAGCCGTGGCTGCCTTCTTGGTCGTGCATCAAGCTCACTTGGCACGGCCTTGGCTTTGTTGGAGCAGTCGTGTCCCAGAGGACGCTGTACGCTAACGTTACCCTACCCGACTCCTGAGCGCTCCAAGCGGCGCGACAACGGTGTTCGATTCGCCAATCCTTCTCAACGTTGGTAGGTGTGATGCATCATCGCAGAAGACGAGTCGCTAAGGACGGAGTTTTCCGTATTCAGTCTTTTTCTTTTTCATCCCTCCATCACCCGCGCCAACAAACACCTGGCGAGATCTTTGCAGTTTGCACCGGCTACAAATTGCAGAAGTGGGGAGGGGCTTTCAAAAGAACAAGCCAATCGGCCACTGCTGCATACCTCGCGATATGGGGTTGGTTCTGCACTAATTGGCAATTTGGCTCAGACATCTCCAGCGTTGCATCGACTGACTCTGCATCCAGGGTTGAGCACCGAGTCCCGCGAGTACTGTATCGCCTAGCCGGACGGCAAGACATGCAAGACTGGCACGACGGGGATTGCCCTGGCAGACGAACGACCACACGGTGCCGTTATTGAAAGTCGGGTTGGCGAGTTGAGTGTTTCCGTGTCGACCGCGGGCGGCTTCTCGCGACTATGGAAGGTAGTTTACACTGGGCACGGCACAGAAATGGCGTCGCAGCAGTCCTCATAATCATCTCATAAGCAGTCACAGCGCATGCCCAATCCGTAGACGCCCGCTGGCTGCCGTCTACTGTCCCTTCGCGGCTCAATCATGGTCACAGTTGAGGCACAAACTATACGCCGAAAAATAGGCCGCCGCTTTTATCACAACGCCCGCGTCGGTCCCGACGCTGCCTGCCTGCCACGGAGGACCGGGATGCTGCGTCACCACAGCCAGGATGACAGACAGGAGTCGGCCGCGCACACAACCGTATTGACAACAGCCGCGGCCGTTCCCAGGCGCCGTTGACTACTGGTAAGGCTCCCCGTGTTACGCCTCTTTCTTTCTGCCTCGGGCAACAACGCCCGACTTTTGCACCCTCCGGTCATTCCAACTAACCCGGTTCTGAGAAAGCAACCTTTACCCAGAACGGGTTGCATAGACATACGTTGCAGGATATGGCCTTTCTAAAGGGAAAGCCGGCAAACATCTTTCTTACCGTCACTGCTGTGGCTTTGACTGCTAGCTGCCTGGGAAGAGGGAGCGCCACAACTGCTTGCCCTACAGCCACAGCAGGGTGTAAGAGACTCGAGATGAAACCTCAAGTCCTCAACTTCATAGCCACAAAGCTGCCAGTCCACTCCACAAACGGCTACGCAAGAAATTATCCGAATGGTCGACCCGGGCTCACGAGCTAGGTGTGCCCAAGGACCCGGACATGTCTGCCACCATACACTAGGTAGCTTCTCATGCTTGGTTTCGGCTAAAGAGGTTGCAGTGCGTGATGGCCGGCCATTGGTGCTCCACTTGTCAGCCCAGCAACATCAAACGGCATCTTACTGACAGCTAGTTGAATGCCGACCAGTTGTTCATCGACCACCTTGTCAACGCATTGACTCGCTGATTACGCTACCGTGTGTTCGAGCATCCGCACGAACCGCCAGCCAACCCGCTTGAGCTCGCGTTTACACATCCCCATCAGACGCAATACTACCACAGTGAATGCTACAACGCACGATCCAAGAGTCGGAAGCGCGCCAACCTCTGTGGTGTCGCCCTCCCGGTGTTGACAGTTTGGAAGAGCAGCCGAATACCCCACACCTACGGTAGGTGGTGCACCTCTGCCACGTAAGTTCTCATATCTCGCGCAGCCGGACACCGTCGGTAGTTGGGGTACCGCTTCTCAGGAAACAGCTCTCAAAGGAGTCTACCCCGGATGATATCGTCGAGCAATACCAGGACACGTACCATACCGACTACCGTGTCCTCGTACCGGATATCCAAACCTTTCACTCAACGCCTCAAGGATTCTCCTTCGGAGGCGGGCGGTTTCCGTTACGAGGTTTCTTAGGTTATTTATCCTAGCCAATAGGTTCTCAAACCACAGTGGCATATCGCTGTTGGCTTTTCAAGATGTCTGCGGCGGCGGAGATCATAACAGCACCCTATGCGGCCCAGTGGGGATACTCCACCTTCAGAACAGCACGAAATATGTCCCTTGAGCATTGTGCACTATCATCACCTAGGGGTGCGTTGTCAGCACGGGCAGATGAGTCCAACTGTCCAAAAGCCGGACCCGTTCTCAAGAAACTGCGTTTTGGGGCGAGAGAAGAGCCGATAGGATCCGCTACAAGTTGCGACTCTCGGCATGCAAAATGGAGGTGAAACTGCGGCTAATTTTCCCTAAAACCCCGGCCTACTGGCAAGGCAAATGTGGCCCAGCCCTCTCTACCAATGTCCGGTCATGGATTATAATCAGAGGAGGCTTCTCGAAATCTTCGAGTGAAGATCACGGGAGCATACCTTTAACCTTGGACGGCACGGGATGCAAATCACTGATTGCCAATCTGTTGGAAATCGTCCGTTCTTGCTCGGAGGAGGCCGCTCCTATGCCGTCGTTCTCATCCCATCTTTTCGAGAACAGATGGGCGCATCATCGTCCGTCGATCTCAGCTTTGGAGGGAGCTTGAACAGTCTTGATCGCAGTTGCCGACGATGTTAGAAAGCTGGTATGCCAGGGCTCCTGCTCGTCATATTGAGATGTCGGCTGCTAACACGGATTCCAACCGGCCGTTGAAAGCCAAATTGCTGGGGCATAGGCCTCTCGATAAACGACAGTCGAAATCCGGGTAAATCTGCGCTCTCCAGATCTTCTCTTGCCCTTATTTGCAGTTGCCGCTCTCGGCTGACCCAGAGTTCCCTTTCGGCTTCAAATCGAATCTCCTGCCGGAACAAGAAAAAATCAATTACCGTTGATGTGATGATGTAATGTGAGGACCTCCAGGTTCCTGGGAAGGAGGGAACTCCCTTTACACCCGCAGCGGGCATTGTTCCAGGCGAATTGCTACTCCCGTCCTCCTTGGCTTCGCAACCGGGAACAGAGTTGATTAACTCCCCGACCTCCTGGAGCTTATTCACGAAGGGTCCCCTCCGGTCTGGAGGATATGATCTGCAACGTTACCTGTTCCCACAACAAGGGGGGATTCCTTGCACCATCGCCAATTGTCATCGGCCGATACTTCGCCCATGCCGTAGCCGGAACCGGTTGCGATAATACCGCAGCGCCCTCATATGCGAAGTGGAATTTAGCCCTTGAGCTGTTCCTCCCAACTGCCGTCTTCGGTCTTGCCTCCTAGCATAATCTGCTAAAGCCGCTATCCAGAGCAAGCTGCTGCGCTGATGAATTGTTTTATTCCGCCAGACTCGGTTCTTTTTGCAGTTGGTTATGGGATATACACCTACGGCATTCCCTGACGAACAGATCAGCCGAGGAAGAAGGAAATCCCGTCTTGGTCCTCGAGTTTGACGCATGTAAGACGGTATTGGCTTTGATTCCAGTTCCGGGAATCAAGCCATGGCGCTGCCAGACTCCTTCAGCAGTTCACCAACCGCTCGCTCCCGAGACCCAGCAATAATGCTTGATTCCCGCGACTACCTGCCTGACGCGAGGAGCTCTCGCTTGATCAAGCTCGACACGAGAAGAGGAATTGGCTTCTGGAACGCTGGAAAAAGGCTCAGTTCCCGCTGTGTCATTGCTGTCTCACATGGCTCCGCTGACCAGAAAGTCTCTTTAGAGGACTGATTGGCAGCCAGAGCCACCAGCCGCGCTGTGGAGACTTTGTCTTTTGGCGTGTTCTGCCCTCCTTGGCTCATCTTTGTTGTTGGCGAGATCATGGCCTGTCTGATCAACATTCACTTGGCTTCAAATAAAACCTCATCTGTGCTGTGGATATACCGCCCCTAAGGATCTTGCGCTACTGTCCCGTAGAGGGTAGTCGGCCAGTCTGACTGTATACCCCCGCCGAACTACGATATAATTTGCGGTTTGATAATGCGATAATATGAAGTGGTTTCGCCACCCCAATGCTAACGGGTCTGCTATTGCAGCTAGCTCAACTTGGAGATTCATGCTAGCAGGTGATGGGAGCATGTTGGCTACGAGCTGCAGGGTGTTATTACAGGGTGGCACAAGGGAGTGAGAGTGAATGCTTACTGTCAGTTGCCCCGATTGCTCCCTCCCAGCCCTGTGTACACATCTTTCTCTCTTTTCTCATCACCTTCCTCGGAGAATGGCAAAACAGTTACACGTTCGAGGGTTACCACGGCCGGGAATCGTACAGTGAGTGGCATGAGTTTTCCCTGTTGGCATGCCGTAGACGTAACTTCTTTGGCAGTGCGTCCATTGTCCAGAAGGATGACTAGGGCATCCGTTGATGGACATCCTCCACCCACCCGTGCTAAGGCCAGAGAGCGGGCATAGTTTGGAGAACATGATTTGTGTACTGCCACATGTGTTTTGCTCTCGTGTTTCTGTTATGCCGAGAGGAAAATTCGTATATACAGTCCAAGCAGGCAGGGAGTGACGGAGACGACTTCTCAAGAAAGTCTGTCTCATCTAGTATTACTGTATAATCGCCCAATTGCAGGGTCGCATGTATCCCCAATTTAGCTTCTTTTATGGCTCTCAAGGAGTTGAGACATTGTAGCCGTGACCTTCTACTGTTGTTGACTTGCGCATTAGTGTTAGGAGAGAGGGTTGGGCGATCTGGATCATTCCTAGACGACGTCACGTTCCAAAACTGTTCTGTCACAGAGAGATGCAGCTGTCGAAATGGCCTTTCATTGCCTCCCTCAAGATGGAATTAAATAGAATTATATTTCAACCCGAGATACTACCACCACCCCTTTCAACCGGCTAGTCCTCTAGCTGATTCTCTTGTTATGATTATTACTATCAACCGGACTAAGCCCCCCGCCGTCCCTCTCCCTGTCGTGCTGGCCAGCGACTCCTCGCTGAGCCTTATTTGTCACCATCGCCCCGGCCCCGGCCTCAGCCTCGGCCTCGCGCTTGATGCGGACATAGGCAAGCTTCTCGAACCGGCTCAGGGCGCGCCACCAGTGCTGGCCCGCGTCGTGCTCGGCGATGCGCTCGAGCAGGTCGGCGGTGCCGACGCGCACGTCGCGGTCCTTGTGGAACAGGCCCAGCGCGAGGTAGAAAAGCCCCGCGTGCGACTCGGGCATGACCCCCAAGAGGAGACAGATCTCGTCGTACGTGTGCACGTACTTTGCGAGCGTGTCGTAGATTTCTTTGCTCTGCATGGGCGTCAGCCGCTGCGTCCGCAGCCGGTCGTGCATGTGCGCCAGGTCGAGGCCCTTTAGCGGGCGGATCGTGTAGAGCTTGGCAACGTCCTGTTTGTTTTCAAATTTCTTGTTGTCAGTCATGACTATGTATGTATTGAGGCGACGGGAAACCGATCAATCAACCCTCTCACGCACCTGGATGAAGCTGTAGTAGCTCCTAGTGTTCCTCCACCCTTCAATCCTCGTTACATTCCCAGCTAGCTCCTTGGCTTTGGTCGCTTCGTCCGCCCACACGTACCCGTGCCCGCCGGGCCCTGTCATGTTGGCCTCGTGTTCGTCGCTGCCAATATACAGCGCGCTCGCCCCGTACACGCTTTCCTCGAACGCTGCCGCTATCCGCGTGAACTTGAGCACCCAGGCGCGCCACTTGGAACGGATGACCCGCTCGCCCGCCCGCGTGGCGATGCTCCGGAGGATGTCGGCCATGAACGCCGCGTCCCCCGTTAGGTCGTTGTTCGATGACGACCCGCTGCCCGACGAGCTGTAGACCAGATTCGCGTAGGCCGGATTCTGCTGCTGGAAATATACCAGGCCCTCGGTGATCGGCGCTGCCTCGATCTTGCTGCTGATTTTCATCTTGCCGCTCGACAGGTCGCAGAGCAGGTCCCACCATTCTGGGTGGTGCTCAAAGGTCGGGTTTGTTACTCCAGCGATGAACCCGGGCACGTTCAAGAGATCGTCAATTTTTGTGAGGTCTGTGTACGGGAATGCGTGGCGGGTGAAGCCCCTGAGAATGCCGCCGGACGCCAGGGCACAGGCCGCGAGAACGGCCTCGGCGACGTCGCCCGACGGCATGTTGTGCCCTAAGAAAATCACGCGCTTTTGTGTCAACAGTGCGTTGATGAGCACTATAATGGGGTGTGTATTGGGGCCGTTTGTTGTGAGATGCGGGTGCAGGGGGAAGGTCTGAGGCGACTTGGCGTGCGCGTCTGAAAAGTTCTGGATGAGCTTGATCAAGGAGAAGTCGCCGACAATCTCGGGCATGACGGCTACAGGCACCTTGATCGGAATGGGAATGCCCTTGTACATGACCTTGCTCTCAAACTCGTGTGTATCCCGGGGAACCACATAGGCCGCGTGCGTTTGGATGTGCTCCTTGGTCCCTGACCGGAATATGCCAGGCCGTTTTGCCGGCGTCTGGCTGGCGTCGAGCGGCTGGTCTGCAACGTCCTCACCCGTCTCCTCGGCGATCCGCGCCTGGATCATTTGCTCAAACTTTTCGACAAACAGATCTTTGTTGTCACTGGATTGTAGCAGGTGCCTTTCGAGGACACTCAGCTTGGGCATCAGTGACAAGTCCATCTGGTTCACGGCTTCAAACAGCATGGCTAGGGTTTCGGGAACTGGCGCCTTGAAGTACTCTTCTAGCGCTAGTAATAACAAGGGCTGGAACTTGGGTTAGCCATCTTAGTGAGGTGCGGGAAAGTGAGTCCGGTCTCGCCTTGTATATATGTAAGAAAGGATGTCGGGTACATATGGCCATTGCTTTTACGACAGCACCTCTTTTGACGGTCTTATCCTGTTTTGTGTTCACGAGATTGAGGACGTAGACTAAAGGCGGGCCCTCCCCGCCCTCGGGCTCCGAGTCCGTCGATACGTCGTCGTCCCAGTCTTCGTCCAAGTCGCCCCCTTCTTCCTCGTCGTCCGACTCGTGTATTACGCCCTGGGCCCGATCCCGCTTGCGCAGCCGCCGAGCGCGCCGCTCTTCTCTTGCGCGCCTTTCCGCGTCATCTTCCTCCTGGCTCGTGTCTTTGTGGAGGAAAAAAATTGTCCAGTCCTGATTTCTGACGTGGGCTTGGTCCGGAAGCATGAGCTCGGCAAGCATGTGCCCGTCACCGGTAATGGCTATCGGGTACTGGTGCTCCATGACCGGGCCCCGATCGATATCGAAAGAGGCGACGAGGATGTACTCGACATGGTTCTCGGTACTATTGCGAGGGTACTGGGACCGCAGCTTGGGCGGTCGTCGCGCCGCGGGGTCATGGCGACGCTGGGCGCCAGCTGACAGTGAGCTATGTTGCGACGACGTCTTGCTCTTGGCGCTCGGGTTCGAGGGCCAGTCTCCGTCAGGAGGTTGTGGGGAGCGGGCGGGGCGCGCATTCTGAGACATTTCGGCTGACCGCGGGGAGGGGACGGTTGAGAGCGATCTTTGGTGGTGCAGAGCGGCACCATTGGCATAGCCGGCCGCGCTGTTGGCTCGTGTGAGAATCGGCAGCGCTTGGTGAGCCGACGCCATCGTCGTGGTCTTCCGCCTGCCCACTGGACCCGTATCCCAGCCCGGTCAAGTGCCGACCGATGCCCCTCTCTTCCGTCGTCTCGATTGCCAGGAAGTGTCGGTCAGTTGAGGACCTCGCTGGTTACACGAACCGGCTCCTCGGCTCCGCTTACAGCCCAATGGAACGGTCGAACAAGGGTTGGCCGCAGCGGAGGCGCAAATCGGTGCCTAGCTGGCCGGTTTGGCCTGGCGGGATCGGGATGGGATTACTTCGTATTACTGATGTCAATCAGCGCCGTGCGGTTGCAAGAATTATGCGAACTATTCAGTCCCGGACAACGGACAAACGGGGCAAGAAAGGGAATGACCGTCGCCAACGACAGGGTGCGAATCGGCAGTCGAGTTGTTTCTTTCTAATTAGTCGCTAGATAAGAGCACCAATGGCCCGGCTCTGAACTTCTGAAGCGTCGAGTGAGGAATTATCGCCTCCGGTATGGTTGGGATTTCGTCGACAGCACGGCTTCCGAGTCAATGCGGTCGCGGTAAGAGCGAACGCCGAAACACAAGATCGGCTGCAAGCCAAGATGCGGGATGTTGAACCGAATACACTGCGTCGGGTAGCAGCTGCTGGATTTGCCCTTTGGTGGGAGTTGGATCACAACCTCCTGACAGGGGTACGGCGCTAAAGCCAATGAGGGGTTCAGGGAGGGGGGCGGATCTGGCCGCTGGGGTCCACTAACCATCCCCTGCCAGATGCCAACTCCCGTCCCCGCATGTCAGGGCTTTGATGAAACAAGCTTGCACACCTAGTGCATCCAACCAGCAACAAACCCCAGCCTCGACCCTGACAGCTGTTAAGCCACAGTGGCTGACCCCTCCCTTATCCTGGCTTGGTTGTCCGGTCAGATTGTTTACTTTGTTCACACGATCATCTTTCTGCGCTTGCTAATTGCTATTGACAGCGACGAACGGCCAAACCATATTGCGTGCACGACATTCCGCCATTCAGTCGGAGCTGTTACTGATTAGCTTATCTTTTGAGCCAACAGCATTCTTAGCGGCCGGTGTGTCTTCCACTGGCGGGGACCGACATCATTATCAGCTGAAAACAATTAGGTGCCGGGGGCGTTTTCCATTACAATTCGCAAACACATCCAGAAAGACCGCCGTAGAGGATGGTAGGCTCAATTCAAAAGAAAGAAAATATTGGTCGCATCATTGACTGAGTCACAGGCCATGCCATACAAGCCATCCCCGTTGGGGTTCGGATCCCCACGACCTTCGCCATTCCGCCGTCCTCAATCACCAGCGTCGCCTTCCACGCTGCGACAGACAACGCCATCGGCATCGCCAACTAAACAAGCCGGATCGGATGCTGGTCCGAGATTCCTCAGCAGTCCAGTGGCAAGTCCCACACCAGAGTTTCGTACACCACGCAGACAAGCGACAGTAGACGATGCGCCGGATGAAGACTATGTGCCCAAGCCGCGCGTCACTCCTCGGCCGGCAGTTGCAAACACGGCGGCACATGGAACTTCACTCTCGCAACTACAGCCCTCGCAAGTCCGGACATTGAGGGAAGGTTTTCAAATCCTTGATCGCGACAGTGATGGTTCCGTGAACAGGGAGGACGTTGCGGACATGCTCAACCAGCTGGGTAGGGTCACCTAGCCGATTTTACTGCCGGCCCAATTGCTAACATGGGGGCTTCACAAGGCCTCCCCTCGGGCGCGTCCGACGTCTCGCAGTTCTTCCCGCCATCTGGGCCGCAGATCATGACGCTGGCGCTATTCCTCAACTCCATCTCGGCGTCCCTGGCAGCGCTGTCCCCTAGCTCGGAGCTCCTATCGGCATTTTCAGCCTTTGATGACGACGACAGCGGTCAGATCGATCTTGTCGAGCTCCGCGACGCCCTGCTGAACACAGCGCCCGAGCCCGGCCAACAGCCGTTGACACCAGCGGACGTAGACAAGGTCATTGCCGGCTTCACAGGTCGTAGAGCCTTCAGCAAGAGCAAATCTGGCGGCCTGGCCAAGCGGGGTGAAGTATTCAGGTACCATGATTTTGTAAACACGGTTATTGGGGGGAGTACAGGGAGCGAGCATGCCTCTGAACACGCTGATGAAGAGTGAGCTCGCCACAGCGCTCAATGGGAGGGGGTTGGGGCTTTTGGGGCACTGCGGGGCAGTGAATGATTATCAACATGGCATCATGACTTGCGCCTTGGCAGTGGATTTCGCTTGTTAGCAACATGTAACGGGTATGGGGCTGATTGATGTTAATGACCTATCAGTTTGGTGTTTGGGTGCTGTCACGCTTGGCTTCTGCTACCCTCACGCGATGACTGTCGCGGTTCATGCGCAATGTAGGCGCCTAGCGCCATTTTGAGACCGTTGCCACGAGATTCACCAAAAGCGGCAAGACGAATGGCCACCGTTAAACGGACCGGTCGAGGACACGAGCGGCCCCTTTGCCAACATTTGTTCTTCAATCCTCCTCGATTACCAAAATGCAGAGGATATTTCTATTCTACAGTATGTACAAACACAAAGTGTACTCCGTAACATTATAATAAGGCAAGAGGCCGGTCACCGGCCATGCTGACCCACAGAAGCTTCGAGAATTGAGTAAGCCCACCAGGCTGAGCACTGGTTAGAGCGATTCTCCCCGGGATTGAGATTTTATCTCTGAACCGGGGCTCCTTGAACGCTAGGCTAGGCGACCCTGAAGGCTGGTTTTGCTTTGGAGAGTCAACAGTTGACCGGATGGGACCCGTGTCCCCCGCAGAACAACGTCCCCACGCGCGACCTGATGCTGGGCGCGGACCCGGACGAATGACTTTTCTTTTGCCCGCCAATTTCCAGAGCAACCCCAGCCAGCTCAATATTTCTTCGAATCGCAAATCAAGAAGCCCAAGGGGCTCTGTGATTTGCCTGAGGGCTGAGAAGTCGTCTAAACCCTTTCAATTTGCCAAAGCGTGATGGGTTGATCGGCCTGCTGCCTTCTTCTGCAGGTTTTTGAACTTGTCCCCGACCTCCAGAGTTTCCCCAACTCCTTCTGCGCACTTCCCAGCTTTTCGTCCCGATTGCCAGGAACACCCCCGCCTCCCATTCTGTGACGCCGAAGAATAGAGAGAGTGGGAGAAACAAAACAAGTGACAGGCAATTGCATGCGCACCCACACACCCTCCCGAAAAGCTCAAAAATAATTACTTGGGGATACCTTGCGCTTAGTACCGTCCCTTCAATCCTCCAGCTATTTTTGCCTTTATGCAGCGCCGACGATACGAAGCCTGACCTTGCCTGGAAGTCACATTCCGCCGCGCTTCGTTTGCGGACCAACCGCTTTATAACAATCTGGACCCAGCAAGGACTCAGCCTTTAGTGAATATTCTGGATTCTGACTCCGCAAATGAAGTTTTTCTCCAAAATATCGTCCAAGAAACCAAACTCCGCCGAAGAGGAGGACGAGGACGCTGGTTTTGATCCACAGCCTATCCCTCCGCCCAAGTCGCCCACTAAGTCGCCTTCGAAATCTTCGGCTTCCCGGTCACCCTCCAAAAGAGTTCAGCGTCCCACGTCGCCGACCCCCCCGCGTGAGTCGAAGCCGCAGTCGCCGCGCACTTCCCGACCCTTCGCGCGGCACTCAACCGAGCCTAGCCTGTCGTCGTCCCGTCGGAAAAAGATCGACCCGGACACCCACCCGCTTAACCTGCCGCCTGAGGAGCGCAAGCGCCTGTCCGAGCTGTCCACTTGGAGCGACCGCAACTCGATGGATGTTGACAAAGAGCCCGTCAACGGGGGCACCGCCTCGTCGCCTCCCTCGCAGCCTCAACAGCAGTACCAGCGCCAAAAGTCCCCCGCACCCCCTCCGCATGCCAATTCATTCACCGTGCCTGTCAGCAATGGAGTGGACTCGTCGGCGAACGGCGATAACGATGAAGTCGTACCCCCTCCCCCGCCACACCGATCGCAGCCGTCCAGCCCCGTGCAACAAGACGCTGAACAGGCCGAGGCGTTCAAGAATGAGGGTAACAAATTCTTCAAGGCTGGTGACTACACTCGTGCACTCGAGTTCTACACCAAGGGTGAGTTTATACTATTGCCTGCGCGTTTTGCGGGCTCCTACGAACCCTAACTAATGCAACCGAACAGCTGTCAACCTCCAGCCCAACTCCGCTACCTATTTAGGCAACAGGGCTGCAGCGTACATGTCAGCCGGCCGTTATAACGATGCCCTTGAGGATTGCAAGCGGTCGCTGGATCTGGATCCTTCCAACTCCAAGATACTTCTGCGTCTGGCTCGCATCTACACCAACCTCGGGCAGCCTGAGGATGCCATTGACACCTTTGCCCGCATCCAGCCGCCGCCGTCGGCGAAGGACACTGCTCCGGCGAGGGAGATGCTTCGTCATGTCCAAGCGGCACAGTCGGCTTTGAGGGACGGCACGGCGGCCTCCATGGTGTTGCATCCTCTCGACATGGCGGAGAAGCTGCTTGGAGCCCACGCGCTGAAGCCGAGAAAATGGCAGCTGATGCGAGGAGAAGCACTTCTCAAGATGGGCGACGCTAATTCCCTTGGAGAGGCTCAGAACATTGCCATGTCCCTCTTGCGGATGAACAGTCAGGACCCGGAGGCCCTGGTACTGCGGGGTAGGGCGCTCTACTCACAGGGCGAGAATGACAAGGCAGTGCAGCATTTCCGCAAGGCGCTTAGCTGCGATCCTGATTTCAAGGACGCCGTCAAGTGGCTCCGGATGGTCCAGAAGCTGGACAAGATGAAGGAGGAGGGGAATGCTCAGTACAAGGCTGGGCGATGGCAAGCAGCTCTGGATCTTTATACGGCCGCCTTGGAGGTTGACCCTTCCAACAAGGGTACAAACTCCAAAATTCTGCAGAACCGAGCGTTGTGCCGTATCAAGCTTAAGCAGTATGATGCTGCCATTACCGACTGCGAGAAGGCAATCAGCCTTGATCCCCAGTATATCAAGGCCCGCAAGACCAAGGCCAACGCGCTGGGTCTGGCTGAGAAATGGGAGGCGGCGGTGCGGGAGTGGAAGGCCATCCAGGAGCTGGACCCCGAGGATCGCACCATTGCCAGGGAGGTTCGGAAGGCTGAGTTGGAGCTCAAGAAGTCGCAGAGGAAGGACTATTACAAGATTCTGGGCCTCGAGAAGACTGCGACGGACCACGAGATTAAGAAGGCTTACAGGAAGCTGGCCATTCAACACCATCCCGACAAGAACCCAGGGGATTCTGAGGCCGAGGCTCGGTTCAAAGACATCAGTGAGGCATACGAGACGCTGATTGACCCTCAGTACGTTGCAATGCTTATTCTCACCAATAGTTTTGTGTACACTAACAGCATGATTAGGAAGCGTGAGCGTTATGACAGTGGGGCCGATCTAGCTGATCCGGCAGACATGTTTGGTGGCGGCGGCATGGGCGGCGGTATCGACCCGGAGATCCTGTTCTCGATGATGGGCCAAGGAGGAGCGTTTGGCGGAGGCGGCTTTCCGGGAGGCGGGTTCCCTGGAGGCGCCAGCTTCACCTTCAACGACCGCCCCCGTGGAAGGGGTGGTTTCCCGCAGAGCTTCAACTTCTCGTGACAATCCGAAGACGGAGAAGCGACCGATGACGATGACCGGACCACTGAGCAAGACCGCGACCACGACCGCGACCACGACCGCGACAGCCGATGCCGCCAGGATGGGGAGGAATGGTCCCAAAGGGATGGGATTGGCATCAAGGCAGCTTGGCGAGCCGAGGCAGAGGAGGAAAGGGACAGGCGGCTGGAACGGCTGCATCGATTCGGGCTCGTGCTGGTGGCCGCCGTCGTGCTTCTCCCACCGTACCTCTTGGGTGCACTGACTGTGGGCGCTGGAGTCTTGTACGTTTGCATGCTGGGGGTGAAGAAGTCGGTCGGGGCACTGTGAGGGGGGCGCTGCTCAGGTCGTGCCATCCCCCCCAAAAAGAATGGTTTTTCTTATTGTTTTCGGTATAGAGCAATGGCCAGTGCCACAACATTCTACCCGTGTTGGAGGAGGGGAGGCGTTTGTTGGATCATGGGTAATTCATTGTTGGGAGGACTCAGATCCTTTCAGCCCAAAGCATCAACATCACAGCACATCGTCCGCATTCCGCGCAGATAGACAGGTAGTTCGTGGCCACGTTCCCACCAATGATGACGAAGGCGTTTTGATTTTCTTCAGAGATAATGTTGTGTTGCGTTGCGTTTGATTACATTGTGTATGAGTGTGGTGGTCTGGAGGTCAAGGCAAGTTAATTGGATTGTGGCCTGTCAGGACCTCCTTCAAGTCAAGGCGACTCGGAGGAATTGATTCATGGCGTTTGCATTAAGTCGCTTAGAGATGTTTAACTGCGTCCGCAATGATGGCATTGATCGGTTTACCTCACATTGATGTAGGTATTGTATAGATTACTTCGTACATGATACATTATTCTTACATGGCAGTCATTGGTTCTGGTTGTGACGGTGGGGCTAAAAATACCTTGAAGGGTCCGTGCTCTCATGTCACTACCGGGGTACCGTGCGCTTAGCGGCCCGGGGCCAACCGCAACCATCCCTGCCAAAGTTTTGGAGGCCACGATTCACTTGTCGCACCCGCCAAAAATCGGATTGAAGCCAGTCGTGAAGCCGCCACATTGCATTGTCTGCAAATACGAACCACGGTGCAAACCGCACTCTTCACCTTTCACACCCAGCTATCGGGTTCGCCAAATTGACCGATTCTTTCCCGTTCTGATGTTCGGGCACGAGTACATCTGTTCCTCCTAATACTTTTTGCTCCCTGTGCTCTTCGACTGGACGCCTTTGACGTTATCTGTTGGTCGAGGAGCAAACACCAGGGCCCGATCCGGGTTCTGATCCTGGATATCCAGTCGACTTTTCGCCATGGGTGCTGAATATGCCTACGACGAAGAGGGCTACCTCTGGCCCTTCTTCGTCTTCACGCTAACGCTCATCATCACTGTCCCTCTCACCTTCCTCTTAGTAAAGCGGTCGCGGGACCCTGCCGCCTCGCTCCAGCGCATTCAGACCAGCTTCAAGCATGCCCACACAGACACGGTTGACGCGCTGCGCAAGCGGGACAAGCGCAAGGACCGCAAGCTCTGGCTCATCCTCGCTGTCATCACTGGTTGGGCCGTAATAGGCTACATGCTCTACCTTATTCAGACTACCGAGGCGCCCACACAGAAGCTTTGGAACCCTTACGACATCCTGAACATTCCCGAGTCAGCGACCGAGAAGCAGATCAAGAGCACGTACAAGAAGTTGTCGCTCAAGTTTCACCCAGACAAGGCCAAGCCAGATCCATCCAAGAACGAGACCATGGACGATCTGAATGCGCGCTATGTCGAGATCTCGAAGGCGTACCAGGCGCTGACAGACGAGGACGTCCGGAACAACTATATCATGTACGGCAACCCGGATGGGAAGCAGGGTTACAGCATCAACATCGCGCTGCCTAAGGTTATCGTGTCGGACGGCAATGGGAAGTATGTTGTGCTGCTCTACTCGGCGCTCTTTGGCGTCCTGTTGCCCTACCTCGTTGGGTCGTGGTGGTACGGCACGCTCAGGCGCTCAAAGGAGGGCGTTCTCATGGAGAGCGCAAACAGGCTATTCCGCGAGTACAAGGACAACATTGACGAGGGAGGCGTCGTGGCCGCCCTCAGCACCGGCAAGGAGTTCGAGGAGCTCTTCAAGGGAGACAAGAGCGACTCTGGCCTGTCCAAGGTCGAATCGAGGATCTTCGCAGAGGGCGCATTGTCGCCACTGGCTGGGGGCCTGTCCGTCAAGGACAAGGAGAGGTTGGAGAACCTCGACAGTGGGCCGCAAAGGAAGGCGCTGGCGCTGCTCTGGGCTTACCTTGGCCGCATAGAGCTCGACGATCCCACGCTAGAGAAGGCCAAGTTTGCGGTTGCCCCAATTGCCCATGCTCTGAACAAGTCGTTTACGGCCATCTCGCTCGCGTACATGAACACGGGCCCCCTTCTGGCCTCGTACTACGCCAGCCAGAATCTGATACAAGCTATGCCTCCAAAATCGTCACCCCTCCTTCAGCTGCCCTACTTCACCCCGGCCGTCGTCAAAGCTGTTGAGGGCGACTCACGGATCCACACCAGCATCCAGGCCTTCATGGACAGGCCAGACGCAAAGCGCCGCAGCCTGGTAGTCGGCAAGGGTCTGCTCACCGACGAGCAATACCGCGAGGCGGTCGGCGTCGCCAAGCAGCTCCCCTTCCTGCGCGTCGCCAAGGCCTTCTTCAAGGTGACGGGCGAGCGGTTCATCATCCCCTCCTCGCTGGTGACACTCGTTGTCAAGGGCCGCTTCGTGCCCCCCGGGAGCGAAAACGTGCCCGAGGTCAACCCTGCCGACCTCGAGGACATAGATCCCGCCGAGGACGACCTGGACGCCATCCTTGGCCGCAAGACTAAGAAGCAGATCGGCAAGGACGAGAAGACGGGCAAGCCCATCATGGAGGAATCAGCAGGCAGCGATGAGCCCATCCTGGCGCCGCTCGCGGCCGCCCCCTATTTCGCGCGCGACCACAGCCCCAGGTGGAACGTTTTTTTGACCGACTCGAAGCAAGGGCGCGTCGCGGTCCCGCCTTTTACTTTTGCCCAGTTTGACAAGCCCATCTTTGAACAGGACGGCAGGACGCCGACGTTTGCCATGCAGACCCTCAAGGCGCAGTTCCAAGCCCCGCCCCATGCCGGGCATTACACGTTTGTGATGCACGTCGTGTGCGACAGCTACGTGGGCTTTGACACCAAGATGGAGGTGACGCTGATTGTCGAGGAGGCCGAGAAGGCGGCCAAGATGGCGGTCGAGGATGAGATTAGTGAGCCGGAGGAGGGTGAGTCAATATCTCTCTCTGTATCCCGTAATATCCCTTTTGCTAACATGTGCGTGGCAGATTCTCTTGCGGGCATTATGAACGCGGCCAAGGGTGGTGCGCCGCCGCAGCCGAAAAAGAGGAAACCTCAGAAAGAGGAGGAGGAGGAGGAGTCAGACGAGGAGAGTGGCACGGACGATGAGGATGATGATACCAGCGCGACAAATACGGATACTGAACCGGAGAATTAGAGGCGCGTTTTTGTTGGTTTGTCTTTTAAGGTGTCTCTTTTTCTTGCGCTACATAGTCCAGATGCTTTTGTACTAAGAATTGATATCTGCATATAATGTACATAAGGCGTTTTCCCTCTTGTCAATGCTGTTGCCAAAAGTGACATGTTCTGTTTACTTCTACCTCGCATGACATACTACACGCCCATAGTGCGCCATCATGCATCATTGCATTGCGTTGGAGGTGTCTGGTTCTGGAATCTCTGATGTGAGAAGCGAGGGCCAGGGCTACAAAAGCGCGGATTATGATGGCTTGCCCAGACCTCTATACTTACTATTACATACTTGTGTCCTGCTATATTGTAGGGTCGGGACAATGTCCTCGATCAGATCTCCTTATGCCATGTGTGAGGTAGGTACAGTACCTGCGTCCGATATCTCGGTATGCCAAGCAAGGATCCAATGTCTTCCACTCTACGTGTGTGCTGGTGGCTTTTGGGTTGGTTCTTGGGTATCAATTTGTCTACTTGTGCCTATTTGTCTGAATGAACTCCAGTCTGTCTAGCTTGGGGAACTACCCAAATGCGGTTCTTGGCCTTTGTCGAAGCCCTGTTCTTCCTTGCGGCGACAAGGCGGCTGGCCCGTTGCAAAGGTTGATTCGATCTCTCCGATCTGCTGGCTCATGGCCCCAAGGTTCAACCCTGATGGACATGACATGAATCTGCATGCCATTCCGCGGACACCTAACTTGAGTTCCCACGCCGAAGGGCTCGCGAGGGTAATTGCTTGACCAGGGCTCGCTCTCTCCTAATATCCTAGGACATTGTAAGTAGGGAGCGGCTTTCCCCTTTTCAAAGGCCTCAACCATCCTTTTCAAAGAGGTCGTTCAAATACCCAACGAAGCTCTCCCGCAACCGTCCCGCAGCCAGCTTCCCAACCGCCTCGAGCCCGATGCCTCCCCTATTCATCCCGACGAATGCGCGCCGATAGCGCTGCAGCTGCGGCAGCCCGACTTTCTTCCCGGGCAGTTCCACGACCAAATCATCCCCGACCTCTCCGGTGTTGTTAACCCTCGGTATGCTCACCGTGCCGCCGCCCTCGTCGGACTGCATCTCCAAGATCTTCTTGACAATGTCCTGCGTCTCGCGCTCCAGGACGTACAGGTAGTCCCCGCCGGGGTCCTTGTCGCGCTGCACGGTCGACTGGTTCGGGCGGACCAGTTTTTTGCCTTGCCCCGCGATGGCGTCCCAGATCTTGTCAAACACCTGCCGCGTCTGCGCCTCGTCGTCTTCCCATACTAGGGTGAACAACGGCGAGTCCCAGCGCGTCATGGGATTGGGCTCTTCGTAGCGGAAGACGAGGTTCTCCCAGTTGGACGGCTCGTAGGGTTCTTCCCCGTCGTCGTTCCCGTCCCCTTCGGCGCCATCACCATCCGCTTGCGCCGACGACCCGGCTTCCGGAATATCATCCCCTTCGCCCCCAACTCGTGGCTCAGATCCTCTTCCAGCACCATCTCCGTTACCGTTATCACTTGCGACGTCTGCCCCTTCTGCCCCACCCGCCCTGTTCCCTCCCCCACCAACCTCACCAATCCCATTGCTCCCGGTCGTTGCCTCTCCCCTCCGAACCAACCGTCTCTGATTCACCTCTCTAGCACGCTCAACGGGGCAACCGACCTGCAGCACACAACTCGGTGTGCGCGCATTCTTGGCCTCACAAAAGAGCTGGTACCGCCAGCCTTTGATGTAGTTGAGGCCGTCGAGCACGACGATATCTCGGGGGGACAGGACGCGTTTCACGGCGGCGTAGATTGCCGCGCGCGCGTCCTTTTCCGAGGCGTTGGCCGACCGCACGTGTGCGGGGAGTGCTGACGGGGACAGGTCGTACACGGTTCGCGAGATGGACTGCGTCGTGTCTGAGATGAGGTGGAGACGGTAGGCTGGTTGCTGTTGTGGTTGCGGCTGTTGTTCTTGTTGTTGCTGCTGGGGGGTTGGGGGAGAGGAAGAGGAAGAGGAAGAGGAGGAGGAAGAGATGCGCTCAGAGAGGTACGAGTACAGCTGGCGTGCCCGGGTTGTTTTGCCCGAGGTGGGTAGGCCGGTGATGATTATGAGCTGTATGGCAGGGGTGACGGTATTAGATTTGCAGTCGGGAGGAGGACTCTTGAAGCAGGCTTTGTCTGGAGGCTTACTGGCATTCTGGCGGTTGGCTTTGGGTTGGAGAATCCCTTGCCAGCGTGTGATAATGTCGACTTGGTCTGCACATTACTGGCCTGTAGGGCCAGGCCAGGCTGACGTTGGAGGTCACTGGAAAGAATTACCGTTATGGCGGGGCGATTGACGGAGGGGTATGTAGCCCCCACTTTGACAGGTACAAGTACCCCACTCCTCGCTTAGCCGATGAGACCCCGGAGTCCCGGACGCCCCTCCGGCTTGCCTGCGTGTATGTACAGTACATATCAGTGATAGGGAACGTTTTGTCGCTACTGTAATGTTGACTTCGGGAGGCTGATCAGATGAAAGCCATCGACCTCTTGTCAAACGTTTCAGACGTATGCAATGTAAGTAAGCCTGAAATTTTTTTCCCTTGTCTCTCTTTCGTCGGATTCTTCGAGACCCACAACAACCGAGTACTATTCAGAAAGCATGTGATGAAGATGGTACACATCCTCAAGATCCCTGGCGAGAGGCCATGATATGCATTGCGTAGCCCCGATCGTGGGAGGACTCGCTCCTACCTTCTTTTGATTCTGGCGTACGTATACCGCAGTTCATGGCTGTCAACCTGCTCTGAGCTTACGCGGTCCGGAGGTATGGTGTTCCTGGCATGCCGGCTTCTGGATGGTTGAGCCTGAACGGGAGCCTGCCTTCCCGTCTCCCGGTGACTCGACAAGGCACGAAGAGTAGAAGGCATATACGTACGTGTAAGGGCTGACGTCTCGAAATCCTCGTCGGCTTCGGCTCCCGGTTGCCTAGGCCCTCGCATTCGTCATCGTTTACATAGCATATGGTTTCGAACACAACGTCGACGCGCAAATGCAAGCTTTCGGACGTAGACGTTACCTCGTCGCCGTTGCCAAGCGAGCGGCCCCTTTCAACTGGTTACCGGCTCAGCGCGAAGTTTGGTTCAGGCTTTCCCGTGGCTCTCCCACAGCTGCCGTTGGCCCCGCGCCGTGCAACCGCTCCCTCGATAAATTAGCTGCTTCTCAGGTCAACAGCCTCAGTGCTACCGTATAATCAGGAGCATCCAATGGGCTTGCGAAGGTAGACTTGCACGTTTGAGGCATGAGTGACTCGGCCAAGGGTATCCGGTGTGGCATGCCCGGGACGGGAGTGTTCCGGAAGCTTGTTTCGATGCTGCGCGTGCCGGCGTGCTCTGTAGCCAAAAGGTTGTGCATCGGCTTTTTGACGACGATATTGGGGTGGCTTGAGGTGGCACTTTGCCGAAGTCAAGAAAAGCAACTACATGGGCGTATTCCGGCCTATAGCTCTGAGGGATTATCACCGGGCGATCTCGGCCCGGAGCGGCGGGAGAGTGGGGATAAACCATAGTTGCTGAGTAACCTGACTGATGTGGAAATCCGGGCTACACCCGGACGTTGCACGTCGAGTGCTGGTGGGGGTCCTGCTCGAAGTTCCCATATCCAGGGTCTGGCCGGTCTGGCCGACGTGCCAAGCGGCCGACGACACTCAGGCTCTAATGTTAAGGTTAACATCAAGCATGGGAAAGGGGAAGTGATGAGGTCGTGTTCTTCACCGCTAATACTCTCACATGAGATGCTATAAATAGTCAGTTGTTCAATCTTCATTTGATCAGAGAAGCATAGCCACGGCATTTCGACGAGGAAAGGGCCAACGTTTGGTGTTGTTTTCTGTTCCATCGTCATGGCAGTCATGACACACCCGATGATGTTGATTGGCTATGGCCTGCGGCCCAAATGGCAAGGGCAAGCCACAGCTAGCGTGCCTGGCGGTGACCGAATCCATTATTCTGCGAGAGCAAAAATAATATTCTGCGAGAGCAATACGTATCTTGTGGCTCACCACCCAGCCAAATCCACCACAACCCACCACAAATTTCAACCGTAGGCCACCTTACACTGCTTACAGACTTCTACATATCATCCTACGATGAGCGGATTGAAGCCATCGCCAATCATTGCGCACGCATCGATGACCTTGGGCAGGGTTGATGCCAGTCCGAAAGCTCGGTGTTGCAAAGCTCAGGGTTAGGAATGGAGCAAGGCTGCCGTTGCTTACATAAGCCCCCATTGATTCTTCAAGCCAACCTAGAAGGTACAGAGTACAGATGTAGTAAACGGATTAGAGATATACTTATTATACCATTGCAAATAGCTTTCATTAGGTCGTCACTTAGTAAGGTATTTAACTCGAATGTGTACAATACAAGTATATGGCTTGCTCTTCCCTCCTGCAATAGACTGTAGGGAGAGGAGCGTGTGTAGTGGACTGCGCCACATGCTCTCATAGAATAACATTTTTGCTCTCACAGAATAATGTTTCGCGGCGGTGACAGGAACGTGGGAGATATTTGCCGGGCCACGACGTGGTCGGGTGGTGTCTGCCAACTGCATGGGTCAGGAGATCGTATTTCTTCAAACAACCCCAGTCCAGTGAAATCAAGGCTAAGGTCAATCTGGTCGAATCTGGGACTTCAGGTACCAGGGGGCATTTCCATCTGGATGGTCGCTTTTCCCTTCTGGGACTAGTGTAGGGCTGTGGATGCTAGTAAACATCGGGAGGATCTGCGTGAATTTCCAACTTACGTTATCCCTGAGCCTTCGCCTCGCGCCTCGGGCCCCGGGGACAATTTCGCCAGATCTGGCACGGTCAGAAAATCCACCAAACAGACGTTTTAACAGTAGTGAACGAAGTTAGTGGATTCGTATAGGTTCGTTGGTCCTGCAGGCCCAGATCTCTCGGGCCCGAGTGGGGAACAGTCTGCCGGTACCGGTAGTGTAGCCCATCGTCTAGTCGAGGGCTCCAGGTCTTCAACTTCTACTAGACGAGTTACCCAGTCACGACATAGGGAGCATAACGTTACATAGCACGAGGTTGTAGATTTGCAATCTCTCAATCTGCTACTCTGATCATGACGAACTTGAAGGTATGTTGGATTCACTAACGACTTTTACACATGAGCTACAGCAGTACCTCGTACTCAGGCGTCTCCCCTTGAAATTCCATCGACTGAACTTGACCCTTTCCGGCGCCAGCGTCCCATCGGTCAACCAAACGGCCAAACCGGGCCGTCCATGCTTTTCGCCCGCCTCAAGTGGCTTGCAGAGTGAGCAGCCACGCGTGAGCAGCCACGCCATCGATGAACCACACTAGAATTATTCTAGAAGCATTTCGCCTCAAGGGAATGCAAGCCATCAGCAGCCATAGCCGTACCGAGGTCCTCCCAAGAGATGCATTGGTCAGCACTTGTATGTACGGATAGTGCCCATTCCAACATTCCAACCCTTAACGCGTCGCGTGCAACCTGTGTAACGTTGTCCTTCAAGATGTGGGGAACTTTTAAGCTTTCTGGCGCCCCCTGGAAGGTCTGGATTGCTGGGAGCCTCGCCAAGACGAGCCAATATCGGCTGCTGGTCAAGAACGCCTTCGCAATGGTATCCCAAAGAGGAAAGGCCCCTGCTCGAGCACGGGCCACTGGTTAGGCGGTACCTTCTCAGTCTTCCACTCATCTGACCCCCTCGCAGGTGAATCTCGCTGCATCTGGCGCATCCAGCACCAATGTTTAGCCTAACGCTACCTTCTTGTGCAGAGATGCGCTTGATGGTTTCCAGCCATGTCAAGACACAATTTCAATAACCGCCAGGTATTCGGGTATCTGGAGGCTGTGGCCGTTGAACAGGGGCTGTGTTTCGATTTATCATGTCGTCTGTCGGCGGGGCATCTTGGCGCTCGCTCAACGCCCGCCTACGATTTGCTGCGATTTGGCGAGAGCCCCTTAGCCATAGCCCTGTGAGCCCTGGCTAGCACGTATGTAACTTATCGTACAGCACAGCAATGAATGAATCGAGTCAACCGGGGGATTGGTATTGGCTCCCAAGACAAGCTCGAAGCTCGGGTTGACGATCACCGGCAGCTGGGAATGCAATATTATATTCTCGCGCCTCGGCCTTCTGCAAGTTCGCAACTGCCCAGATCTTGCCCAGATCAGATCCAGCTTAAAGAAGGTCGTCAGCCGGACAGGCTCTCTCCTAGGCATTTTCACCCGTCAGCGACCCCATAGTCCGACCCCATAGTCAGAGGTTGGCCATTCGAGCTGAAACTGAAGCGATACTCCGCAAACGACGCGTTGCCCTCGCCCATTCCGCCCTGCGAACTGCCCGGCTGCTGATCAGTGATCGCCGACTGCATGTGCTTAGGTCCGGGCTTCTTTCTGGATTCGCCCTGGACTGAAGCAACAGAGTATCAGCGACGTTACCCACAGTCGGGGACCTGACCGTGAGGCTCCTTCGGCGAAACCATCCCCGAGAGAACGGTGCTGCGCCGTCAGACGCGGCGTCTCCACCGGGCTTACTGCACTACTGTGGTCGGCGTCCAGCCTCAAGCCTCAAGCCTCTCTGCCCAAGATGGTCTACTGTGGGAAGCCAAGCAAGGGATGCTCTAACTGTCGAGAGCGCAAGATACGAGTAAGTTTGATATTTGCCACCCTCCGCCCCCAACCCTTTCTCTTCGTCATGTAGTGTAGCCAGTGAGCCTCACCATTCCACGGCATCACTGGGTATCACAGCACCTATTTCCCGCCTCGGCAATGGAAGCCGTTGTGAGTCGGCCCGCTGACGTAGTCCCAGTGTGATCAAAGAGAGCCAGGGTGCGGGCAGTGTGAGAAGAGACAGCAAGAATGCCCCGGGTATCGAAACCTCGTCGACCTCATGTTCCGCGATGAAAGCTCCCATGTCATCAAGAAGGCTAGGGCCCGGGCCCGCAAGACGAGGAGTCTTGCCGTTGACCCCGCTACGCCATCCGACTCGGAGGGCCGCTCGTCGCTCACCCCCGAGCCTCGAAGGAAACCACTGTCCTTAGTGGTCCCCACTTCCCCGGCACCAAGCAGCCCAGCCAGCTGGGACGCCCCGGCATGCGAAGAGAGTTGTAGCCTGCTGTCACCCGAATCAGGAAGTTGGCCAGTCACCCCTGCAGTGGCCCTGCTGTACAACCTCGCGCCGACTTGCCAAGAACAAGGCACCGCCTGGTTCTTCTCCCGATACGTGACCATGGAGGAGACGGCATGTCACCAAAAGTTTGACTTTCTCCGCGATGTGTGGAAGCCTTCGCCATCGGCGTCGGGCCAGGTCGACGGCGTCCTTGCAAGCATGACGGCCGTCGGGCTCATGGAACTGGCTAGCATGAAACAGTCGGTGGATCTTATGGATGCCGCGAGGAAATCGTACGGGACAGCATTGCGGTTGGTAAATCACGCATTGCAGGATCCAGCCGAAGCCGTCAAGGACAGCACAATGCTGTCCGTACTGATCCTCGGCGTGTTCGAGATGATGGCAGAAAACACACCGCGAACCTTGACGGTCGAGGCTTTCCAAAAACATGTCAACGGGGCGGCGGAGCTTGCACGAATGCGGGGAGCCGCTCAATTCCAGACGCGGGCGGGCAGAAGGATGTTCTCGATGCTCTGCCAGCGAGCAATTATCATCTGCGCTCAAAGAAATGTGCCCATGCCGGACGGCTTGATAGAGCTCTCGCAAGAAATGGCCTCAACCTTGAAGCCTGAAAATCCGACTAGACATTTACTGCCACTAGTGTGGGAGACACTTCAACTACGCTCAGATATCAAGATGGGCGCCTTGGCTGATCCCGAGATCATTCTCGGCAAGCTGCTGGCCATTGAGGAGCGATTTGAGAAACTAACCGCCCAGCTACCACCGTCCTCACAATATCGGACATTCAAAGTAACACAACACCACCCCGCAGTATTCGGGGGTATTTGCCATCTATATCCATCCCTGCGACAGGCCAACCTTTGGACCTGCATCCTCACAACCCGCATCCTCGTGCTAGAAACCGTTGTCTCCATCATCTACCATGACTCGCAGACCTTCGCCCCGAGGCTATCCTCCACTTACTACATGGACGAGTTTCACAAGGCACGGCGGAAACTGCGACGGCTGGTCCACGCCGTCACGGCGAGCGTGCCCCAACACCTGGGCCTCATGAACGCCACCGACGGCAGCATCGAGAGCCTCGATCCGGGAGCCACACCGATAGCGACCGTCGAGATACGCCAGACGCCCAGCCCCCCGACATCACCGTCAGCCAGGTCATCCGACTCGGGCAGCAGCGTTTTTAGCCCCTGCTCCGATCCTTCCTCGAAGCGGTATCTGTCAGGACTCACCATCCTCGACGTGACGCGCGCGCGGGACGCCGAAGAGGAGGCGGAGCGCTACATGCTCCTCGTGTCGGCCAGGAGCACCGTCGTCTGGCCGCTGTTTGTGGTGGGCATGTCGACGGCGTGCTCCGACGAGATGCGCGCCTACGTCATTGGTCGGCTGCGCACCCTGTACATGGAGACGGGCATCAGGCAGGCGGATGCCGTGGCCAACATTTTGGAAGAGCAGCACGAGGCGTCCGCGTCCGGGTCGTGGCTGGCTGGAGCGGGGGACATGTCGTTGGCGTCGGCGAGGGAGGAGGAGGGGGAACTTGTAGAAGAGCAGGAGTCTGTGCTGTCACAGCTGTCGCTGTCGCTGTCTATGGCCAGGCCGGGTTATGGGATTCTGACGATGAGGGGGGATATGCCGCCGACGAAGCCGGAGTTTGACATGGTTTGGGTGTAACATCACAAAGCGAGCGGTTTTGGCTCGGCGAATTCAAACGCACGGGGCGTTATTATGGGATCTCCCGAGATTTCAGGGCTTGAGAGACACGACATGAAAGGAAAAGCAATGGATGGAAAAGATGGGAGAAATTTACCCGCAGATACCAATACACGAAAGATACCGATTTGCATGTATATTTGTATGCTGTCAAATAGTATATACCAGCTGCTTGGTCGTAGCACTATGTGAATCCCAGAAAAAAAATAACAGCTCCAGTCCATCCACTCCAGCAGCCGCATTTCCTGACCTGACCTGGCCTGACCTGACCTGCGCCAAGCAATGCGATGCGATGCGTCAAAGTAAATCACTGTACTTGTACAAAGTAAGTCACCACCCGTCAAAGTTCCCAAACCCTCGGCCTTCCATCTTGACTTTCTTCTTGACCGGTTCCTCCCACGTATCCACCTCATTGATGATCTTCTTCTTATCCCCCGTCCCATCCCCATCCCCTTCCTCCTCTTGCTGTTGTAGCTGCTGCTGCATCGCCGACCTAGCCAGCGCACTCTGGAGGTACTTGCCCACAGGCTTACTACTACCATCCCCGCCAACCCCCCGACCCCCGTCATAATCATAATCGCTGCTGCTACGTATCCTCTTGCCCGTCCACGTAGTCCTGTCATCCTCCTTGTCACCACGGCGCAGTTCAACCTCCTTTGCCTTGCTCTCAGCCTCCTTTTGGTCCCTCTCCTTGAGGAACTCTTCAAATGGATCGACAAACACCACTACATCCTTCAGCACAATGTCTTCAAGCGGCCGGTTGGTGTCCTTGTCGGTCGGGACGGCCTCCATGCGGGTGAGCGTGGAATCAGCCCCGTCCACGACACGGCCGAACACAGTGTGTTTCCGATCGAGGTGTTTTGCGGGGCGGTAGGTGATGAAGAACTGGCTGCTGTTTGTGTTTTTGCCCTTGTTGGCCATGCTGACGACCCCCCTCGCGTCGTGCGTATGCGGGCCTTCGAGCTCGTCGGCAAAGTTTTTGCCCCAGATGGAGGTCCCGCCCCGGCCCGTGCCTGTAGGGTCGCCGCCTTGGATCATGAAGTTGGGGATGGACCGGTGGAAGCGGAGGTTGCGGTAGTAACCCTTTTGGGCGAGCCGGATGAAATTCCAGACGGCTTTGGGCGCGGTCTCGGTGTGGAGTTCGAGGGTTAGTGGGCCGAGGTTGGTTTCTAGCCGGCAGTAGCCCTTGTGCCGTACACGTTTGGGCTTGAGCATGTACTCCTCGTCGCTGAGCAGCGCTCGCTCGCCGGATGTGGAGGGGGTTAGCCCCGTTGAGGTGAAGGAGGCGGCCGCTAGTCCGGTCGTGTAGGCTGCCGCGTTGGGCGCGAGTTTCTTTTCTTGGATGAGGGAGGGTTGTCGCTGTGTGGAGGAGGAGTTGGTGGGCTTGGAGGTCGCTGTCAGAGACTTGGTGATGCGATTGACGTCGCCGGTCTCGCGGGCCTGACGCGCCCGCTGCACGGCTTCCTTTGCGCGCAGCACTTTGTCACCTATCCGGCCCAACGCGTCAATGTTGATGTTGCTCTGCTGGCGCTGTTCCTCCTGTTCGCGGGTGGGGAGCGCGTCCTGGCCGTCCTGGAGGTACTTGAACTGGCTGAGGTCGCGGCTGGCTGCGTTCTGCGGGTCCTGTAGGGTGATGATGTCCTTGCGGCCAAACTCGACGTCGTCAACCAGGTCCCGCCACATCTTGGCCTTGATGTTCATGCGCTCGACCGTGTCCCAGGCGAACACGTTGGCGTAGTTACCGTGGCGGATGGCAACGATGTGCGTGTTGTCGGTGAAGACCTTGAACGTGACGGGGTCGATGAAGTCGCCCTTGCCGTCGGTCGAGACGCCATTTCGGTCGCCGGCACTGCCCTCGGCGGCGGTGTCGGCGTTGCGCGCAAAGTTGAGACGGATCAGGTCCTTCGCAACGAGAGGTTTCCCATTGACGGGGTTGGTTTTGTGCTTTTCAAGCCAGGCGCTAATGACCTCGACGTCGAAGATAGTGCCGTCCGGGGTGCAGACGGGGTTCTTGAAGGGCTGGAGACTGGCGGCGCAAAAGTTGAAGGGCAGTCGCTTGAAACTTGCGTGGGCGGCGCCGCCACTGCGCTGCGCTCGGGAGCCCGCATTCGCTCCGACGCTGGCACTGTACGCATCTGAGGACGACCACTCCGAGTGTGTGATGTAGAGCTTGTCGGTGCCTTTCCCCATGCTTGCGATGAGGCGGGCTGATGTCTCTAATTGATGATGGAATGGGGACCAAACCGAACCAGTGGAATCCAAAGTTCCAGACTCCAAAACAACCACGACGGGCTGATGCGCTATCTTATCAGTAGGACTGCTTGGCAGACGTGAGGCGTGGGGCTGAAGACCCTTGTAACCAGGCGAGGTGGGGCGTACCGTTGGAGGTTACAATACCTAATTGTAAGTTACATCAGGAATACATGTAATTTCAAGCTATAGAATACATAGGGGTTGACAACGCTCGTCTTCATTGTCTTCATTGC